ACACTTTGATTTGACAAACGATTATTGAACAATGGATTTTTACTTGTATTGACTCAGGAGAGGAATGTGCATAATGACGTTATGCTTTTACACCCAGCTAAATACAGAATAGTAGAATAGCAAATATTTTTGAAGAATGTAATTTATTTCATCATGGCGTACAATAAAATAATTCTCAATGGAAATGAAAAATACCAAATTGAAATAACATTGAGATATCCATTGTGCTCCATAGGTTCTTGCAACAAAGACTACCTGATGCCGAAAACACCAATTCGTTCTTTCTTTGAATTGAAAATAAAAAATAGTCTATAATTATTAATGACGGATATATATGAATGTTTTGAGAACTGAAAATATTTTAGAAGCTGAATTTCATGTATCATAATAAACTTTGTTTTTGAGAAATTAACGTTTTTTAATTTCATTAGAATGTTGTTATCCTCTCGTCTTTACAAAGTTTTCTGGTAAATATACAAATTTTGTATTACAATATTAATTATTACAATAACAGGGGTATATTTGATCTGGTAAGGTAAGGGCTCTAAAGAAAACACATATACAAAATTCCATGAAAACCAACTCAATTCGTAATCTAAGCAGTTTGTTTTTAAACAAGACAGGGGGGCAATTCTGAAACTCCAAAGTGGAGGGGGTCATTTTCAAAAATAATGCCCAACAAAAACAACAATGTCCAGTAATGCCAGTTTGTTATTAGTATCTATATTGCCAAGTTTATGTGGGGAGATATCACCCCCCCCCCCTCCCCTGGCTACGGGTGTTCCTATAAACGTTACCCTCTAGTTTGAGAATAACTTTCTAAATTTAAAGGAATTTTTATAATTTTTAGTTAGAGTGACCAATGCATGGATTATTGTTGTACTTACATCGACTCAGAGATATCATGTTTTAGACATGCTAGAACACGTAACCACTCAAAAATGTAAGTTCAGAGATATGTATTTTTCATATTAACACGTCAATGCGACATTTTATTTATAATATGTATAAAGGTATCACAAAATGAGATAGTAATACTTTTCTGGGTCAAAATGTCAGAATTCTTGACATTTTGACTATTAGTACATAGGTTAAGTTAAGTTTACGTTTGTTTCAATTTTAACATTTTACATATAATCATTTACAATTTGACGCAAACCGTATATTGTAGTTCATAGTGCAGGAATTCTTTCTTTTTACACCCTGCTATAAGCAGTTAGCATTTCCCCGATTAAGAACTCGCAATCTGATTGGTTGTCGCAACACTGCGACAGAAATCATGTATAAGTCCAAGGAGGATTGGCTCCCAGAGTGCACCACCGATATTCTGTCCCATATATGGGTATGTCGTAATACAAAATTCGAATTCAAACAGCCGCCATTTTGTTCACTTCAACATTTAAATCGTGAATTTTGGTCTTATTTCCAAACGAAAAATTCCAAAACTCACAAGAAACGATCGAGATATTGGTTCGAATCTTTTGAACTGTTTATTTTGAATTTATAGTCGGTTTTAATTTCAGAAAATAACGACATTTCGACGTTTTCATTGTTGGAAAATATCGAGTTTCGATCCTGGGAGCCAATCCTCCTTGTATAAGTCATTGCGCATAATTAGATCACGTGATTCAGTTTAATCGGGCGCTTCCAAATTGGTTATAGCAGGGGGAAGAAGGAGGTACGGATTCTGGATACCTGCTTAGGAGGATGAGAGTTTGCTAGAGTTACATATAATTAATAGATAAGTTGATACAATATGATGATTTAGTGCTGCCTTGAATATAATTGTACTGACACTGTACTTAATTTTTAATGCAATGTTTAGGTTAGACTAAAAGGTTTTTTTAGATCTTGTGTCATGGCCATGGCCATGTTGGGAAATTTAAAAATAATATTTAAAAATGAATATAGGAAAGCCAGATTGTTTGTTTAAGCATCTATATACAATTATTAATGATAAATATCAAATATTGTCAAAATGTTTTCTCTTTTGAATAAAGGAGCAATGAATTAATGAATGATATACGTTATGTTAGAGTCATGATCAAGGATGTCTTTTACTTTTTCAAGTAAACGTTTAGTAATATGCTGAATGTGCATTTTCCAATTTAACTTTTCATCAATAAATACTCCAAGAAAATTAACGCTATTTTCTATTTTTATTGGAGCATTGTCAATATATAAAGGATATCCTATGATTTATGAGTGATATGATTTTTATCCACGAATGGATATGATATCTGCACGAGCGAGCGTAGCGAGAGAGTGCAGATATCAACATCCATGAGTGGATTAAAATCATATCACGAGTAAATCATAGGATGTTCTTTTTATTCCATAGTAAAAGTCATCATCAGAATTGTCGGAAATTAAGTCATTTAATTCGAATTTTCCAAACGATCCGGCGATGTTGACACTTAGCCTCGTTTTGAGTCTGAAGTAGCAAAAATCCATTAACCATCGCATACGACGTCGTATGTCATGGCTAAAAAACCGTATGCTATGGTTAAGTGAAAATTTGTCAAAAATATCATATTTTACCACTGATTACAAAAATACCGTTTTTATTTTCACATGTTATCCAATGAATATCATGCTAACTATGGAATAAGTATATTTATGTCATGGATTAAATTTCTGCATATTTATTAATACAGTATCTTGATGTCAATTCGTGTTATTGTGGCAACTGACCTGTTTTCTGTTTTCTAAGGAGGAAGGGAACCAATTTTTAACATTACCCCTTAACCTATAAAAGTCAATTTTTTATAGGTCAGAAGTAGAATTTTGAGATTAACGGTGTCAAATGCCTTTATCCTCCAAACATTAAGATTTCATCAATGCACAAAACATATGGACATTATAAAACGTGTTATTTTTAATGATTACTACATATCAAACAATCCCTTTTGAGAGAGTTTTGAGAGAGATTTTTAACCAGTTAGAAATTATCGACGGGCTTGATTCATATTTTGTTACGTTGTCAGAGTTTCCATAGCAAAATTAGATTTTTGTCAAAAAATAACCATTAAATTTTTTTTAAAGAAATAATAAGCAATATTTTTAATATATATATCACATGGTCATGGTAAACAATTGTGTTGACATCGTAGTTAGCACACATATAATGTCAGTGATATCAATACACTTGGCGCAAGATGAGGTAGAATAGAAGAATTCATGGATTTCAAAATTTGCCCATTTACAAAAAATAAGTTGCGCAGATGACTAAGAATTGGAGGTAATATATGTTTACACCATATTAAAGCACTGGCCTTAAACCCATTTATTTCAGGAGCCCTATCCTTAAGGTAGTATCCTTAGAAATTATCAAGGACATTTCCAAAAATATGCATTTATTGCGAAAAACGCACATCTTTAACGACTGCTCAATCACTACTGTGCGATGTTTACAGAATAAACACAACTCAGATCATTTAGGTCCCTTTGTCATTTTTCCTATGTCTCTTTATTATTGTATAAACCATAGTAAGTCACATCACAGGGCCGTAGCCAACTTTCAGGAGGGGATGCGATGGCCAAAAAATCGGTCGTGGAATGCGATCATGGCATAAGCAACCCCAAGACAAGGATTCGTTTTGAATTTTACAAAAAAATGATGCAGCTTTCTTCAAAGTTGAGCTATAAACTTCAAATATAAAGCATTTTAAACCTATTTTCTTCTTCTATCTACTGGCTTTATTGTACCCATCGCACCCTACCCTTTGTAACGCCTATGCATTTATTTGAACTAAGCGAACCCAAAGATGCGACGGTTACGCCAGCCAATTATGACAACAGATTCTGACGTTGCCGTTGCCAAGATGATAGGGAGTTTTAGCTTGCAATGTTTTACACAACCTAAACGTGAACGAAAGAAATTAAGCGATGTATTTATATAGACGATTTGTCATACGTATAGGTTGGCGTTTCGATTTTGCATGCTAATTCAAACGGCCTATTCTTGTATGAGGAGGGAGTTGAGGACACATAAACAAATACAAAAATAATGCAAAATGAAAACGAAATTAGAACGAACCGTCTTTGCGATTTGGCAATTTCAGGCATTTTTGCCGCTCAAATTCCTACAGACAACAATTATATATTTCAACGTTTCCTTTTCATACTGAGTGTATAATAATTGATGTTGTAAATCTTTTTAGACGCGACTAATCCAAGTCCAACGTTGTACATAGGAGGGGAAACAAGACCAAAATATAACGGCAACAAGCTTGGCGTGTATACGTTAGTAGTGGATGATTCAAATCAAACTGAGCTTCACAATGGTAAACCATCGTATCTGCATGAATCGGGAAAGTATCACCTTTACTACACACTGGATGTAGGGGTTAGCGGTCATGGTTGGCTGATAAGTGACTTTAAAGGGGATAGATCTGCGTTTGTGAAGATCGAACAAGATGTGGATTTACCAGAATTAATAACCGAACCTCTGTACACCACTGATGGATTTACTTGGATAGTGATGAACGGAATATCAATAGTTCCATTCACAGAAGGTATAAAGTGTTATTTTTCTTCAACGTGAATTATTCTTTATTTTTGAATTAGACATAAGGCGAGTGTCCAGTAGTAGTATGAAGGGGCTAGATACGATATGCCCACCGCTTTAAAGAAAAGCTTGGTCCAACTATGTTATGTTTGCTTACGCTTTCAAGTAGTTGTAACTGATTTCTTATGTGCTAGCTCCTACTTAGGACCTTGGCCGAACTTCCAGAAAATGATTTTTAACAAAATCAAAGGTCAAAATATTGGTTTTTGCCGTCTAAACAAATTTTGCCTAGATTTTGATATATTGAAGGTCAAAAAATGTATTTTTCAAGTTTTTTCAAATGGACCCATTCCATTGCATTCACATAAAGATCATTTACATGTTGCCAAGAGTTAAATAACTTTCCGAAGGTAATTAGTTTCAGATTTTTTAGATCGCAAAAGACATTAAGTTAGGTTAAAATTAAAAGAAGTAATTATTTCGTTTGTAGGAAAAAACACGTGTAGGCATCTAAAACTATCCGGTATGACAGATTCATCGTTTAACGGCATATATGAGAATAGAAATATTACTATTGGACACAGGCCTACATACAGCCACGCGGTCTTGTCAGGGATTCATCTGTACTACAAAACGACTAAGTTCTTCTGGGTGATCGTCGATGATTTTGATGATGATGCCTATTTTGCACACTCCCTTAAATTCCATTCGAGACTCGATCCAATCTCAACAAGCCCTTGGAGCGCGTGGCTGTCTTCATGGGAGAAGCAATTTTTCGTTGGGTTGTCTTGCTCAGGTAATATTATTAGGGTTGTTCAAAAAAAATTTCAAGAGTATCAGTCTGTAAATATGAGAATACTGTACTTATTTTGTCAGTAGTTGTTAGATCCCCACCTTATTTTGTAACTCTACAAAGGACTCCCTTATTATGCCCCCACCACATAGTTTGGGGCCATATTGTCGGTCTAGGCACGTCCGTCTGTCTGTCCGTCCGTACGTCCGGCAGTTTTCTCGAAAACAGCTACAGATATCACCTTCAAATTTTCAGGGATAACTTATGAGTGCATACAGATGTGGATGAAAAAAAATGTAACTCGATACCTACTTCCTGTCGGCCATTTTGAAGTCAAATGCTAAAATCCTTGGCTGCATACTTTAAGAAAAACGGCTTCACAATTGCTTTTAAAACCTTGATATCTTGTTCAGCTTACTTCATTCTACATCTGATTAGGTTTTGGACCTGTTAGCTCAGTCATGTCAGCTATTTTAAATGTATTAAGACAAGTCAGCGCGCGATAATACTTTGTATCATATTGAATGATGTTTTTTGAGTTTTCATACTTTAACTATTTAATAGCTTTATAAATAATTTCAGGTGTACTTTGTTGTAAAAGCCTATGTTATTGTTAACAGTAGTTATATGTGGTAATTTTGTAAAAAGAAATCAGCAAAAATTCATAATCACTTTTTTTATTGTCAGCCATTTTGGATTTTTCCGTCATAAAATATTGTCTGTAAAATCTTGTCTACGCGTTTTCAGGCGAAACGTATGGTAGATCAATTTCAAATTTTCAGGGATGATTCGATTCTTAGTATGAAAATCTAGATCTGATCTGTTTTTTTGGCATTCTGGGTAAATGTCAAGGCAGCCATTTTGGATTTCCCGTCCAAAAGTCTGTAAAGTCTTGTCTACACGGGGTACCATCGAATAATTTTGGCAACGTACCGGAGAACGACATTTTACTAAGAAATGGCAATGATTTAGCACAATATATTTTTTAACTAGACTTCTATTTTGATTTTGACAAAAGTAAGTATTCCATGCAATAACTATTTCATTCATGAGTTTGTAGGAATTCTGTTGGAACCCAGTTCTGATCAAGTACGAAGTTATTGAAATCGGCGCAGACGGACTTTACTCCGAAAGATGGTTTTTCTATTATAACTTTTCACAACATTTAAGTATAGACTTTTGAAAAAAGTACAGAATAGTCCTTATACTTTTGAATAATTCTGTTATTTCTGATTCACACGACTCTGATTTGTTTAATTCAAAAAAAAGTTTTAAAAATATTACATAGGAACGTAACCGGAGCTGGGAACGTAACCAGAGCAGATCAGTTGAATTATTTAATCAAAAAAATTAAAATATATGACATATTTTACCATACCGTGCGCCTATTCATTTAGCAATTAAATCATAAACCTTTTCTTGAAAATTCTTTTTTGCAGATTTGTTCATTTTTCTACCAGAAATTGCTTGCTCCCCCCCCCCCCCCCCCCCTCCGTCCCATTTTCACGATCCCCGGGTGTGATAGTCTTGTCTACGCATTTCCAGGTGAACCATTTTGTAGATCAATTTCAAATTTTCAGGGATGATTCTTAGTATGAAACCGAGATCTGATTAGTTTTTTGGCATTCTGCGTAAATGTCAAGGTAGCCCTTTTGGATTTTCCATCCTGAAATCTTGTCTGTAAAGTCTTGTTTACATGTTTTCTGGTTAACTGTGTGACGGATCAATTTCAAATTTTCATGGGTGGTTCGTGGTATGAAAATCTAGAACTGACTTAATTTTTGGCATTCTGAGTAAATTCTAAGGTGGCCATTTTGGATTTTCCGTCCTTAAATTGTGTCGGTAAAGTCTTGTCTACTCATTTTCAGGATAACCATTTGACGGGATCTCCCATGGGGGGGGGGGCATTTTGTACACATTTGTGTTCTTGTATAAATACTGCTCAATGGTTCATGAATGCTATGGGAACCGAAAATATGATGCAAGGGTCCACATATTTTATGTAAAAGAAACGACGTATATATCGTGAACGAGTTTTACTATATCATGAATATTTTACGTACAAAAACTATCAACTCTTATTAATACAATATCAAAAATGCCCATCTTGTCATTATCGATTGTGTCACAGAATGAACCCAAACATACCCTTTATTATCTTAATACATCTTGAACAAATCACCGGATTTATGAAGCAATTCAAGTTTCCATTAGAGGTAACTAAAAGCTTTGAAACCAAGTATTCTGAATAAATGAAGATTTCAGCAAGGGTCTATTTTAAGTGATGTTATAAGGGAATTTGATTATTATGCCATAGACCAAAACTAATGCATGTTAGTACAAAAACATTTTACTTTTGTTATAGAGTGAGCCAATAGTGATTGATAAATAGAAACAACAAACTATGATATTGGTTAATTATTGGTTAACTCGCAAGAAATTAATATAATGTCATTCGAAGCAGTTTTCGTGTAGTAATACAGTGATAATCGATCTTGACATTATACATATTTGTTCCTTCGCGGGAATTTCATAGCTGTTTGCCTTTAATACAACATAAATTACGGAATTGTTTGATAAAATCATTTTTGATTGTTACTAGTATTTTCAATGTCCAGCCACAATTTTAGCAATATTAATGCATTAGTCATTGACCAGACTAATTTTCCACGCGTTCTGGGGTTGTGTGCCGGGCTTTGTAAGAATCGTCAGGTAGTAAAGGCTAACGAACTAATTTTGAGAATGTAACACGTTTTGACAAATCGTAAAATTAAGTGACTATTGCAAGTCCGTTACACGGAAATCTATGGCAGTCTGGGCCAACCAAAAGAAAGAAAAACAAAATTAAGGTCTCTAGAAGTAAATTCCAATATTTATAAGAAAAATCCAGTGTCTCATTCTGTGTTACGCTCTGTAGTTTTGATTCTCAATATCAAATTTGAAAAATAATGTTTTTAAAACTTGATTATATTTTGGCACATCCTGTGACAATGTACTTAATATCATAAATTAATATCTTATTCAATTATTTCTTGTGAAATATTGAAAGAATCTGAAATCCTTTACAAGTCAGTACACGGTTCGTGTACTTTGATAGATCAATCGGATTAATGTAATTCAAAAATATGGAACAGTATGGAATGTGTTAAAGGGTGGTGCTTCATGTGTATATTCAGTGTAATTTTGTTTAAAGGGAGTATGTGTGGACGTATTCTGCTATCTGGTATGGAGGATCCTTCAATGAATGGTGTGTTCGAAAATAATAACAAGATCATTGCGAATATGCCTAGTTATACGAAACAGAGTACTACAACGTACAACATATACTTTGTAATGTCAACTGTAAGTTCAGGAAGATGGGTGATTGATGATGATTTTGTTTCTACCTATTATCCTGCTCGTTCAAATCTCATCTACATTGGAACTGGAGTTAAAAACAACCCGACGTCTGCATCAAGCTGGGAAAAACTGGGAGATAGCAAACTGGTAGAGCAGCCATTTTCAAAATGGAGCTGTGTTGATGGTATGTTTTAATATAATTGGACCTCAATGTAAGAAGAGTCATGTCACATGTTTAGTTATAGATGGGGACAAACTGCTGACATTTTCTCATTAATAGTATATTATTCACGAACAGCAAAGACTAGATATCAAAATTCTTTACATTCTAACAAATGGTAATTGAGAAAATCATCAACAGAATGCCTTGATTTTATTCTCTCTAATTGCCATTTTTAACTCTAATTTTAGGTATTGATGATTGCAAAGATTCCCCTTGTAAAAATTATGGATCTTGTATAGATGGAGTTGACAGTTATAGTTGTAACTGCGTCGCTGGCTACACTGGTCGTCGGTGTGAGACAGGTTAGCATCTTTAACATAGCTTGCATATAAACATGCTTCAAAAATACGCAAATTCAAGAGACTTCCCTTAAATATACAAAATTCAATCATAGCAAGTGCGTTTCAGCCAATCAGCTTGGGGCATTTCAATGCGTTAATTTATTGGTAAAATATGTGCACAACCATGATTTGGCCGTGCATTCAATTTTTTTATTCTAAAACAAGGGTGACGGCATATCGTCAACGTGTTAATTTAAGCCAATACGTTGATTTTCATAATGTTACTGCAAAGTTCTACTTCGAAATTATTAGTGTAGTCTCTTATAATTTTCTTTCAACATCAGCTTGCGTCGCTACAAATGGAAAAAGAACTACTACAGATAGGTTGCTTATTAGGAAAATTAAGTGAGTGTTCTTCACTGCGTCATCAAATCAGATCATTTCAGATCTTCGGTCGGTCTCTTTTACCTATCTTGACATTGTCGCGTCCCAGACTTTTGCTGATAGTCTGGAAGCAATGAGTAATTCTCTACCTAATTATTCTTTGTGGACCCAGTCCTGGTTTGGTGGACTGGATGAAACGACAGTTACAAATGACTTCTAATTTAGTACATATATTTCAACACACACTATTAATACAAGAAAATAACATATTTCAACGTCCTTAGATTAAAATGTCACTTTGAACTCTCTTTATAAGCTTGGTAGTGGTCGTTACTGTTGTGTTACTGCTTCCTATGGCTATTTAGGTCTTTGCTCGGCTCCTCTGGCTCTTAAGCTCTTTCTCGACCCCCTGGCTTTTGAACTCGTTGCTCGGCTCCTCTGGCTCTTTAGCCTAGCTCAGCTTCTTTGGATCTATACTCGACTCCTGTGGCCCTTGAGCTTTCTGGGAAGCCTCCTCACTGCTCGATGAGATTGAAGAAACCTTCCTTGAACCATCTTAGGTCCGAGTGGTGAAACCGAACTGAAACAATAGCTCCTTTGGCTCCTATGCCCTTTGTTCAGCCACTCTGGCTCTTAAGCTCGGTTTAGCTCATTTGGGCGCTTTGCCCGGCTCCTCGGGCTCTTTGTTCAATTCAGCCCTTGTGGCTCTCAAGCTCTACTTAGCTCCTCTGGCTCTTTACCTTTGTTCGGCTCCTTGAGCTCTTTAACCTGACTCTTTCTGACTCTTTGCTCACTGTAGAAGCTCCAAGCTGCTCAATGCTGTGGAACTATTTGTCGTCTGTGGTGAAACCAAACTGACACAATAGTCCACCCGTGTAGTCCACAAGAGTCCACCCGTGTAGCTCAGGGGTAGCGCATGTACCTCTTACGCAATAGGTCCTGGATTCGATCCCCGGTTCAGGCAAGACTTAATTTGCTTGTTTGCGTGAAGTACTTTAGGGTGTTTGACTGAGTGGTCCGCAACTCGTACAAAAGGCTGTGGTGTGTACTTGCATGTCTATGTATAAGTGCACATAAAAGAACACAGGGCTCCTTCAAGGAGGGGTTTATGGGTCTACCTTCCAGGTCAATTACGTAAATTACGACCGTATATATACGGGATATACCCAAGAGGTATTGCTCACCTTCATTGGTGGTAAACAATATACAATACAATACAATACAATAATAGCTCACAATGGCTCTTTGCTCAGCTCCTTTTGCTCGTTAGCCGGCTCATCAGGCTCTTTGCTTAGCTCCTATAGCTCTTTATTCTGCCCTTTTGGCTCTGGGCTCTTTTCCCGGCTCCTCGGGCTCCCTTGCTTAGCTCCCATAGCTCTTTGTTCAATCCCTTTGGCTCTTATACTCTACTTAGCCACTATGGCTGTTTACTTTAGTTCGGCTCCTTGGGCTCTTTAGCCTGGCTCCTCTTGCTCTTTACCCACCCCTTAGTGTTCTTTGCTTATTGTGAAGGATCCTAGCTGCTCAATGCTATTGAAGTCCTCATTGAACTATATACCATCAGTGGTGAAACCGAACTGACACAATAGCCTTCATCACCATGACATCCATTAAACAATGACATAATCTCAATAAATGTTTTCTATGTTCTACTTCATCATTGACCAGGGTCGTGTTTGAATTGCAACAAAGAATCCTGTACGTGTCCTCGTGCTTTCAAATTTGCAATACTGAATGATATAGGATTACTCATTCCTTTATTAAATACATAAACAAATCACTTTGTAAATAAATACAAATTGAAAGTTGAAATGTAGGTGTTACCAGCCCATAGTCTCAGCGACTGTTGTGGTTTATCACAAAGAAGTCTGTATGGATTGAATCATTTGAGTTTTTCAGCAATTTTGAGTTGCGCTCTGGTAACAACTTAATATGTATCGTGAAGAAAAAAGTTCCATGTATTATTGTGTTAATTTCTCTATCTTTTATAAGTATCTACAACTTGTTTTGATGTAATGAGTATTGGCTTTCAATTGTTTCACTTTCTTCTTCAGCAAGCATTCCAATGACTTCAGTATAAATGAAATGTCCTATGGTGTTCTGGTCCTGGATTGTGACATTGGTTTTCTATTGGAGGAGAAATGGGGTTTAAGACATCTCTTTTCACGTTAGATAATGGTTTTTGGATATATATGATCTATTTTCCTTATCACAGGCTCACAATAAGAGTTTGCTTTTCTTGCTAGGTTTCTTTATATTTTCATCTTGCTATTTAAAGATATAAACTCTACAGTTAATTATCCATTGAAATATTTGAAGGACAGTGGCCACCAAGAAATGCATGCATCTGAGTGATTTACAACGTTGACAAATTAGGTTTTGCATTCAGTCGATTTTTCGAAGCAATGACTTGTACGACATTACATTAATCTCTGAAAAGTAATTATACACTTATGATACACTGCATCCGAAGAAAGAGCCCCTCTTGCATAATACAAAGTCATCTTAGAAAATGGGCTCAATTTTCGGGTACACTATTGATAAGTCAAGACAATGATTTACTTTCACAATCCAATTTAACCATACCGTATATTCCAATTAGACATAGATGAATGCCTGAGCTCACCCTGTCCAACAAATGGAATATGTAAAGATGGTTTGAACGGCTATACATGTACATGCAGAGATGGTTTTACTGGACTTGATTGTGAGACTGGTATGTATACGTCAGGTTAAAGTATTTATGTTATTTGTAAACATGGTTTGAACAGATCTACATGTACATGCAGACGGATTGACTGGACCTGAGTGTTAGACTGCTGTTAGACTGGTATGTATAAGTGAGGTTAAGTAACTACCTGTTATTTGTAAAGATGGTTCAAACTACTCTACATGTACATACAAAGAAGGATTTACTGTACCTGATTGTGAGACTGGTATGTATACGTCAGGTTAAACTATTTACCTTTCTATGTTATTTGTAAAAATGTTTTGAACAGCTCTACATGTACATGCAGGCGGATTGACTGGGCCTGATTGTTAGACTGCTGTTAGACTGGTATGTATAAATGGTGTTAAAGTAACTACCTGTCTATGTTATTTGTAAAGATGGTTCGAACAGCTTCACATGCACATGCAAAGACGGATTAACTGGACCTGATTGTTAGACTGGTATGTATAAGTGAGGTTTAAGTTACTACCTGTCTATGTTATTTGTAAAGATGGTTTGAACAGCTCTACATGTACATGCAGGCGGATTTACTGGGCCTGATTGTTAGACTGCTGTTAGACTGGTATGTATAAATGGTGCTAAAGTAACTACCTGTATAAGTTATTTGTAAAGATGATTTGAACACCTCTGCATGTACATGCAAAGATGGTTTTACTGGACTCGATTGTGAGAAACTGGTATATATACGTCAGGTTAAACTATCTGCCTTTCTATGTTATTTGTAAACATGGTTTGAACAGCTCTACATGTACATGCAGATGGATTTACTGGACCTGATTGTGAGACTGTAAAGTACATGTGAACTGAGTTAAAAGCAGTTACCCATCAGAATATAAACGACATGAAATTGTTTTTATATGCATAATCCTTTTGTAAGCTCTTATTAACCTTCGCTTTTTCAAGGTCGGAGAATATGTAGCCGGAAACGCATGTATTTCCAAATAAAACTGAAGACTGTACCTATTGTATCAATAGAACCATAGCAATTCTTATTTAAAAAACGGGCGCTGTTTACCGTTTTTATTGATGCTTGATAAGACGGATAATTCTGTAAATGAATATCATACTTTAAAAATATCAACGGAACAACGATATCAGTCATGAGAAAACAAAACCTCAATGGCTAAAATTAATAAAATATTTTTTCAGATATTGATGAATGTCAAAGTGACCCATGTTTAAATGGAGGAAGTTGCCTGGATAGAGAGAATGGATATATATGCGCTTGTGTTCCTGGATATACTGGCACTAAATGTGAGACAGGTACGTGTAGAAAAGTTGATATTCTTATTTGAAGAAATGTGTATACAGTGGGGAACATAAAGAATTACAAAAGCTATGAAAATCACATGCTGTCGCACATGAAATAAATTCTGACCTCAGTGTATTCAGTGCTCTATTTTCTCCGTCCTAGTAAGTCCAGATATACTGGAATTTGTGTCCATAATGACAAATAAGAACTTAAAAAGGAGGAGGGAAGTTAGCGCAACAGATTTTGGACAGTCATATGTTTGATTTTGGCCATTTCCTGGGGATTTGAACAGGTGCATATATTAGGCGAATGCATTACCTCAAGGAAAATCACTTGTAGAGATGATAAAATAATATCGACTAGGAGACAGGGTAAATGCAAACAACCCACCCACATGTTTTCTCTGAAATATTTTCCTGATTTTCAACCCCTTCCATCCTTGCTTTTTTAATTTTTCTTGCATCAATATGTTGCGTTTTGAAACACAGTTAATACCTTAAAAGGAATAAATGATTCCTTTTAGATAAAGTGGAAAACAATATCCCATGTTAATTTCCCATAGGAAAAATCATTGCTTTCAGCTAAGTTTGGTCACCCATAATGGGTATCTTTAAAACCCCTTAAGGAATCACTTATTCCCTTAAAGTGGTTCACTATGTGTCAAAATGCATCATATTGATGCAAGAAAAATTAAAAAAGCAGGGATGGAAGAGGTCGAAAATTAGGAAAACATTTCAGAAAAAACATGTGGGTGGGTTGTTTGCATCTACCCTGTCTCAAAGTTGAAATTATTTTATCATCTCTAGAAGGGATTTTCCTGGAGGTAATGCATTGGCCCAACATATGCAATTGTTTAAATCCTCAGAAAATGGCCAAAATCCAACATATGACTGTCCAAAATCTGTTGCGCTAATTTCCCTCCTCCTTTGAAGTGGATATTCACATGTTAATGCCGACCCTTCAAATGTTTAGGTGATTTTAGAGCCCGATTGCGCCGCATTGTGGATTGGCTCCCAGAATTGAACTTGACACGTGCCAGCTTTCAAAATGGCGTTCCGCCATTTTGAAATCTGTCACGAGTAAATAAGGTTAATTGATGTTGCATTCTGGGAGTCAATCCTCCTTGGATCACAAGCATGGCGATTCATGAAAACATTCGTTCGATTTGGTAGGGATTTATCCATCATTTGCAGGTATGAAGCTTTGGATTCTTTTATTGTGCTACTTAAAGTGAACTGGAATTATTTTACTACCGGTCGGGAGAGTTTGAGACACAAAACTTAGAATTTAGCTCATTGTGACAACTTTTTCAGGTTAAGGTTTATTTCTGGCCCACACTTTTTTTACTGCCCTTCCACGTTTGTTAACATGTGTGTATCTTTTTCAGGGCGTGTTTAAAATATCTAGATTTCAAATCAAGACACCATATTTTAGTGATCAAGCTGTTTGGTCAAGGTTATACTTGTAAAAAACTTAAGAACTCCTTTCTGGGCTTTGCTGAAAAGTACAAGTCATTAATTTCGAAATTTCAAGTTTTACCACTTGAGATGCTGAAGGATGTAGGAATGGTATAATAAATTGGCAATGAACTCACAATTTTTTCACTTGGCACCTTTTGAGGCGGATCCCGGCTATGGCATTAATGGTTGAGAAATAGGGATCGAAACCAGCCATACTTTTCTCCTGATGACCATTGTGAATTGTTGTGCTTCATGGATTATGATGACGGCTTTGCGAACGAATGTTGACCCTTTGAATTGGCTATGGACCTGAGACTGGATTTTATTTTATCCCACATCATTTGAGACTGAATACTGAAAACTGAATCTTTTATGAGTACTAGTATCTACAACTACTTTTGATGTTATGAGTATTGGTTATCAATTTTTTCAATTTTTCTTCAACATGTATTGTAATGACTTCAGTATGAATGAAATGTCCCTTGGTGTTCTGGTCCTGGATTTTGATATTGGTTCTCAATCGGAGGGGGGGATGTTAGACATTGTTTCTTTTCACGTAAGATCATGGTTTTGGGATATATAGGGACTACTTTTCTTATGACAGATTTACACTTACAGTTTGCTTTTCTTGTTGGGTTTCTTTAAAGTTTTTAATCACCCTTATTTTTGGCCCACACTTTTTTTACTGCCCTTCCACGTTTGTTAACATGTGTGTATCTTTTTCAGGGCGTGTTTAAAATATCTAGATTTCAAATCAAGACACCATATTTTAGTGATCAAGCTGTTGGGTCAAGGTTATACTTGTAAAAAACTTAAGAAATCCTTTCTGGGCTTTGCTGAAAAGTACAAGTCATTAATTTCGAAATTTCAAGCTTTACCACTTGAGACGCTGAAGGATGTAGGAATGGTATATAGGGACTACTTTTCTTATGACAGATTTACACTTCCAGTTTGCTTTTCTTGTTGGATTTCTTTAAAGTTTTTAATCACCCTTCCCTTTGGCTTTTGCGCTTAAATATATATTCACAATCAAAATAACATTCATCAAATTTGTCAGAAAGGGCCAGGTACAAACAGATTTATATTTGGCTGGAGGTATTTTGGACCACACTACATTTTGCTTCAGAACTTTTTTTGTGAAATAATGGTTTTTAAATGATTTCACCCATCGATCATCTAAATTAAAATTCATAACAAACTTATGTATGATTTCTTTTTACAGATATAGACGAATGTGCAGCCCATCCTTGTCTAAATAGAGCAGTGTGTATTGATGCTGTAAACAAATACTCATGTGTATGTAACTCCTCACTATATACTGGTTCTCGTGAACCCTGTGCTGTTGGGTTCAGTGGAAAAAACTGTGATAAACGTGAGTTCATAGAAAAATATTCTAATTGATAAAAACTGTAAAAAAAGTGCCGTACATTGATTTTGATAAAAAAATAAATAAAAAAGGAAAAACTTACGGCGATGTATATATGTAATGTAGGGGTTTCCGAGTATCATCACATCATTGAATATTACAGTTGGATATGTATAATGTAAAACTTAAAGGGGCAATAATGCTTGTAGAGAGAAAATAGGAAAATTTTAACTTTTTCTGAGCTATCAAGGCAACAGTTGGCTTAACATCTTCTTGAACACACCTATTTTCTTAAAATGTATGGATAAACTATCAATTTCGGCATTAAAAAGTGTAAATTCAGTTCAAAGCTTCAAAAAGGGGACGTCCACTTTTATACTTTTAAGATCCACCATGTTTCAAGAGGAATATAAGCTGAAATAATGATTATCTAGGGGGTTTCTTTGTAGAAAATAAAAATAGATGTTATTAGTCTTGATGAAATATCCAAACTTAAATATATTTTGACACTGGTCCATGATCGTTGAATGGCCCCTCTGCACTACTTGTCGCACCTTTAAATAATCGGCGATAGATATATGTAATGTAGGGGTTTCCCAGTATCATTGCATCATTGACTGTTACAGGTGGATATGTGTACACGGGGTTAATGAAAATAAATGGGCTCTTTGACAATAGCTTGGCAGACACATCCTCAAAGGCGTATCTCGACTATTTGGATAGGATCATTTGTTCGGTATGTTATACTCACCCTAAAATTTAGTTAATGCTATTGCGTGAAGATACAGGTTTTTTATGTTTCCTGTCTATTGTATTATGTCATTTTAACATATGATGACATGTTGCGGTGACCTTTATAAATGCATATCATTTTAGTTTCAAACCACTCCAGGTTAAGCATAAAACATTAATCATAATATCATATATAGTAAAAAATGAGCAGATAAGTATCAATTAATTTTCTATTCATTTATTTATTTATTCAATTTCGTTCCACCACAGATTTGTGATAAAAATACGTTTTGAAATAATATGGCTTCGCCTGTATATGTCTTCGCCTGTATACTTAGGACAAGGGCGTTACAATACCCGGGAAATTATCAGTTCGTGCAGTACTTGTTTGTGATAGCGCCCTCTGTAGGTCACTGTGCTTAATTGCCTACAGTTATAAATTATATTGGGTTAACCCAACTAATTGTTATAACATGCGTATTCCCATACAAACGATCTGTCTTCAAGAGAAAACTAAGATTTGTGGACATGTTTTGCTATCATTGCATCATACCCCAGTATGTCCTCTGTCAGTCAAAAAAGTTTGAATCAAAACTCCCCACGAAAATCAAAAGATATTACCTGTTGAAGACGCCATCTATAGAAAATGTCAAAAAATGTCATTCTGATTTTGACAGATGGAGGCAGGTCAAAAAGGTCAAATTTTTTAAAGAAAATGCACCTTAATCACATCAAATCATGTCTCAGAGTTGGTCCACACATACACTTTTTCATTCATGTACTTACCAAAATCCAACCACTGGTGATGCTAATGTAATTACAATAATTGGACTATATTTTTGTTTTTATAATGCCATCTATTCGTCTTCCCACTCGGCGGAAGGATCTAATGGTTGTGTGTCTCCTAGTAGTGACCCATCCTTTAAGTTACAATTGTAATTTCCTCCAAAATGTAACCCCAAGTTGTTTTCTAGTAAAATAATACAAACCGCAAGCAGATTCGACTATTTTTTCCAGATATATGAATGATTAAAGTTACCCATCCCCTTTCTGCAATTAGATGTTTTCCTGGGATATTGACTAAAATTGGAACCTATGGCTAGATGTGTTGGGAGGTGTCTAGTTTGAGATGGGGAGGTAGTACAGAGCTGAATGAGCTATATCTGGAAAGCACATTTTGCCTAGAATCAATTTTTGTAATTTAAAGAAATAGGCAATTAATATCTCTTATTTATGCGCATATTTAATAACACGGGGTAGATTTTTGCGAAAAAATGCTTATTCGACACTTTTGGGAAATAGTACAGACCATCGTGACATTAAACTTTGTCAAATGATAGAACAATTCATGTGTTATCAATTACATAAACTAATTGTAATCATTATTATTGCTTCTGAATGTTTACAGAGAAATATTTAGTATGGAGGATACAGAAAAAATTGGTCATTTTCTCCAGTTGTTGTTCTACCCTGGGGAATATTCATCAAAGAAAACCAAAACAACACACATTTCCAATTATAGGTCTCCCAATTGATAAATGATCATTCTGAACACTGTATTTGATTACTTAGGGTTAAGTCAAGGTTAGGATTAGGGGTTAGGGTTAGGCTTGGGCTTAGGGTTAGGCTTTAGTTATGGCTAAGGGTAGTGTTGGGGCTAGGATTAGGCCCTGGCTTAGGGTAAGGCTATAGTTAGGGTTAGGGGTAGTGTTGGGGTTAGGCTTAGGCTCTAGCTTAGGGTAAGGCTATAGTTAGGGTTAGGGGTAGTGTTGAGGTTAGAGTTAGGGGTTAGGGTTAGGCTCTGGCTTAGGGTTAGGCTATAGTTAGGGTTAGGGGTAATGTTGGGGTAAGGGGTTAGGGTTAGACTCTGGCTTAGGGTTAGGCTGTAGTTAGGGTTAGGAATAGTGTTGGGGTTAGGGTTAGGGGTTAGGGTTAGGCTCTGGCTTAGGGTTAGGCTATAGTTAGGGTTAGGGGTAGTGTTGGTGTTCAGGTTAAGGGTTAGAGTTAGGCTCTGGCTTAGGGTTAGGCTATAGTTAGGGTTAGAGATATTGTTGGGGTTAGGGTTTGGTCATGGCCAATGATTTAGCTTTCTAGAGCAAAATTTGTGAAAATTCCAATAAAAATCATGGAAACAGTGGAGAAATATGACCAAAGTAACAAAAAGTTGACTCCTGGTTGGAGCCTATGACGGATGTGTTGGGAGATGTCTAGTTTGAGCTGGGGAGGTATTACAGAGCTGATTGAGCTATATCTGGATAGCACATTTTGCCTAGAATCAATTTTTGTGATTTAGAAAAATAATCAATAAATTTCTCTAATTTATGCACATATTTGAATAACACGGGGTAAATTTTTGCGAAAAAATGCTTATTCAGCACTTTTTTGGGAAAAGCATGGACCATAGTGACATGAAACTTTGTCAAATGCATTGAGAGAGATGAAATTAATGAAAGTCCCAATAAAAACTGGAAATAGTTGAGAAATATGACCAAATTAAAAAAAGTGGTACTCCAGAATGGGCGATAATAGGGTTAACCCAACTAATTGTTATAACATGCGTATTCCCATACAAACGATCTGTCTTCAAGAGAAAACTAAGATTTGTGGACATGTTTTGCTATCATTGCATCATACCCCAGTATGTCCTCTGTCAGTCAAAAAAGTTTGAATCAAAACTCCCCACGAAAATCAAAAGATCTTACCTGTTGAAGACGCCATCTATAGAAAATGTCAAAAAATGTCATTCTGATTTTGACAGATGGAGGCAGGTCAAAAAGGTCAAATTTTTTAAAGAAAATGCACCTTAATCACATCAAATCATGTCTCAGAGTTGGTCCACACATACACTTTTTCATTCATGTACTTACCAAAATCCAACCACTGGTGATGCTAATGTAATTACAATAATTGGACTATATTTTTGTTTTTATAATGCCATCTATTCGTCTTCCCACTCGGCGGAAGGATCTAATGGTTGTGTGTCTCCATTATAAATAATATTGGATAATCACATTTATGCGTGCGCGCGCAGCTCATCCACTGAACGAAACGCCACTTCCCGCTGAAATCACCGGGTATTGATTTTTCCCTTGCTTAGGATAGATGTTCAACATTATAATATAACATAAAGTTTTGCATTTTATATTGTTACGTTACTTTTCAATGCGGGGCTAAATTCGACCGTAGAGATTTTGAAACAAACCTTTAACTAATTCCAAATAATTATGTGCGTCATTGTTCGAGAAAATTGACATAGATTTATTTTATAGGTCGGACAGGGATATGAGCAAGGAGGCCTCGGTGGTAAATACATTCCGTCTATCAGTGTGAGATCAATAAGTGATGGATCCATTGTGGTTGAATATGATGTTTCCCTCTCACCATTGTCAGATGAGGCTGGTGATCCGCCATCCCCAGATGCTGTTCTGTCATCTTTTAATGTTGATGCCGCAAACCAATATGGAGAGATCAATCTTACAGATTCCGTTAGAACTCTGAAAGGTAAAGTTAAAAGTTACTCAGATGCGAGTTGGTAGTTACCAGTCTCGCCACCAGGTGGCTAATTCGGAGGGAATAACACGGCAGGATACTACAAAATCCCCTTAAACTTGAATATTCATCAGTTTTAGTGGTTCAGTTTTCATATTACCCTTATTACCCTTGATATCATGTAACGTCCTTTCACTACACTTCATATACTGTACATTGTAGATATGGATGAGTGTTCAATCTCATCCTATAATGACTGTCACGTGAATGCCACATGTTCGAACACAAATGGCTCATACACTTGCAAGTGTGACGATGGTTTGAGAGACGGCAATCCTGAACGTAAAGGAAGGATGTGTCAAGGTGTGTTGTTTATGTAACGTACAGAAATCTCGAGACCAAATTTTGAGTCACCCTGCACTAAATAATTCGTATTTGTCATTTTGAACCGCGTACCTGGTAATTGTTGCCCCGGGGTTGTTGTAGTTGTGAATTCAGAATAGTCAATGACAAAGATAAATCAAAGTGAGCACTATTATGGCAAGGATAAATCAAATTGAGCACTATCATCCAAAATTAAGTTACTAGACGGAAGTGCCCAGCCATTTTAGTTAACATTGATTTGTCAATCTCTCCCGCGCAATCAACTTTCGGACCATTTGTTTTAAAACCTCTGTCGATGGGATTTTCGTTTTAAGTTATTTTTGTTCAACATCAATACAGAAAACCCAAATATGACTCCTTTATACCTTTATACCAATAGTTCTGGAAGAAGGATGATTCCTAACTCCTGATTCAAAAGCTCGCCTATTTTCAAAATGGCCGCCATTTTCGTCTAAAGAAATTCACTTTTGGACCATTTGGTAGCTTTATAAATAATTTCAGGTGTTCTGCATTGTAAAAAGCCATGTCACATTAAAGAGTAGTTGTATGAAATGATTTTGTTACAAAAAATCGGCAAAAAATTATATCGGTTTCTTTATTTTCACTTTCAGCCATTATAGTGAACATTGATTTGTCAATCTCTCCCGCGAAATCAACTTTCGGATACGAACGAAGGGAGTATGGAAGTGATTATAAAAGGATGTATGAAAAGAAGGGAGTATGGAATTAATTGAGTACAGAAGGAATGAAGGCAATGTGGAATGAAAGGAGTATGGAATGAAGGGAGTAACAGGGAGGAAGGGAGTTTGGAAGGAAGGGCGGGATTATGAAAGGAGGTATGAAAAGAAGGGAGTATGGAATGAATGGAGTACAGAAAGGAATGAAGGCAATGTGGAATGAAGGGAGTGACAGGGAGGAAGGGAGTTTGGAAGGAAGGGTGGGATTATGAAAAGAGGTATGAAAAGAAGGGAGTATGGAATGAATGGAGTACAGAAGGAATGAAGGCAATGTGGAATGAAAGGAGTGTGGAATGAAGGGAGTGACAGGGAGGAAGGGAGTTTGGAAGGAATGATGGGATTATGAAAGGATGTATTAAAAGAAGGGAGTATGGAATGAATGGAGTAGAGAAGGAATGAAGGCAATGTGGAATGAAGGGAATGAGGTCCTAGGTACACGGTGACTATCCAGCCCCCGTGTACTTAGGACCTTTGCTAACTTGGAGGAAATGATTCTTTAACAAAGTAAAGGTCAAAAATATAGGCTTTTGCCGTCTAGAAAAAGTTTGCCTAGATTTTGATATATTGAAGGTATTTTTCAATCATCTACAAGTAGCAAAGAATTCACTTACTTTTTCGAAGGTTAAATAATTGATTTTACAAAAAGTTTTATATTTTTCGATCAAATAAGACGGTTAGGTTAATTTAATAGAGATTATTTTATTTATAGGAAAAAGCATATGTACGTATCTTAAACTATCTGGAACTGTGCTTTATAGCGGCATATATGAGAGTAGAAATCGAACTATTGGACACAGGCCTTCATATAACCACAGGGTATTGCCAGGAATATATCTGTACTACTCAACAGCTGATGCCCACTGGGTAATCGACGACGATTTTGATGCTACTAGTATTTTTGCATATTCCCCTGTTGATTCAGGACTCGATCCAATTTCAACAAACGTCTGGAGTTTAGCACTGGCTACATGGAAGAAGCAATTTGTCGTTGGGTTGGATTGCTTAGATGGTAATATTATTATGGGTTGTTCAAAAAGTTTTTCAAATTTCAAGAGTAAAAAATGTTCCTAAAAATAATGCACAAAAGCCCCATTTACGCTCGTAACACGAGCCCAAATGAGTTTTACCTACACAATTTGTCAACTATAATTAGAACAGTTTCAAGATATGCCCATCTTGTCATTATCGGTTATGTCACATTTTTAATTACTTTCAATTATTTTAAAACACAAGCAATGACATTCATTCTGGATTAAAAAATGTCACTTATAAGTATTTTTAACAAGTCGTGAAGACCCCAGTTGCTTGATTTCTTACAAAAACATCAACATTTGAACATTGGTGACGCTGCACCTTTTTAACAGACTTTATATCTTAGAAGCCCATCAGTCGAATCAATAAGATTTCAAGATTTTTTTAAATCTTCCATCAAATTGAGCTGATCCCCCGTCGTCTGTTCGTTCATTTTGTCCTATCACCGGGCGTGAATCACCAACGAAATATGAAATTCCCTACACCCCTATATTTTCTTGGATGAGACGCTCTGATTGTTCTAAGGTTACACTGGCGTTTAAAATAAACGGACATACTACTCCGTAACGTCAAGATCATTATTTTTAATCAATTTATTCACATTGAAATATTTATTCAATTTTTACATAATATAAAGAACTTATTGGTTATAGATTTTACTATTTCTTAGTTTCCAAATTTTCAAACTTGTGTTTAAACACTAGCTGGTTTCTATAGCATTTGTTCTCAAAATCTCCTTCATTGGTATAAAATAAAATTTCTTGTTCAGAAAACTTTAAATTTTGAGTATTCGCATTCGTGCAATTGACAAATCAGGGTTTTATGACTTTCTACTTCAATATTGCATATTTTACAAATACCATTTGACTTCTAAATTTTTGTAATTTTTTGTCCATATGACTCTATTAAAACATTTAAGTATAAATTCCTTAACATTATTACTAATGTCACAATTAACAAAATCTTATAAAAATCTGCCAAATCTGTTTGAGCAAACTGCTCAGACCAATTCTCTTCTGATTTGGATTCTCTTAAACTGTTTTCTTACAAACTCTTTTCTTATTGATTGAACATTGATTTTCTGTACAGGAATACAATTAAAATATATTTTGCTTTCACTGTTTTTTAATGCCTCAACCTTAACGCTGTCTAACTTGTTAAAAACTCCTTTGAGTAAATTGTATTGAAGAAATGTCTGGCCATTTAAACCTACTTTTTGCCCAATTTGATCATAGCTTAACAGTTCATTGTTTATATTACATACATCATTTATTTTATATTCACCTTTTTGATGCCACTTATCAAAATATAAAGGATTGTTCTTGTATAACAAGTCTTTGTTATTTGATGTATATGGACTACTTTTAACTGAATTATACATAATGCATGTTTTCAACACATCTGTCCAAAATGAGGACTTCATTCTATCCAGTCCTTTCACCTGATTTAATTCAACATTAGACAGTGAAATAGAAAAATCTTTACAAATTTTGTCAATAACACTGGTATTCACCTAGTTACGCTGACGATACGTCTGCGTAACAAGGTGGAAGAACTTCCGGGCTTCGTTTTCGGTAAGATATTTTCATTTCTCGATTCTACACCACTTATAAGTCAAGTTGTGAACAATAATTTGGCTCAAAGTTGAAGAAGATAGTTTAGTTTGAGAATATGCAGGCGGTTCTATGTTTGGTATATTAACGAAGACGCAATTCACATATTTAGTCCCTCGCTTTTGTTACGTTGACGATCTTCATGAATATTGTGCATAGGTCTAACAAGCCAGATATAGAAATTGAAAGAAAGTGTGCTAAACTCGATGTTACAAATGAATCTATAATTCATCGTTTACTAAGATTTAATAAACTAAGATCTTTAAAATTGAACCCTTCAAAGACTGTATTATGTCCCACGTACGTGGGTAGGTGGGTATGAGGTAGGAGGTTTTTTATACAAAGCCCGTCCAAACAATCAGAGCAGCCATGCATGATTACTACTAATGTGCAAAGGGGTGATGCTTTATATGTATATCCAGTGTGATTTTGTTTAAAGGAAGTTTGTGTAAACGTATTCTGCTATCTGGTATGGAGGATCCTTCAATGAATGGTGTGTTCGAAAATAATAACAAGATCATTGCGAATATGCCTAGTTATACAAAACAGAGTACTCCAACGTACAGCATATACTTTGTAATGTCTACTGAATGGTCGGGAAGATGGGTGATTGATGATGATTTTGTTTCTACTTATTATCCTGCTCGTTCATATATCATCGACATTGGAACTGGAGTTACAAAAATTCCTACCTCAGCATCCAGTTGGGAATTACTGGGGGATGCGGAATGGACTGAGCAGCCATTTTCAAAATGGAGCTGTGTCGATGGTATGTTTAATCTAATTGGTAATCAGTAAGTAGAGTTGTGTCGCATGTTTAGCTAAAGCACTTCACCCCCCCCCCCCCCCCCCCCCATTTAGGTGGGCCCAGAATGAAGAAAGTTCGCCTCAACTATTTCTAACTCACAATTTCCCTTGTTATGAAGTTTTTTCCTCAGACCTGAAATCCCCCCCCCCCTTGTTGGTTCCCAGATCCGCCCCTGGTAAGGGACGGACTGCTGACATTACCTCGTTAACAATATACAATTCAAGACCAACAACTCCTAATTATCAAAATTATTTACACTCTTGCAAAGGGTAATTGAGAAAGTCATCAACAGAATGCCTTGATTTTATTCTCTCTAGTTGCCAGTTTTTTACTCTTATTTTAGGTATTGATGATTGCAGAGACTCCCCTTGTAAAAATCATGGATCGTGTATAGATGGAGTTGACAGTTATAGTTGTATCTGCGACTCTGGCTACACTGGTCTTCGGTGTGAGATAGGTAAAGTAGCTTAACATAAGCTTGCGTCAAAACAGGCTTTAAAAAATACGCATAAGCAACAAAGATTTCCCTTAAATATACAAAATTCAAACATACCAAGTGTGTTTTAGCCAATCAGCTTAGGGCATTTCAGTGCATGAATTTAAAAAAGATCGTCAAAAAATTATATCCGTTATTTTTATTTTCGGATACGAACGATAGGATTCCCACTTTAAGTTATTTTTGTTCAACATCAATACAGAAAACCCAAACATGACTGCTGATTCAAAAGCTCGACTATTTTCAAAATGGCCGCCATTTTCGTCTAGAGAAATTCACTTTTGGATCATTTGGTAGCTTTATAAATAATTTCAGGTGTTCTTCATTCTAAAAAGCCATGTCACATTGAAGAGTAGCTGTATGAAATGATTTTGTTACAAAAAATCGGCAAAAAATATCAGTTTTTTTCAGCCATTTTAGTTAACAATGATTTGTCAATCTCTCCCGCGAAATCTTTTGTTTTTTCTTCTCATTTTATTGTCTGCCATTTTAGCCATCATTCACTTTTCTCTTTCTGAGCAATACCATGTGAGCCCAGTACCCATGGTACTATTTTTGGTCATGGTCATTGAGTTGGTGTATATCGTTGGTGTATAATGTTTTGACTAAAAATCATGGTTAAAGTCGCATGTAAAACGTAGATATAGCGTTTAAAGCACTTTGTTACTTTTTGGCCAGGTTGTCGCATAGATGGTGCGGACTGTGGAATAAATACTATGTATTCAGCCATTTTGTCTGCTAGACAACATTTTTGTTTTATTATCAAATATGTTTAAACTTCATATTTTAGCGATTCCAGTTGCAAGCTTTGGCCAACCACAATATCAGCATTGGAAGGATATTACACTGATCGTGATTGGTGCAGCTTTGGTAATAGCCATACTTATATAGTCGTTATGTTGCTATTTCTGTACAAAGAACAAAGACAAACAATAGCAACGACAAACAACGAGAACAAAGTTGAGGTGTGGTAACGACACGACATGATGGATATGGTTGATACTAAGGGACATGATAAGGAAGAAATGGATATAGAAGCGTTGATGGCTTAGAATTTACAATTTTCCACTAGTGTTTTAGCGCGTTACCCCTTCCACCACTGCTTTTTAATTTTTCTTGCATCAATATGTTGTGTTTTGATAATGGATATCTTTAAAAAATCGAGGGAATCACTCATTCCTTTAAAAGGGTTAACTGTGTGTCAAAAGACAACATATTGATGCAAGAAAAATTAAAAAGCAGGTGTGGAAGGGGTTGAAAATCAGGAAAACATTTCAGAAAAACATGTGGATGGGGTTGTTTGCATCTTCCCTGTCTCAAAGTCGAAATTATTTATCATCTCCCGGAGGGCTTTTCCTGGAGGTAACGCATTGGTCTAACATATGCACCTGTTAAAATCCTCAGATAGCCAGAATCCAACATATGACTGTTCAAAATCTGTTGCAATACTTTTGCTCATCCTTTACTCTAATCTTGTTTCATTTAGAGGATATGTATTATTCAAGAGATTTTATATGTAGTCATAATTATCAGAAATTGTATTATTCAAGAGATTCCATATGCAGTCATAATTATTAGAAATTGTATTATTCAAGATATTTCATATGTAGTCATAGTTATCAGAAATTATTACCACCTTGCCGGGTCAGTTCTAGGGGTTTTAGTGCTAGTTTAGAAGGCATTCATTTTACTATATCGACCTGAGAAACGTGTGACGTCATAGTGGTGGTCCATATGGACCGGTCTAGAATATATTCTGGACCGGCAAATTTTCCCCGGGAAATGAGATATCGTTCAGTGTGTAAGATTTTCTTGCTATTTCAGCCCTGGTCGTTAACGGTGGTAATAATACAAATAACGTCATTTCTGCGAGCAATATAGTGAAATATTGGACCTTGGGCCTTTGGCCCTCGGTCCAATATTTCACTATATTGCCCTTAGAAATGACATTATTGTACTATTGTATTATTCGAGAGATTCCATATGTAGTCATAATTATTAGAAATTGTATTATTCAAGAGATTTCATATGTAGTCATAGTTATCAGAAATTGTATTATTCGAGAGATTTCATATGTAGTCATAATTATCAGAAATTGTATTATTCGAGAGATTTCATATGTAGTCATAATTATCAGAAATTGGATTATTCAAGAGATATCTTATGTAGTCACAGACATTGGAAATTGTATTATTCAAGAGATTTCATATGAAGTCACAGATATCAGAAGTTGTATTATTCAAGAGATTTCATATGTAGTCATAATTATCAGAAAATGTATAGTCTTGCTCAAAGACTGTATCCACCTCCCCCCCCCCCCGTCACCTTCACTCTCTTTACCTGGCAATATACATTCAAGGTTTTTTAAGCAAGACTAGAAATTGTACTATTCAAGAGATTTTATATGTAGTCATAATTATCACAAATTGTATTATTCAAGAGATTTCATATGTAGTCATATGTTTCCTAGGTAGGTAGAGAAGAAACTTTGAAATGTGAACACCTGCTAATCTGAACACATTTTGCTAGCTGGTTCCAGAGGCATATGGGTTAGACAGGTTTTGTATTCATTTATTTGAGAAAATTTAAACATTTTCCCCCATTTTTACACTTTCTCAAATACCTTCACCAATTTATAACATATTGCAGATCTTTTGCGAGATACTATTGAGGCATCATTTGAAATGTTATGCTAGGTCATTTTGAACACATTTCATTCTAAACAGTCAACATTCTAGTACCACGGTTACTTTTAGAGGATTAAAGAGAATAATACCTCCAAAGGGAAGGCAGTGCATGTATTCCGTTGAGGGTAAATATAGATGTTATCTTAAATTATGCTGATCATAGGGGTTGACATCCCCATTAGCTGACCATCAAAGGACAGTAAAACACTTTTGATTCCTTTAAAAAGAGTTCCACCTTTGACATTTAGCGAGTTTGTTTTGGGACCGAAAAGCCACTAACATAGGTGATCTACAGGGTGGTCCAAAAAATGGGACTCTCGTATTTCAAAAATAAATATTGATTTCCTTGAGGAAAACATGTCATATTATATATCAGTGATAGGGAATTTACTTATCTTTAATTTGGTATATCATGAGTCCACCCGCTATGGCTCAGTGGCAGAGTCAAGGTTACCACTATCGCTTGGGCCCCGGTTCGATTCCCAGTTCAGTCAAGTTTGTTTAAGCGTTATGTAATTCTGGGTGTTTGACTGAGTGGTTCACGACTCGTATAAAAGGCTGTGGTGTACACTTGTATGTCTATGTACCCGTGCACACAAAAAAGAACACAGGGCTCCTCCAAGGAGGGGTTTCTGGCTCTCTCTTCGAGTGTATAAATACTGTAAAATACCAATGAGGTATTGCTCGCCAAATATGGCGGTAACCAAGAAACAATACTATAGAATGAGATCAAATTTATTAAAATGACTGTCAACCAACGTCCATGATATAAATGACGTCATTTTCGTTTCAAAACAGGTTTTCCGAAACTTGCAAAAACCAAGTTTTTTTTCAACTTGATTTACATAAACTGACGCTAATATGTCCACCATTTAACTCAATTATAGCCATCAATTATGGCCTAAACAAACTGCATCATTGACATGCTGTTGACACAGTGAATTCGACTTCTCAATAATTCTGTGCTTAAGGGACTGAGTAGATGTAAGTAGTTCTCCAAAAACGCTGTGGTTGCAGACGTTGACATCCGATTTTCCAATTATGTTGTTTTTGGACCATCCTGATATGAGCTCATTTTCAAAGCATTACATTTTCCAAGAAGATGGGGCTCCACGCAATAGATCTCACAAGAGTGTCAAATGTCTCAAGGAAAATGTGCCTAGATTCACCCCCTTAATCACTGTCTCGCCCAGATCACCCGATTACCCAATGTCTGCGACTGCCACGTATGGGGAGGACTGGCAGAATTGGTTTACCATAAATCCTTACAATCTATTAAGTCCCTTAAGGACAGAATTATTGAGAAGTGAAATTCATTGTCTCAACAGCATATCAATGATGCTATTGCCCAATTTAGGCCAAATTGAGGGCTACAATTGATCAAAATGGTGGACATAATGAACATCTGTTTATGTAAATAAAGTTGACAATAAAACTTGGTTTTTGCTTGTTTTGGAAAACTCGTTTTGAAACGAAAATTTCATTTATATTATGGAAGCTGGTTGACAGACATTATAATACATTTGAACTTATGATACACCAAATTAAAGATGAGTAAATTCCATATCCACAGGTATATAATATGACATGTTTTCATCAAGAAAATCAATACCCATTTTCGAAATACGAGTGTCCCATTTTTTGGACCACCCTGTACTTTTAGAGAGGAAATGAGGACTTGAAGTTAATCTAGGTAATCCATGGGCTTAAAGTAACGCTTGAGTAAAGGAGTCATTTGATTGCTATTTAGCAATCCCCAAATGGATTACCTATGGGACTTTTGGCTGTTTTTTGAAACTATTGAGCTGCTTTTGGGTGTTACTTTAAGCCCCTGGATTAACTAGATTAACTCCAAGTCCTCATTTCCTCTCTAGAAGTAAACCACCTCTGTTAGTGGCTTTTCCGTCCCAAAAAAACTGACTAAATGTTAAATAAACCTCTAAAATTCAAGAAAATAATAAGTTGCTTGCATCTGATACTCCCTTTAAGAGGTATGTGAGGATTAAAATACATTTTTGTAGAAAAAAGAAATAACAATTAGATTTGCCATGAAGTGCAAGAATTAAAAGATGTGACCACGCCCATTTATTATGGTTTTTATGGGGTAGGGCACTACTGAGTCATCGAAACTTAGGTAAAAGAGATCATATTCTTTCAAAAACCCAATTAATTTATAGTATTGGATAGACCTAACAAATGAATTCCAATCATATAATTGTGATACAGCTACCCACATTTTTTTATTTTAACGCTGGCAACAAGAATTGCTTAAAAACAATCTATTTTATTTACTTCATAGAAATATCCGAGAAAGATAACTTTCCATGGATAATATGTCCCCCACCTCCCCTTAAAATATTCATATAAATAAAAAATATGAGACCCTTAATGAAGCTAAAATAAGTTATTCTTTGTGGTAAATGTTCGAAAATAGGTGGCGCCACTATACCAAACTTAAAAGTTTGACCTAATTATCTGCCCAATCCACCTCAAATAAGTTTTGCTCATTCCTTGTTATGTTTGCCATGAGATATTGTTGGTATTTTCTTTCATTTTTCCATTTCCTTCGTTAAAAAAATATGTTATACCCCTACCCCCATGTTTGAAAATGAGTAGATTTACTCTAGAGAGTGCCTGGAACAGAATGATACCCTCAAACCTTTTTTTCCCAGCCGAGTAATGAAATCGGAGCTAGGGACAGCATCACTAAGACATTTCATTATATTAATTTTCATTATTTTTATGGAGACGGCAGCTTCTCAAAAGATGCTATATCAAAATTTTAAAGCTCACTTCAGTTATTATTGAAAGATGTGCAAGTGTGAAGGTTTTTCCTCCACCATTATCGGTTTTATCTTGAATAAACTTGCCTGTAGCAAAAAAATCTATTGCCAACTTTCTTCTCATAAATTAATTTAGTTTTGGCGTATAATGCAGTTCTGAAAAGACGCAGACATGTGTACATGTATGTTATATGGTTGTTATATGGAAATAAATCATTAATAAAAAAAGACATTTCAATTTATTTTCTAAATATCTCTGTTTTATCTTTGTATTTCTTGCAAAAAGCTATCGAATGACATCAAAATAAGATATTCAGTGCAATTTATTTATTGATATGATGTCCATCAAATAAAACAACTACAGGGTGGGCCAAAAAACGCCACTTTTATCAAGACACCACAACTTTTTTATTTTCCAACCTACATACCCCAAATTTTACAATTATATAGTGTCAAGGGTTCTTAATAATAATATAATGCAACAAGTCCTTCAAGTTGGATTATATTTGATCTAAAAGGGGAGTTCAATTGGTCCGCCACCCTAATTAATGATATATTTTAGTTTTAGTCGCCTTGCTGATAATGCAGTATCAATGAAATGTTAGCTAAGTTTTTTTAACCTGTCTTAATTGCCAGCTTTAGTTGAGCAATTTTCTAGATGGGGTGCCTTCATACAATCTCCTGGAGACCTTCCCATACCCTATTCTCACTGGGGTTTGCATCAGGGCTATTAGCTTAGCGATCATCAGGCCGTATCAGTTCAGGAACATTTTGCAAATTATGCTTATTTCTCATTGCACACCACATGTTTAAGTGAGACGCTGATGACATATTTTATTCAAGTAAAGGTATATAATTTATGATCCATGGCTAGATAACAACCTCAAGTCTCATTTGGTCTTCAAATTATGATTTAATATCAAAAAATAAAAAAGTTATAGCATTTTGAAAAAAAGTGGCGTTTTTTGGCCCACCCTGTATAATGGACAGATCTAACAAGAAAATGGCATCAGTCATTGTTACTCAATTATCCAATTAATTAAAAAGAAACAACACACCCAATCCAATCCAGAACCTATATCACAATCAATGACCACAATAACAAGAGAAATACAAAGGCTTCAATTGAAACTTTTTATGTAATATCGTGAAAACGTCATCACTAAGCACAGCGTTTTATATTTCTCCAGAACTCATCTGCTAATCTTTAAGAATCACGTGCGTCATTCCAAGCATTTTTAGACAGTCTCGACTTGAGTTCTAGAAATTATTTTTACCACAAAAACATATAGGTATGTTAGTCCCGTGTGTTATCTTCAATAAGAAAGTCAATTGGATTATCTCTTAATCTGTCAATAATCCAGCCACCATCGCCAATTTGTCTTTGATTTTCTCTGGCTAGACTCACCATTCACTACTAGAAACTTGCAATAGTCACTTAATTTCATTATTTATCAAAATGTGTTGGTTGAATATGTTTGAAACTCGAATGACATACTATTGGATGACCCTGTCAATGTATATATTGTGATTAAACATGAAAATGTTGGTTGTCATACATTTTTCTTTAGGCTTAACGGTTTTTATTGTCATATTAGCCATACATAGTTGAAATTAAAATGCATCATTTTAATGCAATTATGTAGATTTGTACTGTAAAACATATTTTAAATAGAAATAAAGATAGATTGAAAGATAAAAAAGATAAAACGCCTACTTTCTACAAGTTTTTCGCGAAGAAGTTTTTCACGATTGAAGAAGCACCAACTTTACATACTTATACGCGTTGTGTTTAAACGTAATTTACCAAAGTCACGAGGTTTGTTCTTTAAAAAAATCAAAAATATCAACATTTAACAAGAAGGATGGATTTAGCAATTTCACCTAGCCTTTTTGGGTGAATATTGTACAATCAGCAACGTCGTACAGATGTATTACATGCATTTCTAAGTGTGATTCCTAGTTCTATGGACTTATTTTAGTTTCTCTTGTAATCATGGGGATGCGTTTAATTGATATTGTGATAGCCTTTATGTTGGTGCTAAATAAATCATTTTAGATAAAGCTCGGAGAAATACATTTTTATAATATCGAATGAATTATGTTACATTCAAGTGACACTTTATATTGCCTTCTTGTTGATTTACAGTTGCACAGTTGCAATGTGAATAGTTGTTTACTGATATCGATAAGTTTTATGATATAATACTCATACGTGTACTTTTGGAGAGAACTCGTGAATTTCACACGTTTGAGTCTTTATATCTTCATATGAATAAATGCAAAGTAGATTCTATTTTGAATGTCACAATCAAGTTTATTTAAAAACTGCAATAGGTATATGATGCGCTGTGGTTAAAAGACTCAAAATGGCTAAAGGTTTATATCTATGTATTTGCATAGCTTGTGCCATCATCTCGCATGCATCAATGGCACTATCAAAACAATATAGTTCTACTGCTACAGATGTGAGAGAGGCCTCATTAGACGGAACACAAGATAAACAAAACATCGCAAACCATTCTTTGGTGCCATGTAGTTATACAATCGAGCAAAATTCAAAAAGCCACTTTACTGAATTTGTCAACGATAGGAACATTAACTTTATGTACATTGAAGTAAATTTTTCGCGGAGAATGGAGACAGCACGATCGAAGAAGCACCAATTCTTTTCACCTGGCTATCTTATATGGACATATAAATCATTTCCGGGAGCAGGGTATCCTTTACTTGGTTACCCATATGACGTCAAAATCCTCTCTCTCGGATTCCTAACGTGGTACGTGTACGATCATCTGCAGATTCATGTTGACGTTGCACCTGAAAATTGCTACGCAGAATGGGGTGACGATGGTACGATGGAACGCCTACTTTCTACATTTAGGGACTTGTCAAATCAAACGATATATGGAGATACTACATCGTGGTGTTATGGAATCAAATTCCAGTGGGACTGGATGAACAATCTCATCGTACATTGGATGCGAGTGGGTCGAGATTATACGGGATATATGTGCAGCACGTTGCCGGAAAGTCCGTTCCGTTTCAATGAGGTCATAAAACAAACTCGGTTCTTGTTCTTCCTGCAAGTTTGCGGCGTGATTCTCCTTTGTTACAGCCCATTACTGCTTTATATTTTTGATACAAGTGGTGAGAAAAAGAAAGAAGTCTGGTCATTTTATAGCTGCTTGAAGGAAGCGTTAATCGATGAAAGCGAAACGGACAGCAAGAAAAATGAAAATGAAGATGTCAGCGCAAGAGACACGCAGGACACAAGGTCTTTTGATAATATGCAATATGAGAACGAAACGGATGAAAATAAAGCGACCAGTGGAGATGGTGGAGACACCAATAGTGAGGATAAAATCAAGGAAAAATGTTATGGCTTCTCAAATTTAGCTTATATTGGGGAAAGCGAAATGGTCAATGCTGGGGGAAAAGTCAACATAAGGTTTGGACACAAAATGGACTCTGAGAATAAAACAGGTGATTCCAACAATAAAGATGAAGGAGAGGTCGACACAAAGTCTGAAGGCAATCTGAACTTTGAGAGTGACCGTGATATCGACGAGATTAAAACAGATGATTCGGATAATGAACGAATCTGTGGTGATGAAGAATATGTTGGCACAAAGTCAGAAGACAATGGGAACTGTGACGAAAACCTTGGTATCAACGAGGAACAAGAATGTGATACAGACGAAGTTGCTGAATACTTTTTTCAGGGGGATGTGCATTTATCCTTTTTTGTACTTTTGAATGGTTGTTTTGAAAAATTAAAAAACTCTGGTGACTTTAAGTTGAAATGGTTATTGAAGCTTTTCTTTCTGATTGTCATCGTCCCGTTTGTTCTTTATATCAAGATGATTGTATATTACTTCCTTTTGAGAGACGGTGTTCTTGCTCGGATGGAACAAGACATCCCTGTTGGATTCGTCGCGGTGCCGTTTGGCTTTGAAGCTAGCAGAAGGAATTGGTCATATTTCATGGGTGGACCTTATGTCATATATGGAGTGTTTTTTGTATTGGCAGGTATAGTACTTCTCTGTCTAAGTGATAACATTACTGTTTGCCTTTGTGCTAAGCTTGGGTCTAGCAGAGGTTCATATGATGAAGAAAGAGAAAAATGGAAATGGGTAGACAATAGACTGGAGCGCGTTCTTCATGATGCATTTCTAAAGCCCGGAGCATCTCATTTGCTCCAGTCTATAGATAATGCGGATATCGAGATCCTAGGTGGAATAGAGTACATGAAGTTAGATGACAGTTTTAAAAAATTCACCAAAGCTTTGAAAGCACGCCTATACATGCTGTTCAACAAACATTTCTGGTCGCATTATTTCAAGACATGGGAAAAACGATTCATGGTCATCAGGTTCTGTAAACCTCGGTGTATATCTAAACATATTGAATTTTGTAATGTTGAATTCACCTCGGTCTCTGAATGCCTTTCGTGGTCTTTGCAGTACATGGTCTTTATCATATGTCTCATACCATGGTCAGTGTTGTGCTTTTTGGGATGCATGCTTGATTTGTTTTCATGTTTGATGATTTATGGTGTTCCGATTGTCTTTTTGACAAAAAGCCTATTCGTAAATTTCTTTTTCATCAGTCTGGACATTCTAATTCATCTGAAATGTCTGTATTATATAACTCGATATAAGCTGCCCTTAATATACTTTATTCTGATAATATTTTCTATCTTGACGGGCACAATTTACATCTATATCATGTTCTGCTTATATAACATATACGGATCATCTACCACATACATCTCACAGACTGTCGCTTTTACATTAATGGGTATTGTTGCTCATCCAGCCGAGGCGTCAACATATATAGTCGTTGTTGCTGCCATTGTTGGGTACATATGGAAAGCAATCGATGATTATAATTGTATTTATAGTGATCTCCTAGAACGAACCATAAAAATATCAAAAGCTATACAACATGACTCGGTGAAACTTAACGAATTTAAAACCCCAGGGATCAAGAAATCATTGTATTTCTTTTTGGTCGAAAAGCATAAGCCACCACGAGTTGAACACTTTCTTACGCTCTTGTACCTCTGTATCGTCATCTCTTTTATTTGGGTGGCTGTCACTGTTGTTCAAATATATAATCAGGATTCCGAGTTAGATGGTGTCATACAGTTAGGATCATCTATTGTTTTTGGCTTAATTCCTCAGTTAATCGGGTGGTGTTTGCGTTCAAAATCATCTTCTCGACGTGATAAATTGTTTGAAAAGAAACTACGACAGAGCATTGAGCAATACTGGAGTCTCTGCTCAAATGGGATAGAGCAATATGAAAACCTCTGCCCAGACGAAACTGAGCAAAATAGAAAACCTTGCTCCGACGGGACAGATATTTTATACTGAATTTGTCATGCATTTTCAAAATAATCTTAATGTTTAAAAAGTACTTGTCATGCGGGTTAAAGGGGCGTACTGCATTATTTTCTAATTCCACAATGCCCAGAGGCATTCATGAATCTATGGCTCTGTTTGGTTGCTTTTTACGTATTGCTTTATGTAAGCAGTCTTGTCTAATGTACAATGAAGCGTTCATGTTTTCTGTACGTATCATTCGATTTTGATTTAAGTGTCTTTATTTCAACTGTTGTAGGATATGCTGATGATTTATATTAGTGGCCCTTGAACTCCACCGAATAAGTTTACAGAACTCGATAGACATTGCACATAAATTCTCCAGGTGTTGGAGATTTGATTTTAACGTTAAGAAATGTTGTTTTTAATATTTCATTTTATAACCTTGTATACATCAGGTCATTTTACAATATAATAATATTTGTGAAAAATGATACAATTTCAATTCTTGAACATTATTACAATAGTTTACAAATATAATGTACCATAAGTTGTTTAACCATTCATTAAAATAAGTATAGTTAGTGTCTTGTACCTTATAGCCAAAGACAAGAGTTTTATACTTTTTCAAGCTTGATTCAATTTTAAAATGATCTAAAATATAATTTACAAGTTGGTCTATTACATTAAGTACTCTATGACAATCATTGAAAGAACAAATGTTTATGGTCTTCTACTTGTCCGCAAATATCACACTTGTCATTAACACTTATTTTCCATCTTAGAAGTAATTGTTTGCATGGCAAAATGCAATGTAAAGGTTTGTATTTAAAATTGGCCACTTTTTTATTTTTGGATTGCTTTAAGAGTATTCCGGTCTGTTGAAACAACATTTGACTATTTTGAATTTCACAAGGATTAATCCAAAATGATTCCAAATATGTTTTAGTTGCTATATGCTCCATCAAGATTGAATATATGTCTCTACAACTCATTTTAATTGCATGTTTATCCAAAACTCTTTGGCCAGTCTACGGCGAGCATTTTGGGAAGTCAGAGGGCCACTTGTTAGACATAATTTTTCTGAAAGATTACTTTATGTAGCATCAATTCACATATGTCTGGGTCGTATTAGTTTGTGGACGAAGGATTCTGAGCCTTTTACCCCCCTAGAATAATATTTGAGGGGGTATTAGATTATCATTCTATAACCATATTTAAATATTTGGTATAGTACTGATTCTTACATAATATGTCACTAGAACAATGGTCAAGTGTATCCTAAAATTATAGAGAGATACGTCGATTGGTTGTAGGGGTAGGGGTCAACAAAGCCATATTAAAAATACAAAATAGTACTTTATCATTACATTACTTATATTACAATGTCACACATAGCTTGGAAATGATTTTTGAATACTACTTGGAGCACTATAAATGCCTATTATTTCTCTGAAGCTGCAACAATAAAATCGGTAAGACTAAAAAGTGGTAAGGGGTAGGGGTCAACAAAGCCATATTAAAAATACAAAATAGTACTCAATCATTACATTCCCCATATACAATATCACACATAGCCTGGAAATGATTTTTGATTACTACTTGGAGCACTATTACTGCGTATTATTTCTCTGAAGCTGCAAAAATAAGATTGGTGAAACTAAAAAAAATAACGAAAATATGCTTTTTATTTCGATAAATTATATTTTCTCCCAAACCAATCATTATATCTCTCTATAATTTCAGGATACACTTACCCACTGTACTGGTGACATATTATGTAGAAATCAGTACTATGGCCAATATTTAATTGATCTTATAGAATGATAATTTAATACCCCCCTCAAATATTATTGTAGGGGGTAAAAAGGCTCAGAATCCTTCGTCCACAAACAAATACAACCCAGACATATGTGAATTGATGCTGAATAAAGTCATCGTTCAGAAAAATTATGTCTAACAACTGGCCCTCAGACTTCCTAAAATGCTTGCTGTAGACTGGCCTATCTATAATGCTTCAATTTACTGTCATAAAACCTTAAACTTACATTTGTATTAACATATGTACATCTGCTTGCCTCGCTAAATATTTTAATTCTATATTGAAATGGCAAAGATTGCTTAACAGTTATATATTCTGCCATCCAATTGACACTAGATTTAAGCTTATTAAGAATTTCATCTTGGGTACACATAAGGCCATAAGAAGTAGATTATTTGTTTTGCGCCCTGATTCGAATCATGCAAGGGTACAAGGAAAACAAACACAAACTCAAGAAAAAAAAACTTGTTTGCTGAAAATATATACATTTTATGTGCAGAAAAAGGGATGACATGCAAATTTGGAGTGATTACAAACTCATATCTATATATTTTATACATTATATTAAAACATAGGTATTATTCAAGGGTAAAAAAATAAGAAAATACAAAATGTATGCCAAAGTTATCAATAACACTGTCAATTTTGACGCACGACAAATTATCCGCCATTTCGTCCGATTCTTATTGAACGAAATGCGATGGTACTTCCAGACCCTTGTGATTGCTATTTGGATGTGTTTGTTTTTTCTGATTTACTCAAAATCATGCAAGAAAGGGGACGCAAAACAAAGAATCTACTTCTTATGGCCTTAGATCATTAACATATAATATATTTGTTATTAAAAGTTAGGCCATAAGAAGTAGATTCTTTGTGATTACTAAGAGTAACAAATCTACTAGGAACAAATCCTATTGAATGGAATACTAACATGTTTAAGCAGAAAAGTAATGCTCCTATTAGAATTGCTCATCCAAAACACCCTGTTATCTTAATTGATGATCCTAAACAAGTCTCTGCTATGATTAGAGAATATTTGGCAAATGCAGGGAAGAAAATCGGAACAAATATCCCCCCTTTTAATCTGATACTAATGCCATGCTTTTGATCCTCCATCTTTGCTGTCAAATGACATGAATGGAGTATTATAAATTGATAATGCAGATAGTGGAACATAGAAATCATTACACTTGACACTTGTTAGTTACATAATTGTGGCACCAAATTAATGATATCAGATAGTATGTCACATGACTTGTATATTGAATTTTATTGGCTTAACAGATACCTGAAAGTTGAACTAAGATTTAAGCAAAAAAGTGCAGATAAAGGTTTATTCCTCTGAAAATCACCCATTTCTAGTGCAGATAGGCTTTTCTAACCATGTTCATTGGATTCCTTAGGGTCTGTTTACCCAAGATCCGCTGAAAACTCAATTTTGCCAAAAATGTTAGATAGAGGTACGTATGTTGAACTCAGCCCACGATAGATCAACAAGATACCAGTGTATATATAAATGTAATAATAAAAGCAGTATATTCATTTTGAAAAATCAGATGAATTAATTTTCGTTCATGGGGAGATCATAACGGAGAGTGCAATTAGATACTTTATCTTACTTTGAGTAAAATGTGTGGTGAGTGAATTCGCTATGGGCAGTGACGCCATCTACTCATTTTCAAACATGGGGGTAGGGACATAAAATATCCTTTTTAATTAAGGTTAATGGAAAAATATAAAAAATACCAACAATATCTCATGGCAAACATAAAAGGGAATGAGCAAAAATTATTTGAGGTGGATTGGGCTGAGAATTAGGTCAAATTAAGTTCGGCGTAGTGGCGCCACCTATTTTCGAACTTTTACCAAAAAGAATAACTTATTTTAGCTTCATTAAGGGTCTCATATTTCTTACTTACTATGAATTTATAAGGGGAGGTAGGGGACATAGGGATGATGGATATCATAATATGTCACAATGCAGGAAGCAGTGCATAAAAAAATAAAGCTAGTATCGAATTAAGATAATAATAAGATTAATAAGATCAAAATAAGATATTCAGTACAATTTATTTATTGATATGATGTCCAACAAATAAAACAACTTTAATGGGCATATCTAACAAGAAGGCGTTGGTCATTGTTACTCGAGTATCCATTTAATTGAAAAGAAACAATGTCTAACACCCCCCCCCCCACACACACACACACACACACTCACACGCACACACACACACACCCAATCCAATCCAGAACCAATATCACAATCCAGGACCAGGATAACAAGGGAAATACAAAGGTTACAATTGAAAAGATTTAGTAATATCATTAAAACATCTTCACTAAGCAAAGCAAAACGTTTTATATTTCTCCAGAACTCATCTGCTAATCTTTAAGAATCACGTGCGTCAGAGAAAGCATTTTTAGACAGCCCTTAAGTTCTAGGAATTATTTTACCACAAAAACAAATGGGTATGTTGGCCCCATGTGTTATCTTCGATAAGAAAATTGGATTGTCTCTTAATCTGTCAATAATCCACCCACCATCACCAATTTGTCTTTGATTTTCTTGGGCTAGACGTATCATGCTAGAAACTTAGTCACTTAATTTCATTATTTATCAAAAAGCGTTGGTTGAATCTGTCTGAAACTCGAATGGCATACTATTGTATGACCCTGTCAATGTGCATATTGTGATTCAACATGAAAATGTTGGTTGTCTTACATATAAATCAAGGCAACAACTCAAACTTTGCGATAAGTTAAATATATATGTAGAAATACTGTTAATTGTACGTTTATATTTCACATCATTGTAAGTTCATTTTGTATCCTCCAACATACACTTAATAAGGTTTACAAAAACAATTGAAAATCACAACAGAAATACCAACACTCAATCACTCAATCATATAACTCCACTGTCTGCAATTTAAGATAAAATTTAAAATTCACATTCTGGCCTAGCTTTTACTAAATTATGTATCAATAATGTATGCCGATGTGTTGGAGGATACATATATATATAGGAAACATATTTATTTATGTGACTCATAAATATTAAACATCGCTTTCAAGAGCTGGTCGCGCATACATTTTATTAACGTGCTGCAAAATATCAACGCAATCGATACGTTATAGGTTAAGAAATTCGAGTTTATTTTTGATGAAAAAATGAAATATTTGTTAATTGTCCAAAAATCCATCATTAAAGCGATATTTTGAAAAAAGATAAGCAATGTCCCAAGCAAATACCTTGTGGAAGTGATTACTCGAAGTCTTGTCAACAAGAAATAACACATTGAATGTCCATGGAATCAATGTACTTGATTCATTATCTCTATATATCGGGTGTCCCAATAAAAATGAGACACTTTTTGCCAAGTATTTTCTCGGCAACTAATAAACCCTATTCACTGAGAATTTGTACAAATTAGCCTGAGAGTATCATTACCAAGTTATACAATGATAAAAAAGATCAAGTAAATATTCTGCGAGGAATAAGAGATTCAAAATAGCATGTCAAAAATCCCCATAACGGAGGCCTGTGATGAGACCTCTATAGTGTTTGTACCAGCTATCAGGTGATAGCATTTGTAAATAAGTCAAAATAGCTTGTCTGTGTGTCATGTCTGCTTAATTCATTTCATTCTTCCCAAATATCCAAAATCCATTCATTCTTAAAATTCATTGGAGGTGATATTGTTAGAATAAATACGGAAAGGTATTGTGCATGAAAAGGATGAATAAGTGAGATTTACATCGATATTGGTTATTTTTACATACTGTTTTTAATTCAACAATACACACATAATAAGGAGCCAATCTCTTACATATTCATAGCATGAGCAGAAGATACCCAAGTGCCTCAGGAAAAGTTTTCAAATAATTTGGCTCATCCATTGCTGAGAAATCACTTGTCAAATTCTTCCCATTTTTGGTACAAACGCGATGAAAATTCTCATTGTATTGCTCCGGTATGGGACATTTTGATAGCTTTCTTGAATTTCTTAGTACTCATATAATGGTTATCTGATCTTTGTCATATTTTTGTACCTTGCTAACGATACTCGTGGGCTACTTTGAACAAATTTCCCCAAAATTTGGTTCATCAGTTGCCGAGAAAATACTTGGCAAAAAGTGTATCATTTTTTGTGACACCCGATATATCTCTATATAAAATTCATTATCTCAAGTATATGGCAGATTTTTAAAATTATCGTACGATATACATTTTAAATACAATCACATCACCGAATTGAAAACTGGATGGTACGCACTACGCAGTATATTTTGTTTGAGTAATTATAGTGCAGAAATGGGATTGTCGATGTATGCATATTAATAGGACGCAAATTGGGATTAGTTAAAAATTAACAAAACCTAGACTGTTTGTACACGACCTACTCGAGTCGTTAATAAAAAATCACAAGTACTCAGATAATGAATGTTTCACTTTTACTAAACGATTTCTACCGAAAACTCTTACCCTTTTACCTTCTGAATGCAAATTGTGATTTATTATAAAAAATAAGGCTCAAAAGTCAATTTTCCTCCAAGCCACGTGATCAATATTTGTACTAAAACGTGTTAAAGATACTCGACTCATTAGAGATTATCGTATTTGGATGAAACTATTTATGACTAATATTTCGCAGTTAAAACGGCGAGAATGGCGAAATATATCCTACTAATTTTCGTTGTGCTATCCACATTGTTAGGTGAGTGTCTGTTTTATTTAAATAGTAAACATTTTAAGAAATCGCTTTGTCCCAAACATTGGTAAATCATGTACCCATGACATGTCTGTAATGCCTAGGTCACATATGCTCCGATCCATCGGCCGGCGCCCGACCGATTGAGTGTTATGTTCAATATTGTATTCAATTTCGAATAAAATACTCAATCGGCCGGGCGCCGTAGTGAAAATCGGAGTAAATGTGACCAAGGCATAACGCAAATTCGTTAATTGGCGTTCTACTTTTAATACGTTTCCTGTTTGAAAAAGATCATATTTGGACTATCAACATTCTATGTTGTGAATTTTTGAGCTTACATTGTGACAAGGAAAGATATACTCTAGAATTCATGAAGATGTCATTTTCTATAAAAGTAAAGAACCACTATTGTTGAATTTCATACATGAAATTTTAGAAAAATTTATAAATAATTGCATCTCAAATCTTTAACACGTTTTGACTTTGACATTTTTTCGGGTATGGGAAAACATAATTGATTTAAATTGATCCCCCAAATTGTGTTCATATTGTTGTATGATAATATATAACAATTTACAACGATTGTAATTTTTATCTTTAGCTCAATTATATTCTACAATTGTAGTCATACATTCCAACGAAAACAATAATCATGGACGAAATTTCCAGTGTTCGGGTGTTGCAAGGTCACTGGTGATCCACTCGATTACGCTGGTTACCAAAACGGTTCGTTTTGGTAACAAAATGTCGGAACATCGAAGGTACGATTTTTCTTTTTTCCTTATTCCATACGTTGTAGGCAGAATTCCCACGACATTTTTAACACAAATGTGTATCAGTATCATATGCTTAAGAAAATGTACATATTTGCGAACAAATAGTTCAGAAGACAACAGAATCGTCGATTTAATTACTCACTTAAGTTACATAAACGGTTTTCGAAAAACGGTCAGATCTGCACTTTTAACCCAAACCGTTTATGTAACTTAAGTGACGAATTAAATCGACGATTCTTTTGTCTTCTGAGCTATTTTTTCGCAAACATGTACATTTTCTATAACATATAATACTGATATACGTTTGTGAGAAAAAAAGTCGTGGGGATTCTGCCTACAACGCGTGATATAAGGAAAAAAGAAAAATCGTACCTTCGACGTTCCGACATTTTGTTACCAAAACGGTTTGTTTTGGTAACCAGCGTAATCGAGTGGATCACCAGTGAAGGTGAAATACCATGATAAAAAATCACGTGTTGTATGATGTATTGAACCAAGCACTTCTTGGAAGTAAGGCTCTCTACACTCCCTGTCACTTCCCAGACATAATTATGTTTAATTGAATTTATAAGTGTCGACTTTGCACCTTGGGATGATCATCTGAACAATAAATGTACCACCCAAATTTAAAACATAGGACAAACATAGAATTGTCTGGTTAAAACACTAAAACCTAAATTCCAGCTCGATTCCATTAACGGCTTAAAGTTTAAACCACTTTGGCTTGTAATGCAGTCTTACAGTGCCCAATAATTCCATTATGTGATATCTGAACCTTTTTTAAATTTAAAAAATGAAAGATGTCGGGAAATTTGAATATCGGAGAAATAATTTTTTTCCCCAATTTTTTCTAAAATCGTTTTAAAAGTCATGAAAAATAGTAAAACTTTACATAGAGCCTATAATATCCTAGGCTGTTTTCATTTTATTCAGTATTGAGACAATGATTGAGATATCTACAGGGTAGTCCAAAGATTCGTGGCTGATTTTCAGTACGGTATTGAGACTATTGTTTAGATATCTACATGGTGGTTTACAATAGTTAGATCATTGATTAATCTTATGCAGAAAAAGTAGTCTATTCCTCATCTAAAATACACCAAATCTTTCCTGAAGCAGTCAATTTAATCGTGTTATGAAGAATGACGGCCATTTTGAAATTCAGCCGCAATCTTGAAAACTTCCTCTTGACTATATCTCTTTTTCCTTCCCTATATATCGACGCCATCGCCTAACGACAGTAGAAGCTATTCATTTTGACAACGTAGATAGACTGTCTGAGACAGTAAGTAACAAAATGATGTCATGGTTCTCTTTTTCCTGATAACCTTTCAATTCTAGATATTTTTTCTGAAACCTCAAAGCAATCCTAACATCCAAATTATGTACATGATAAGGTTTTATAACTGTAAACTGTAGATCGAACGGATACGTCCACGATGTTGAGTTCGTCATTAACAAATTCGACCTAATCACTTGCAGATTTATCCACGACATCTCCATCAAGTGGTACAACAATTGGAACTTCAACAGCAGTATCTCCAGCCACAACAACGGCAACCCCAACAAAACCACCGAGTACTAAACATACACCAACAGTGCCTCCAACCACACAACAAACGAGTACTAAACCTGGAGCTACAACAACAGTACCGTCAACCACACAACAACCAAGTACTAAACCTACACCAACAGTGCCTTCAACCACACAACAAACGAGTACTAAACCTACACCAACAGTGCCTTCAACCACACAACAAACGAGTACTAAACCTGGGGCTACAACAACAGTACCGTCAACCACACAACAACCGAGTACCACATCTGGAGCTACAACAACAGTACCGTCAACCACACAACAACCGAGTACTAAACCTGGACCTACAACAAAAGTACCGTCAACCACACAACAACCGAATACAACAAAAACACCTTCAACCACACACCAACCGAGTACAACACTTGGGACAACAACACTTTCTCCACCATCTGGTAAACATTATTCTATTGTAATTGTAAAGTTTTTATTGGTATTTGTATGAAAGACTATTGCATGTGCGTGTCAGATTTGCGATGACGTAAGTCACTTGGACAAGTATTAAAGTTATTTGAACAGTTTCCCAAGGACTTATGAGGTGGGGGGTGTAAATCATTGTCCAAACCATATATTCCTTATGTATTCTTGTAATTTTCAGTATATTTCTTCCCAATTTACTTTACTTTTCCTTTGGTAAAAATGTAAGTAATAATATTCCTGCGATATCATTTATTACAGAACCCCAACAACATGAAAATCTACCAGGGCGTAGTTTGAACATAAAGTGCCATGTTTTGCATAACACTGTGAATTTTTCCTTACATAATCTTTTCTCTAGGCTTCCCATGTCCGATTCCACAACTGAGAAATGGATTTATAAACCATACACATTCAGATGATTCCCAGCATTATCCCCCAGGAGCAAATTTGACCTATACATGTGACAAAGGATTCTGGGTAATTGGAAAGAAAAATGGTGTCATAACCTGCAATGTTAGTGGAACGTGGGAACCTAAGATTGATCAATGCAATGGTAAGGTTACTATAAAATTTTGAATAACTTAATCTTAATCATGTTAATTAACGCTTTATAGCTCATCTTGTACCTATTGCATTACAACTACCAACATTTAGCTTAAATAAATAAATAAACAAATAAAAATATTAACTGACTGACTGGCTGGCTGGCTGGCCGGCTGGCTGGCCGACCGACCGGCTCACTCACTCACAATAAGTAAATCATCATAACATTGAAGAAGTTACCATTACATCCCAGCAGTTATCCTTACACAGTAACATATATACTTACTTTAAGTAATAATTATAAGATCCACTTTAAACATTTATCACTATATTTCAGTCGTTGACTGTGGTTGGCCGGGTCCTATACACAACGGGAACGTTTCCGTGCCGCAGAATTGTACAAAGTATAACTGTATAGCCAGTTATCGATGCAAGAGGAACTTTGCCTACAATGGCAAGACTGTGGTATGTTATATTCTGTTGTATATTATATATTTTGTAGGAGGATGATACCCCCCCCCCCAAACGTTTCGCAAGCTGAAATTACCATCGGCTCGTTAAAGTCTATTTAAGCCTGAATCTTAGTAATAATTTCCTAATACTTATTTTTTCAAGTATATTGAATTTTTAGAGCGAACCGACCCCTTGGGCAAAAGTTCTTTCAAAATCACGCAGTTTTTCACTTTTCTGAGCACTTTTCAAGTGATTTTTGGCCAAAATTGTCAAATGTGACCTCCCTGGAATTAAGATGGCCTGAACTATTTTGCTGCTTTAGGTTTGGATAAAATGTCTAGAGAGGGGTGAGTGGAATATGACCGTTGCAGCGTGCACTCCAACCGCTGGACCAACAAGTCCCCAGAATAGAGGTCAGTCCAGTTATCTTTTATTAACTCAGTTCATCAATCTCCCGTCCCTACATATTGGTAAATTTACGAATCTGTTCGCTTAAAAAATGATTAAATGCATTAGAAATATTCACTTTTGCAATGAGTTTAATATACAACCTCGATTGATTAAGGTGGGCCAGTCATGCACAGTTTGGACAATGACGTAATGGTGCGCAATTAAGTCTGGACATTGACGCCATGCGCAATGTAGTCTTGACATTGACGTTATGTGTAGCTGAGTCTAGACATTGACATCATACGCAACTCATATTGACGTTAATATGTGCAACTGAGTCTAGACATTCACTTCATGCGCAACTGAGTCTGGATATTGACGTCATGTGCAGTTGATTCTTTACATTGACGAATTCAGTCATGCGCAATTAAGTCTGGACATTGACGTCATGTGTCACATAGTATGGACATTGATGTAATGCATTACTAAGTCTGGACATCTACATAATGCGCAAATGAGCTTGAAAACGTCACTTCTAACCTTAATACTTTTTAAACAGATGCTTTTTGCATTTTATTAGGTGTTGCAGTAGCCCTTGGTATACTTATAACAGCCATAGTGTTATGTATCCTGGTCATTGCAATTATGATTGCGTGTAAAAGGTCAGTAGTAGAGAATAGTAGTACTACAAGTAGTATTGTGTTTTGGAGAGAAGGAAAAGATACTCCATAATTTTATTTATTCTTTCACCCCGATCCTCCTTAGGAGTGGACAAATTGTATATCTGTATATAGGCAGGACACAAGACATTATACATCTAAAAATGTCATTTCGGATACATGCATTGAAATTGTTTATGTTTCCCATAATGCATTGTAGGCGTGGCATGCAGGGTAGTGATGATGGGAACTACGTTCCTCCACATCGAAGAATCACATCAAGTGTACCAGCATTCATTAGGAATAAAAATCCATTTAGGTAAGAAGATGATACGTTCTTGAACTATCGTGGTTTGCTCTGGACATCGTTGCTCATATATCTGGAATATTGGGGTCTTCATAATAATCCGTATATTGTCCTAATTGTAAGAATTATAAAATTATTCATAAAATTGGCAACGTTGTATGTCCTAATTGACCATCTTAATACATTTCCAAATTGCAGACTTTCAAACATTTTCCAATTGTCCAACTTAAACATTTTTCAATTGCCTACTTAACAATTCTCAAGTTACCACCTTTATACATTTCCCAACTGCCTTAATGCATTTCCAATTGTCCACCTTAACACACTTCTTTTTTGCCCACACTAATTATCTTCAATATTGTCCACCTGACAGATATACATATCCATATTGCTCACCTTAATTCACTTCCTTATTGCCCATCTTAATGCAGCTCCCAATTGACTACCTTAATATATTTCCATATTGCCCACCTTAATACACTTCCTTATTGCCCACCTTAATGCAGTTTCTTATTGCCCACCTTGATGTAATTCCCTATTGCCTACCTTAATACATTTCCATATTGACCGCCTTAATACACTACCTTATTGTCAACATTAATGCATTTCCTGATTGCCTACCTCAATAAATTCCCTTATTGCCCACCTTAATACACTTCCTCTTTACCCACCTTAATCTATTTACTGCAGGCGACAGAGAAACGAGGAAGAGAATGAGATGAATAGAGAATTCAATAATCCATTGAGCAACGGTGCTCCTCCAAGTAACAGCGAAAACTACTCGTATGAAGTTCATCCAAACCTTGACAACCGAACCTATGGCACAAGTGCCCAGTTCCGTAACGCGTCGACCACCGATGACTCTCACGTGACACTTGATGTTCCAAAGGGATCCCAACAGTCCGAGATTTGATCAAATCTTAGAGATGATCGTCATAATTTGAGATTTGATCGTACAAATCCGATCTCGTAGATTAGTTCAGCCTATCATATGTATCTTGGATATCAACGTTTCAAATTATAATCCATGACGTTGTCAAGATTCACCCTTAATTACAGGCAAATTCGAGATCTGATAGAATATTTGATACATTTGATAAGAAATGAAACCATTTTCAGCATGGGCTTGTGGGCGATAGAAATATTTTTTATGAAGACGGCTACTAGTTTTTAAAAATTAAATAAAAAAATCTAATAAAGCTATACCTCTGCTGCTATCTTTATATATCTGCCTAAAACCTGAGTTCTTTTAGCGTGAAGTATGACAACCAATCAGCAAATATTAGGGCCTGGTAACCATGACAGCAATCTCCATAACTTACATTAATTTATTTTGGTTTCTGTTTTGAAAGAAACTCACGGTGGTGCGTAGTGCGTGCCATCGTAGAAGAATATTCACTTGGAAACATGTACATACGTGAAGCGTGTGTATAGTCAGGAGTTAATAATCGAGGCAAATAGATTGGACAAAGAAGGCGATACAATGATATCATTAGATTTCTATTTCCACGTTCAACTGAAAAATTGATCGTGGGTCATTCTTTCTGCCAGTAACATTGAACTGAAATATAATTGTAATTCTATGAATAATGAATATCCAAATGTTTTGTGATTGTATCGTCGCTGTAAAACCACTCATTGTGTTTATTGCAAAATTGAGTTATACTCTTGAAGTCAAAAGAAAAGTTAAATTTTTAGACTGAGGATGGAAGTAATCTAAAAGGTTTTATTTTAAGGGCTGGGGATGGGGTAAATCCAAAATGAATATCACTTAAAAACAATGAATGAGGATAGGGGTAAAGGAAAAGTTTCATTATGGTAGGGTAGAGGATAGAGTAAGGAAATTAATTTCGGTTTTGCAGATTTGTTAACTTAAATCTGTGTATGACATGTATTTGAACGAAAGTGTTTGTGATTATTTAGTATTAATATAAAACACTACGATTTATATATGTAAATGTTTGGTTTTCAAAACCACTATTTTTATTTATTGTATTCATTTCCCTAATAATTTTTAATGAATCATGATTTTAATACAACACATATCTTCTAAAATTTATCATTGACAAGTTGTAAAATATTCTAACAAATTTTAACAACTGCTCAATTGATCACAATTCATAATCTAGGTCAATTCATGCTCACCTTATGCTATCCACAACTCCACAAACAAGACCTTGTTTTACTGTTCAGGAAGATCTGCCGCCCCCTAACTGTTTAAGGGTTAATATAAAACACTACAACTGATCACATTTCATTATCTAGGTCAATTTATATTTTCCATAAACAAGTCCTTGCTTTAGTGTTTAGGGGTCAACCATCACACTAATTGATTCAGAGCAAAAAAGATGCTGAGCAATTGTACATATGTTTTACTAGTTTCTCAGAGACATTGCATTATATGTGTACTTTCTATTTCAAATTTTGACGTGCTTTAATTCAGATTGCATCAAGTCTCTAATTCCCCTCACCCCCCCCCAAAAACAAAACTTGTAGACAAGTTATTTTTATTTGACGATGGGGGGGGGGGTTATTATACAAGGACCAGAACCAGACAGATAGAAATAATATTTGGCATCAATCAGTGTAGATGTTTCATCTTTACTATAGCAACCTTAATTTGACTGCACTCAATGCATGTGATCCAAGAACTGGTTACAGTATATACAAGGTGAACCAAAAAAAGGTAACCCCAACAATTGTACATGTATGTCAATAACTCAGTCATTCAACATGGGTATCAAATCATATTTGACACAATCATATTTGTTCAAAATGGCCACCAAATTGTGACCACTAGGGATAGACCACTGAAACTTGGTAGAATGGCAATACATTGGGCAAGGCCTTATTGTGCCGAAAATGACACTAAACCCATGCTGAATGAATGAGTTATTAAGATTTGTTAGGGTTACCTTTTTTGGCTCACCCTGTACATGCACTAAAACATTTAAGCATTTGATGCGTGCTACTGTAGTAACTGACTTTAAACTAGGCTAACACACAATCCTATTGTATTCCATATATAGGCTATATGACAATCCTTTTGTATATAATATATATATAATAATTATATGACAATTCTATTGTATTCAATATAGAATAAACGGTTTTGTAATCAAAAAATGATTTTATGTTTAACCCATTTCATGGTGAATCAAATGCTATTGACCTAAAAAAATTATGAAAGGAAATACATATAATACAAAATAAATGTATTAATAATGGCTGAATGTCCTTAATGATGATATGACGATACTGGGTACTTGTTGAAAGGATACAAATAGAGGTTTTATAATACAAAGCTATCTCAGTTTTGCATTATTAATGAGTATCGTTGCATGAATATCCAGTATTCAGTAACAAACAAAAGTTATTTTTCTATCACTTAGAAACAAGGCATTAACATGCTAAATTCCGTGACCTACCATTTGTTAGAGATGCTGAATACCAAACACCAACCGCCGAATGCCAATCGCTGAACACCGTTCACAAAAAAGTTGAAGACTATGCTGGGTTATATAAGACTGATATTGGAACCAATCCATTGGAAAATTTGGTAGTTGGCCATGATATTTAGAGAATATGTCACTATCGTTGCATATATGCCCGAGGGTTTCAGTGATATATGGCCCGACCTTGGGAGGGACATTGATCACTGAGAACCGAGGGCATATGTGCAACTATAGTGACATAAACGATTTATAACATACCTATGATGATCTAGTCTAGTCAGAGAGTATCGTTTTCTTATCTAATTGACTAGCAATGGTTCGGAAATGATGATTTATTCCCATGTTTGTATCTTACGAATGTACGAGTCAATTTGACCTAGGCCTAATGTATGACGTAGTCCCAGCGCTTGACCAATCAGAAAGTTAGCGGGCGCGGGCTTTTCAAAAGTTATATTGGCCCGCTCTCTTGTGAACAGTTTACACTAGGTATGTAGGTATGTTATAATACATGTTATGTATACCTGGCCTTCATATTACATGATATGGTACAACTGACCATGATAATACATGAAATGGTAGAGATGGCCTTGATATTACATGAAACTGTACACCTGGACCTGATTTTACATAAAATTGTACACCTGGACCTGATTTTACATGAACCTGATTTTACCTGAAATTGTACACCTGGACCTGATTATATATGAAATTGTACACCTGGACCTGATTTTACATGAAATTGTACACCTGGACCTGATTTTACATGAAATTGTACACCTGGACCTGATTTTACATGAAAGTGTACACCAGGACCTGATTTTACGTGAAAGTGTACACCTAGACCTGATTTTACATGAAATTGTACACCTGGACCTGATTTAACATGAAATTGTACACCTGGACCTGATTTTACATGAAACTGTACACCTGGACCTGATCATTTTACATGAAATTGTACACCTGGACCTGATATTACATGAAATTGTACACCTGGACCTGATTATACATGTACAAAAGGCACTATTAGCTGCTGATCCTATTCAAGATTAAAGTTGGCAATGATACTGCATGAAACACTCTGAAGGTTGATTAACAAACTGGGAGAATTCATTATGTTGTATGTCCCACATTTAGTGTGTTGCCGTATTAGCTGCTGATCCTATTCAAGATTAAAGTTGGCAATGATACTGCATAAAACACTCTGAAGGTTGATTGACAAACTGGGAGAATTCATTATGCTGTATGTCCCACATTTAGTGTGTGGCAGTATTAGCTGCTGATCCTATTCAAGATTAAAGTTGGCAATGATACTGCATAAAACACTCTGAAGGTTGATTGACAAACTGGGAGAATTCATTATGTTTTATGTCCCACATTTAGTGTGTTGCCGTATTAGCTGATGATCCTATTCAAGATTAAAGTTGGCAATGATACTGCATGAAACACTCTGAAGGTTGATTGACAAACTGGGAGAATTCATTATGTTGTATGTCCCACATTTAGTGTGTTGCAATATCAGGTGATCAATGTGTCCAATTGTTCTTGATATTCAGTGAAGAGTCTTTGTAACCTCAGATTAGAACCAATAACTGGTAAAATTTCCTGTAGAAGTTTGCGTTTACATACACCCTGGAATTAAAAAAGTTTACAAAGTTTATGTTAGGGTCAATCATACACCATGACCAATATAAATGTTGCAACAACAAGTTTTGTGGAAATGTTCAACAATTGCAGTAAACCTCATAATATAAATGTTATTGAATTTTCAATATGAAAAGGTGATACAATACAAGAGGGTGAAATAGTTTATACAATATGTTAAAAAAAATTCTCCAAGGTAAACATCTTGGAATCATAACTCAAAGCTAGGCATCGACATGTAAAATGTCACTACCTGCCATTTGCTACAGACACCAACTGCCACGCATTGTCTACAAAAAAGTTGGTGACGATGACGAAATGTCACTATTTGTGGTGGTGACATAATGACACTGCCTGCTGTTAAAAATTCTTATGAAATCCTGTTAATCTCTGTGTCTGAGGATGAACACAGGCTTGATGCACGACAATACTTTAAAACTTACCAATATTTTTGATTGCCAGTTGTTTGTTTTACTTTTGTACAATGGTCCTAACAGATCATCACATATCTCACGCAACTTATTTTCAATACCTAAAAAAATGAAGGCATTGTACTGAGCTCGGGGGAACTAAAAATACACAATAATCAATTTTTGGTTTGATTCCAAAAACACTGTGATATGGTATGTATAGTATATATACCACAGCATGCTACCATATAATATGATATGGCTTATAAGGTAAGGTAAGGTAAGGTATAATATTGTGCGGTTTGACAAATAATGGCATTCTATACAAAGTGTGGTATTGGGTAGACATTGTATACTTAATATTATTAAATGGTAAGGTTTCAAACAACAAGGCATTTACATGATAAAATATTATGCCTTTGTCACTTGAATAAGGTACAAGAGTGAGTTACAACTTGTTAAAGACACCAACATCGATCCGGACCAGCAAACATTTGCGAGTCACAAAAACATTGACTACAACAATATGTCACAGCGTTTTAAATGGTGAAATTATAAAAATCAACCTTCAAATTCAAATTAAATTAGCAAACAGACTTGAATAATAGTTTCGAGCATCCGACACCTTAAAACCCCATAGTTCTTTTTCAGCATAAAATTACATACCTTCTTGTGCTAAGTACCGTAGATAAGTCGAGAGCCAGAACCTATACTCAGTAGATGACTTCAAAGCTAATGATAGATTCACTTGGTTTTCTAAATGACTAATCGTTGTTGATTGTTGAAGTGTGGGGTCAGTTTGGAATATTCTATTGGCTTGACTTCCAGCTCTGCAAATTAGAAAATTGCAAATTTTACAACACAATTAACTGAAAATCATGTATTTATACATAAAATTCTCTTGTTTACACTGAGCATCTTTTGTCCATATTTCTTTTCTTATTGTTTTACTCAAGTGTGGTTTATGGCCCTTTATTGCAAAGCCGTGGCATGTCCATGTGATATTTAATATTTTCTATAAAATAAGTACTGTATGGGTCTTGGTAAAAAGAAAAAGTACCATCTAAACATTGGAATTACAAATAAGCTGTATCAATAAATTATATTGTATTTCATCGAATTTGTCTGTCTTGTCTTCCTTTCATATAAGCTTATAAATTATGCATAATAAAGTTGGATTAACTGACAAATGCAGCAACAAACATACTTATTTTTCTGTTGTTGTAAAGTTGCTAAGGGGCCTTTAGAATGGCGTCCATCTTGTGGTAGACAGGAGTGATGATCTGATAATTGTGTCAAGGGGTCTTCACGTCTTGGTATGGATAACCTAAGAAAGAGTTGTACATATGAGGTTTCTTATAATATTACAATAAGATTTCTTGAAATATTACAATATCTATTATGGATAACCGAAGAAAGTGTCATGTACAAAAGAGTTCTTAAAATCACATCCATCACATCCAAATAGTTATTCTGTCAATATATTCACCCTTTTTACAGTGTACTTACCAGCAACCAAGGTCAGGTTTAAATGTGTACAATTTATTGTTGGATAGTGTCACAATTGGGAATCCTTCCTCAGTTACATTCCCACTAGTCAGTGTTACAGAACCTGAAAATATACAATCACATTACAGTGATCTCCCAAGTATTAAAGCAAGTGGGCATTGCACCCACTTGAGATTTTGATAATAAACTTGCACCCCCCCCCCCAATTTATTTGTTTGCATGCACTTGAAAATGAGAAAATGCGAAAAATAGCCATATTTTGACCAAATTATGTCTAAATTGAGAATTTTACACCCACTTGAGAAAATATCCTTAGGAGTACACTGATATTTGATACATGTATGTGGTAGAACCTGTTAAGTGGAACACCTCTGTAAGTGGAACATTTTTCATAGAAATAAACATTTTTTTTCATAGAAATAAACATTTTAGATTGAACTACATGATTAAAATATATACAGTAACTTTTTGCATAAAACAAAATAATATAAAAAAGCATCAAATCTAGACACCTGCTTCTTGAATAATCTTACCAGATATTATTGCAGCTAAAGATTCATTGCGTATCACAGTTGAGATCTCCGGAATTTTCCTGTAAAATAAAAAATTTACTTCATATACTTCAAGTCAAGTGGCGTGCCCACTATTTTTTATAAAGGGATAATTGTACTTTATATTTTGTATTTATTAATAAAATTCATCACACTTATAAAACAGTGTATTTGTGCTAAACTGACCAAATTTCACGATGATTGGTACATGGTGGTAATCTCTTAAAATGACAGCCTTAGTGTCATTACTTATTGAACGGCCTATATAAAGAACACTAAAATTCAAAACAAGACACAATTGAAATTAATCTTGGTTGAAATATTTAATCAGTTGATAAGTTTTTTAAAATCAATTTAATACTCTCAGGATGTCCCATTTAGACAGTCTTATCCCCATGGGTGGATCTAAACATTACAACGGAGGGTGACTTAAAACAGACTCCTTCAATTTTAGGCAAATTATTTTGAGACCGCTTCCAAAAGACCCTTTTTTGCAGGTGTACTTTTTAAAATAGGCCAGAAGCCTATCATTTGATCCCTAGATCCACCAATGCCAATGTACATGAATTTCAACACTCAGGCTTTAAAGTGGTATATAACACAACTTACCAGATGTATAATGAACCCCTACATGTGACCAACATGAGGTATTCTCCATTGCAAGTCAGAACTGCAGCCTTAGCGTCAAATACCATTGAAGGCAAGAGCTTTCTACCAGGAAGACTATAGAGGTTGATTGAGCAATCTGCACACGCAGAACACACAATATTGCTGAAATAATACAATGATTGTAATATAAATATTGCATGTTAGAACTGCAGCCTTAGCGTCAAATACCATTGAAGGCAAGAGCTTTCTACCAGGAAGACTATAGAGGTTGATTGAGCAATCTGCACACGCAGAACACACAATATTGCTGAAATAATACAATGATTGTAATATAAATATTGCATGTTAGAACTGCAGCCTTAGCGTCAAATACCATTGAAGGCAAGAGCTTTCTACCAGGAAGACTATAGAGGTTGATTGAGCAATCTGCACACGCAGAACACACAATATTGCTGAAATAATACAATGATTGTAATATAAATATTGCATGTTAGAACTGCAGCCTTAGCGTCAAACACCATTGAAGGCAAGAGCTTTCTACCAGGAAGACTATAGAGGTTGATTGAGCAATCTGCACATGCAGAACACACAATATTGCTGAAATAATACAATGATTGTAATATCAATATTGCATGTTAGGACTACAGCCTTAGAGTCAAATACCATTGAAGGCAAGAGCTTTCTACCAGGAAGACTATAGAGGTTGATTGAGCAATCTGCACATGCAGAACACACAATATTGCTGAAATAATACAATGATAGTAATATCAATATTGCATGTTAGGACTGCAGCCTTAGTGTCAAACACCATTGAAGGCAGGAGCTTTCTACCAGGAAGACTATAGAGGTTGATTAAGCAATCTGGACATGCAGAACACACAATATAGCTGAAATAATACAATGATAGTAATATAAATATTGCATGTTAGAACTGCAGCCTTAGCGTCAAATACCATTGAATGCAGGAGCTTTCTACCAGGAAGACTATAGAGGTTGATTGAGCAATCTGCACATGCAGAACACACAATATTGCTGAAATAATACAATGATAGTAATATAAATATTGCATGTTAGGACTGCAGCCTTAGTGTCAAACACCATTGAAGGCAGGAGCTTTCTACCAGGAAGACTATAGAGGTTGATTGAGCAATCTGCACATGCAGAACACACAATGTTGCTGAAATAATACAATGATAGTAATATAAATATTGCATGTTAGGACTACATGCATGTTAGGACTACAGCCTTAGCGTCAAACACCAATGAAGGCAGGATCTTTCTACCAGGAAGACTATAGAGGTTGATTGAGCAATCTGCACATGCAGAACACACAATGTTGCTGAAATAATACAATGATAGTAATATAAATATTGCATGTTAGGACTACATGCATGTTAGGACTACAGCCTTAGCGTCAAACACCAATGAAGGCAGGAGCTTTCTACCAGGAAGACTATAGAGGTTGATTGAGCAATCTGCACATGCAGAACACACAATATTGCTGAAATAATACAATGATTGTAATATCAATATTGCATGTTAGGACTGCTGCCTTAGCGTCAAATACCATTGAAGGCAGGAGCTTTCTACCAGGAAGACTATAGAGGTTGATTGAGCAATCTGCACATGCAGAACACACAATGTTGCTGAAATAATACAATGATAGTAATATAAATATTGCATGTTAGGACTACATGCATGTTAGGACTACAGCCTTAGCGTCAAACACCAATGAAGGCAGGATCTTTCTACCAGGAAGACTATAGAGGTTGATTGAGCAATCTGCACATGCAGAACACACAATGTTGCTGAAATAATACAATGATAGTAATATAAATATTGCATGTTAGGACTACATGCATGTTAGGACTACAGCCTTAGCGTCAAACACCAATGAAGGCAGGAGCTTTCTACCAGCAAGACTATAGAGGTTGATTGAGCAATCTGCACATGCAGAACACACAATGTTGCTGAAATAATACAATGATTGTAATATCAATATTGCATGTTAGGACTGCTGCCTTAGCATCAAATACCACTGAAGGCAGGAGCTTTCTACCAGGAAGACTATAGAGGTTGATTGAGCAATCTGCACATGCAGAACACACAATATTGCTGAAATACTACAATGATTGTAATATCAATATTGCATGTTAGGACTGCAGCCTTAGCGTCAAATACCATTGAAGGCAGGAGTTTTCTACCAGGAAGACTATAGAGGTTGATAGAGCAATCTGCACATGCAGAACACACAATGTTGCTGAAATAATACAATGATAGTAATATATAGTGATGAGGTATTCTCCATTGCAAGTCAGAACTGCAGCCTTAGCGTCAAATACCATTGAAGGCAAGAGCTTTCTACCAGGAAGACTATAGAGGTTGATTGAGCAATCTGCACATGCAGAACACACAATGTTGCTGAAATAATACAATGATAGTAATATCAATATTGCATGTTAGGACTGCAGCCTTAGCGTCAAATACCATTGAAGGCAGGAGTTTTCTACCAGGAAGACTATAGAGGTTGATAGAGCAATCTGCACATGCAGAACACACAATATTGCTGAAATAATACAATGATAGTAATATATAGTGATGAGGTATTCTCCATTGCAAGTCAGAACTGCAGCCTTAGCGTCAAATACCATTGAAGGCAGGAGCTTTCTACCAGGAAGACTATAGAGGTTGATTGAGCAATCTGCACATGCAGAACACACAATATTGCTGAAATAATACAATGATAGTAATATATAGTGATGAGGTATATTCTCCATTGCAAGTCAGAACTGCAGCCTTAGCGTCAAATACCATTGAAGGCAGGAGCTTTCTACCAGGAAGACTATAGAGGTTGATTGAGCAATCTGCACATGCAGAACACACAATATTGCTGAAATAATACAATGATAGTAATATATAGTGATGAGGTATTCTCCATTGCAAGTCAGAACTGCAGCCTTAGCGTCAAATACCATTGAAGGCAAGAGCTTTCTACCAGGAAGACTATAGAGGTTGATTGAGCAATCTGCACATGCAGAACACACAATGCTGCTGAAATAATACAAGACTTGGCAATAACATAAAAATGTCACCCACTTCCATTTACAACATATGCTGACCATTGTTACAGGTGCCAAATGCTGTCACAGATGCCAAATGCTGTTACAGATGCCGATTGCTGTAAAAGATGCAAAATGCTGTTTCAGATGCCAAATGCCTATACAGATGCCAAATGCCTATACAGATGCCAAATGCTGTTACAGATGCAAAATGAAGTTACAGATGCTGAACTCCAACCACAGAGCATCAGCTGCAAATTAGATGGAGACTATAACAATACGCCAACACTTCTGAAGGTAACAATGTTGCATCATAATTACAAGAGTGTTAAGTTACACTGTAGTGTAAGTGGTAATTTTGTCTAATCATTTAATTTGCCTATTGCATAATTTTTGCCAGGTTCAAAAATTAAATGTCGGAAATACTATCTTCATAATGTCATCCAATGGGAAGTTTCTTGTAATTAGGAAAATAAAAATTAAGAAATGACAAAATCTGACCATTCGGCAAATTAAACATTCTGATAAAATACCACTTATACAGTATTTAATTAACAGTCAGTGACCTCCTGCTTCTGAATTTATATTGCCCTTCTGAAATTTCGATACTATATGAGTATCCATGTTTATGAAAATTTTTTCATTATAAATTCAAAGTTAGTTTGTAATAACAATAGGTGTATTGATTACGTTGCATGCAAAATTACCATCAGAAATGTTTTGTTTCTCTATTTGTCTCTAATCATGCAAATCATGTTATCGAAAAAATGCAATTGTGTAATACTAAATAATTCACCAATATATACTTATCTTGATCTGACAGATGTAATTGCTGCCAAATCAAGAAGTCAATAAAAGATGTTAAGGCCTAATGTTATGTGTTACTAATGAAACAAGGGGCATAAAAATCGTGCATTATCTTCAACTAGGACACATTTTGGGTTGGTGGATAATTTGAAAGCAAATCAACAAAATCAGAGATTTTATTTCGTATTATTAAAGAAGGCTCACGTAATCAAATTAAATAAAATGGAGATGGAATTGTTATCAGCGTGCTTCTTTTGTCTGCTTTTTGTGAAGGATGCTATTTCGACTCAGTTAATAACCACAGGGGTAACAGTAAGAGCGAGGATGAATGTTAAGATAATTGACGAGCCTAATGAAATAATTATGAACATTAACACATGGAACCTTTGCATGCTCCTGTGTGTCCAGAAAAACACATGCCAGGGGTTTAACTACCATGCCGATTCCTCCAGATGTGAGATGTATACAATAGTGGGTTGCAAGATCTTTGATAATTTAACAGGATGGAGATATGGTTGCATTGAAACAGGTTTGAATTTTACATTTAACAGAGAGTATTACATATCATTTTACAATTACTGTAAATACAATTAATTTGGCTATGGTTTCAATTAATGATGGATTGGTGGATTCAGAAAAGCTGCCTAATTAAATATCCATCAAATTTCAGTTTGGAATTTTTGTCCATTCAAAAATTAAACTTCTTACCCCCTTTACCTGTCAACATGTCATCAATTCTACATTATTCCAAAAGAAATACAGAAAATATCTTAGTAAATACCTGTCCTAATGACATAAATGTTGACATAAGTTACTTAAGTCCTGAATCTGCTAAATTAAATAGCTGCCGATATTTGAAATTGAGCAAATCCATCAAATTAAGCAGTATCAAAATAAGTGTATCAACAGTGCTTAGAGGTAGTACCATAACTAAAAGGAAATCTCAACAAAAGAGTGGTATCGATATGGAGAACTGAATTCAACAATGTTTTTCTCTTAGACCAATTATTGAAAACATTCTGTAAAAAACACGGTCCTTTATGTAATGTTTACTGATTGGCAACAATTTAATGCAAAAATTATTTAGTATATTTTATATGACTGTTGTTAACATTTTTTGTTTTTTAGTTCAACTGTTTTTTGTTCCTTTAAACCAATTCTTCAGAATGAAATAAAATGTCTTTCCGAACCTCGTTTGAACATAATAGCATATACAACATTTTCTTACACCTCTCAATATTATAGTTTTACAAAGGAAATTTCGTCAGATTTAATGAAAAGTATGCAAAAACTTAAAAAAACAACCCCCCCCCCAAAATAGATAAAAATTAAGATAAATATTTTATTTCATTAACAAGATACCTTTTAAAATCAACCAATCTTTCCTTCGTACAATTACAATATTGAGACCTAAACAAATTGTGATTATGTCGTTTTGTTCCAATGAGGTTCGGATAGATGTTTCATTTCATTCCAAACATATGATACCAAAAACAAAAAAAGAAGTATCTGATGTGTTTTCTAAACAATATAGAGAAAAGGATATATATATGTTTCAAATTATAATGTTACCATCCAAAAGATGACCATTAAATTGACGATGTGTAAAATGTTCAGAATGTTTTGATGACTGGTTTAAGAGAAGCGCGTGTTCAAAAAGTTCACCATATCGATATCTATCCTTTGTTTCAACTTTAGAATAACTTGACTCATAATAACACCTTGTCATGTTTATTTTCTAAAAATCCCTAAAGTGCATACTTTATTTCAAAAAGACTATAGATTTTTACAATATTGCATCATTTTTCTATAAATGTGGTTATCAGATTTATTATATGGGAGAATTACAACACCCCTACCCCCCACCCTTTTATGCATTTTTCCTCTTAAATAACTTCACCAGTTTTAACATATCACAGATCTTTTGGAGTCATAAAGGATACATTTTTAGGTCAATTGTACATGTTGCTTGCAATTTTGTCATCTCTTATACATCTGATTCTTCCTTCAATATCTCTTCTTGAATTAGAATTTTTCTAGCATTTTTTCTAGAATCACATCTTGTTAGATAACATTCTAGATTCTAAAAATGTTAGAATACTGCATTTCTAATGCTGGAGTTCAAACTTCAAATCCTCTGGAGCATAATACATAAATATGGGAGAACAAACAAAAATTCCTTGAATTCGACCTAGCTAAAGTCAATATGATTTCAGATCAGCAAAGAAATACAACAATCAGGAACATCAATATAGCACTTAATAAACCTACATATCAGTCTAGCACCTATGATGGGATTGCTTTTAATGAGCCTGCTGGGTTGGCAGAAAAGGCTGTAGATGGTATCAGAAACACTCTATATGGAGATGGTTCATGTTCGCATACAACTCCTGAACCAAAGACATGGTGGATCGTTGACCTAAGAGAGTCATATCGCATTAACCAAATTATTATTTGGAACCGACTAAATTATGGTAAGGGCCTACCTAAATATTTCAATGTGCGTAGTTACAGCTATTAAAAAGATTCATGTTTCATTAACCCTTTCCCGATGTGAATTTAAGAGGAAAATGTTGGACCGGTGACGGATAAGTTATGGCGATTTTCAGGTAACTGGAAATGGGGTACACCTCAGGACCTATACTTTAAATTTTACCACTAAAATACAATTTTTATTAAGCTGCAGTATCACATGTCAACTTGTCAAAATCTGGTGTAAATAGAACTGGAGATATTGTCATTTTTCTTTGATGTATGTAAATAAAAATAGTGGTGCCAAAAGGAGCCTTTCGTCCTGAAAGGTATTATGTAATAAGTCTTCGTTGTGAGAGGGTTAACCAAAAAACTTGGTAATTCCGAGAGCTTTGAAATCTTCAGAAAACATACTTAATTGTATTTTAGTGATAAAATTTAAAGTACTCTAATTCAATGATATTTTCTTTTTCAAGAGTTCAGACTCCATGACTTTTCCATTGACACAGCCTGTCTGTTTGATGGAGTGAACCCAGACAACACAAACTGGTGCAGACAGCATCTGCAGGTCGGGACATTGAATGACAACCCTACAGCCATTGCACTTCCACCATCCGCAGTTGGTAGATTCGTAAAGATACAAATGGATGAACAAGGTGTCTTAGTTTTATGTGAATTTGAGGTCTACGTAGAGTATGCTGCTACATGTGTTTAGATCCCTGGACTATTCATAGAGAAAAGATTTATCTCTTAATAAAGCAAGGATGGTCATATCAGATAAATAAATAACTGGCTATTAGAGCTAAACAATATACAGAGTATGATAGTGCCTAATATGTATTCGAACATGACTGTATTCACGCCTTCTATAAACTGTGAAAAAAATAAACATTTCACCCAGGGTATATTCCTGAACAATGCCCCTGGTAATACGTGTAATGTGTGACATCACAACGGCGGACAGTAGTAATGGCGGACCAAAATGAATATTCGAAACATTTTGGTGAGTTTTTCATGTTCGAATCGTAATATAGACCTCAGAACAGGTGAAATATCGTTGAATACACCCCTTAGGACTAGGCACAAAAGCTTTCGAACCCCTTACTCCCTTTGATTGTTCGGGATACAGAAAACGTTCGTGCCTAACCCTGCTGGGTGTATTCAGAAAATTTACATGACTAGTTTCTATTTATATTTTATCTATTGCTTTCTATTGTTAATATTGAATATTCTCTCAGTGCTCATACATATAAATAGTAGATTGTTATATACAATGTGAGACCTTACATTTAGACATTTCAGTGAGTATGATGTACAGTGTAACCAAATGTTTTTTTGAAGTCATTTTTTTGTGTCATGTTGAGCCAACTATCTTTAAATATTTAATGATTTTATGCTCTCTCTTGTATATTAAAATGTAAATAAACTCATATTGCTAAATTTAAAGTGGCAATAAGGACTGTAGAATAAATAAGAAAGTTTTTTCATTTTTTCTGAGCTATCAAGGCAACATTTGGTTTAACATCTTCTTTGACATACCTATTTTCTTAAAATGTATGTATATTATCAATTTCAGCTTTAAGAAGTGTAAATTCAGTTCAAAGCTTCAAAAAGGGGACTTCCACTTTCATATTTTTAAGATCCACCATGTTTCAAGAGGAATATCAGCTAAAATAATGTTTATCTAGGGGGTTTCTTTGTAGATAATAAAAATAGATGTTAGTCTTGATGAAATATCCAAACTTAAACATATTTTAACACTGGTCCATGGTCGTTGAATGACCCCTCTGCACTAATTATTGCACCTTTAATCTCATGGTCTTATTATTCAGCATTTTTGTTTGCTCCAGAGTACACGGGGAGATATGCGGAGTAATAAAATAGGACTCATGGCAGTACTCATTTCAGTAATTTTTTTATTCATTGAAAAAAACATTTGAAAGCAGTTACATTAACATATACAATATACATAATATCATTGGAGTCACACAATTTTCCATCATATTCAGTAAATATTAGTAATAAGCAGTGATGACATGAGAAGTGATTTATTGCATGTTTTAGTACTAGATGAGTACTCAAATGATGAGTAATAAAATACCGATAATCTTATTGATTTTTCATTACTCAATGAGCACTCATAAACATGCCGAGTACTCAGTTACTAAACTGTGCAAAATAAGTACTAAATTAGCACTCGTGGCATGAGTGCTCATGAGCGCGCTTTCGCCAAGTGCTAATTTAGTACTGATTTTGTACTTATTGAGGGATCCCTGTGTATGGAACACCTGTTAATAACGAACAGTGTTGTCCAATTCGACAAGCTTATCCACTTAAAATAAATTTGATTACAGTTGGCTAGAGAATATATAAGGGTTATGCACTGGCAGGTTTTGGATACAGGGAATATCCCAAGGGATACACAATTTATATACAAGATGTATTGTATATCCCAAGGGATATTCCATGTATCCAAACCGACTGTGCATAACTGGTGTATCTCATACTTTTTTAAACTTTTTCAAACTTTTGAAGTTTCCGGGAGCGGGATGGATATATTATATCTGCCCGCATTTGGCCTGGAGCGGGACATATACAATATATCCTGCCCGCTCCTCAGATATGATATATATTCCCGAGTAATATCTACCCCAAACCCACTTAAGTATGAGATACACTCAGAATAACCTCCAAATGCATTGTCTATATGTACCACATTTGGATGTTAGCACTTTGTAGAGGTGCCATTAGACAATGATTTTAATATCTTCTTGCAAATTAGGGAGAAAATAGTGGGATCAATAAAGACAATTCTTTAAATAAAAAAAATAAAAATAAAAACATGTATTTAAACAGACATAATGCATCTTCAAATATTATGTCTCACAATTTCGCCCAGAGATAGGAAAACATGAATGGGGGGGGGGGGGGGGGGGGGGGGGGCAGTAGGCTATTCCTGCAAAAAAAATCCTCTAGGATTTTTTGAACCTATAAACTTCTAAGATATGTGATCTAGTAAAAAAGGCACATCATCACCAACGTGCAAAAGTCAATGTTTTTGCCATGGCTCGCTTTCAAAGTTAGTTTCCATACGTTATGTAAAAAAAAAATCGAAAAAATTAAAATTGAACAGATTGGGCGAGTGAATGGAGGAGGAGGGTAATATGGCTTTAAGATGGAACAAATTTACACAAGGCATTGACATGACAAAATGTCACCACCTAGTTGCTCACAATTTTACGAGTTTTGAACTTCTCAGAACTATGGGATGATTTTGAGAAGGTCATTAAAGGTCAAATCTCAAATCTAAAGGTAGATTTGAACTTCTGAGAACTTAAAGATGATTTTGAAGAAAATTGAAGCCAGTCTAAACAGTATTTGTTAAGGTATTGAAAGTTTTATCATATTAGATAAAACTTCAGTATCACCTCAGCTCAATTGTATTTTTAAATACTACCTGAACAAGGCACTAAAATCTAAAATGTCACCACCTGCTATTTGTTACACCAACCACCCAACACCCATGCCGAACACTGTCCACAAAAGAAGTTGGAGCAATATGTCACCACTTGAATATGTTATTGTATGTTCCTGACTAATCCCCAAAGATGAGGGTGACAGTTTAATCACAAAATAAACTAAAAATAGTTGAACATTTGAATATCTGAGAAATGACAACTAGCTTTTTCCAAAAATCATGACAAGCAGTAAGTAAATGAAAAAACATGTTTTCAAACTTTACATGGGGACTTTAAGTAATATTTAACTTGGAAAATTACCTATTTCCAGTGATTGCTATTATTCTACTGCTGTTAACTGCCTCCCATGTCAGCTGTCCACTTTTGATGCACCTGAGTCGATGTAAACTAACACCAGATGATGTCACAACATTATTCTCTACTTCAATTATGATGTCATTTTCAGGACTGCCCTCTACTGGTGAAATCTGAAATGTGGACTTTATAATTAGAAAGCAAGACATTGACAACAATTTGCTTAAAGATTAATGGCCAAGTACCCTCAATCATAAAAATGTAAATTATTCAAAATCTTAATGTGAGATGTGCAGATTTTAAAGTTGAGCATACATTGTGATGTTAATATCTTTGAATAGCTATTTACAGGAACTTTTGTTAGCCTTGACACTTATTAAAGGCTCTATGCAAAATTCTTTATCATTCAATTATGATTCTTCAAAGGCCCTTTAATCTAGATTTAACAGTATATTTTGCACAAAGTTTAATATCCTCTTTTAGCTTTTAACTTCATAGAAATTAAATCTGAAAACACAGCTTACATTCATTGAGTACTGTTTATCTATGGTGAGAGCTTGCAAGTTGAGTCCTGTGGGTTGAACATGTATAGAGTGAGTGGTGGTAGAGGGCACAGTCTGAAACATAATACATTGACTTAATAAAACATTGACATTGAAAATTTTAAATCACATCAAATACTCCACTAAAAAGTGCAAAACACTTGTTTTTAACACCATTGTGAAGATTGAATAAAGGACACACTATTTCAATACCTAGAAAAAGCAACTCTATGGAGTAGCAATCCCATCAAACAAAACATATTTTGATAATTAGTGGTCATCTTGAAAATTTCTTCTTGAACGTAGCATATCAGCTGCCAATTTCTTCTTGAGAAGAGCTCCTTTGTCCCTTAAAATTTGTTCCATATCCGTCCACTGGTATTCGCGTTATTAAAGATTTTGTTCTTTTACAAAAAAATGATGGGCATTTTGAAATTCAACCGCCATCTTGAAAATGTCTTCTTTAGAAGGGCTCCTTTAGGCATCTGCTGGTATTTGAATTATAAAAGATTATGATTTTTAGGAAAAATGGCAGCCATTTTTAAATTCCACTGCCATCTTGAAAATTCTTTCTGGAACTGAACTGCTGTGTCCCTAGGCATCAGTATATAAAGTTTGAACCAAATCATTTCACTGGTATATGAGTTATCAAAGATTATGTTTTTTACAAAAAATCCAGGCTATTTGAAACTCAGTGGCCATCTTGAAAATCTCTTTATGGGCAAAGCTCCTTCTTTGTCGCTAGGCATCAGCATATAAAATTTGAACCAATTACATTTTCTACGAAAAATGGTGGCCATTGTGAATTGAGTGGCCATATTGAAAATTCTTTCTCGAGCAGAGGTCCTATTCTCACACGGTATCTTTCTGTAAAATTTGAACTAAATCTGTCAATCGGTATTTGAGTTATCATCCAGACCTACGTACAGACAAATTGACTGACAGACAGGTTTTCTATATCCCTCAAACTTTATTCAACCTCTCGAACTTCATTCGATGGGATCAATATAACCATGCCATACACTGCTATGTCTACCAAACTAAATTGTCAATAATATTTATCTATAATGTATTGTTTAATGTATTGTTGTTTGAATCACAATTTTAGATAAACATGAACAAAGTTCACCATGCATTTTTCAGTTTAGGAATATAGTACAATCACAATAACTTTTTAATTTTCATTTTTTAGCGTTTACAAGTCGTTCAATAGGTGCAAGTAACAAGTTGGTACTGATCCAGATTTAAACAATTAAAAATTGTTTCCAAATTTAGGTAATAATCTTCCTTGAGGGCTGTATCATAAATCTCTGATTCAGGAATTGGTTTACAATATAGGTGTATAGTTCATGTAGATGGTATTATTAAAGGAACTGATTGGCTCTTTTTCATGATCTAAACCTTAAAACACTTATGATATCACATGACATTCAAGGTATACTGCAAAGTACGTAAGTAGGTTAAGACAAGTAGTGAACAAAGACGTGAAAATAAATATGGCAATGTCTAAAATGGATCTAGGTCCTCTGAAGGACACAGTGAACTGTTCGATCTGTATGGAGACATTAGATGATCCCAGATCTCTGCCGTGCATGCATATCTTTTGCAGAAAATGTATTCAGGGTATAATGGACAGATATAGGAGGAACTTCCCATGTCCTATCTGCCGGGAAAGATGCCCGATATCCAATCAAGGGGCTGCTGGGTTGAAGGTGAACTGTTTTGTAAATTCAGTTTTGGATGCAATGAAGGGGCTCAAAGTAGCAGACACAACTTGGAACTGTGATATCTGCTATCAAGATGGGAAATCCATTCGTGCTGTGTCGCAATGTATAGAGTGTAATGAGAAGCTGTGCCAACTTTGTGGACATGTGCATAAACGGTCTCGTTTATCAAAGTCTCACCTCATACTTGACCTTACAGGTGACAGGTCCCTCGATGCAAAAGCTGCTATCAGTATGCTATCACAACGCACTCTCTACTGCCAAGAGCATTATAATGAGCCATTAAAATATTTCTGTAAGGATGACCAGCATCTTATCTGTCAAGACTGCTTTGCTTTCAACCACCAAGGCCATGAATTAGAAAACATTGAGAAAACAGCCAGAGTGAGCAAAGAGAATCTCAGCTCTGTCATTGACTTAGGAAAACAGAGGTTATACAAGTACATGGAAGGCATAAAAACTGGTTATACAGAGAAGGACAGCATTCAGAAAAATATTGATAATTCAATGACGAAGTTGGATGATGAGCAAAAAGAGCTGCATGCTGAAGTTGATGCCCATATTAATGCAATGAAGGCCAAAGTAAATAACATTGGTGGTGATGCAATGAACAATATCAAGGCTCAAATCACTGAACTTGAGAATGAGAAAAAAGCAATTGATGACACTGTACTACAGCTAGAAATACTGAGTCAGCATGGTCACACTGGTGATATTGTCTTCATGGTGCCAGAAATCAACAGCAAGAAAGATGCATGGTCTACTGAACCTCATGTCAAAATAAACCATCAGGACAGAGTTAGGGTTGAACCAAGTCAAATAAAACATCAAAATCAAATCACATTTGGTTCAGTTAATGCTGCCTCGGATCAAGTCAAAATGAGTGCATTTGAATCATTTCTTTTAACTCCAATAGCAGCTGGTTTTGCAGCAGCAGCAGTTGGTTCTGCATTATTTGGCAAGCCCAAAGCAGATGAGGAAGATTAGCTTAATATTCTACTATTCTTCATATAAAGTATTGAAAAGCAACACTGTTGCTTTAAAACATCGGAATAGTTCACTTTTCTAGCATTTTATTAGGGATAACCCCTTTTGAATATGGTCAATAATTATTGGGATACTATTCATGCCTATATTATGAATTGGCTATCAGAGAGGTTTCGAATAACTTTTTATACCTAAAACGTATCCACAACCACATCTTGTTTTAATTGAACTGCTACCTATAAATCTGGTGAATGTGTTAGGGATTTTAGATATGTTGAGCTATAAACATTGTGTGAAACCTCTCTATTATTTTATTGTTTCTGCTTAGCGCTTATCATTGAATATTTTAAATGTGGTGTAGAATTTAAACCAGAAATGAGTTAATTACATGATATCATAATATCTACTCGTACATATCACTTCATAATATATGAAAAGATGTCTCTGATACAATGCAGCAATTTTATGAAATAAATAATATAAATGTTGATTGTTTATTTTGTTTGTTTGTTTGATACCAAAATGAATTGCATTGCTATAGCTCTGACAAGCTTGTCTCCACATACCCACAGCACAATACAGTAAAATAATAATTAGAAAAATATCTTCTTGAGCAAGCCTCCTTTGTCCCTAGGTTACAGCATATAAAATTCAAACCAAATCTGTCCACCGCTATCTAAATTATCAAATATTACGTTTTTGCCCAAAAATGGTGGCCATTTTGAATTGAGGGGCCTTATTGAAAATTCCTTCTTGAGCAGAGGTTCTACACACATAAGGTATTAGCCTATTAAATTTAAATCAAATCAGTTAACCAGTATTTGAGTCTGGAGAAACAGACAAACAAACACACTAACAGACAGCTTCTCTATATCCCTCTCGAACTTTGCTCGGTGGGATAATTATATAAAATGTAACATGCCACTTAAATCTTATAGCATATTGAATAAATTTTGCACCATAAGAGACATCATCGTGACATCACTTAGGGTGCAAATTTTTGGGGAAAATTAAAATAAAAATTTCTGTGCCAACCTTTTCTAAATATGCTAAACTTTCAAAATAAACCAATGTTCATTGTCTAACTAGGTTGAAAGAAGAATGGAACTGGAATGGAATAGGTTTGTATTGTATTAGTAGAAAATGATGAAATTGACAGAATAAACATCTTGATGGTTAGCCTTTTTGTGTTAAGTATACTGTAGGTTGTTGGATCCACAATTGTTGGTCTAAAACCATACAATTAGGATGTTCTAGAGATTAATGGTATCTTCAGTTGGCAAGGATATCCATCTGTTGAAAATGGTGACAGTATAAATAGTATACAGTGTTGCATTACAAAAAGTTACTATACAGTTGCTCGTAAGATCCACATGATTCCTGACCAAGACCAACCTATCAGTTGCTCTAACCAAGTTTGCAGTTGACAGACTAGTGGTCTATTAAACTGATTAGAAAAATACATAGCGAAGAAAAACAACAAAATGGAACAACATGAGACACCATGGAATATCTGTAGCAGACTCTTGCGTTAATATCATCAATTTATACAAAGTGAAAAAAATCATCAATCTTCCTTTCTCTCTCTCTCTCTCTCCTTCTACAGTAAACAACATTAATAACCTGCAAAAAATAATATGTGAAAATAAAGATTGATTTATAAAAAAAAGAAAAAAAAGAAAGGAGTCATAGGGGAGTTTTCTGTATTGATGTTGAACAGAAATAACTTAAAACCAGAATCCTATCGACAGAGGTTTTAAAACGTGCCACTATTGTTGATGGATGGACGCATGCACGCATGGACAGACAGACGGACAAGTGAGTGATTGCAAAAGCTCACCATGTGAGCATGACTAAAGTTAACATGACTAAAAAACTTTGACTTACTAAAATATACATTTTGCACTTATTTTCAAAGTATTTACATACTGTATGGATTCCTGAGAAACTATACATGAGAAATGGGATCTTCTATGCTTGATCCCCGGGTGCTTGATGTAGACTTAGTCTTTGAATAGACACTGACTTAGTATCATTCTTGTCATTTTTACACTTTGACTTTAATTAGCTCTAGAACTTACAATTCTAGGCTCAGTTTCAATTCTAAAAAAAAACTGGGAAAGGGGGTGGGGGGGGGGGGGCGGTCCCTTCAGACGCCAATGAAATAAAACACTTTTTTATGGTTTCTTGTTTTTGAAATATCAAAATAACCCTGAAAACTGAATTTTTATTCACTTCCATTTTGTTATTGTCTCGTATACCATTATTCTGCCCATCTAATTATAAAAAATATGACTCATGTTCCATTTTGACTGATAAGGTACTGGATGAGCTTGGTCCATGTTTTTGCTTACAGCATTGCATTTTTCTAATGCAAGTCAATTATGTGAAGTATATCATTTCTCACTGATTTTGAAAATAATAAGTTTTTCAGCATCAGCGAATTATTGCCATTTATACCCCCCCCCCCTGGCTACTTTTATGAGGGGGTACTATGATAATCATCCATAATTTCTGTTATATACCTTCAATCACATTGTTGTTATGACAAGTTTGATCATGACTGGTCAAGTGGTTGCCATAACAACACAACATAAGTGCGAAAATTGTAAATATTTTGGATAAATCCACCAGATCTTTAAAAGGTACATGACAAAGGTAAAAAGGCTATAACAGGGTCAGTAATTGATTAAGTTCACTGGATGAACTTTTTTGGTTACAAATAATGTCAAATCTGCATTTTTTGTTTGTACTACATGTATGGTGTCATGATTTATGATCTCCTTTGTAAATTACCTGCAAAGTATACTAGATATAGTAAGAGATCGATCGTCTATATATACCAATACATCGTCCCATTATTTCCACATTGTTATAAATTATTAGTCACATGATCTTCAGTTGGCAAGGATATCCATCTGTTGAAAATGGTGACAGTAAAAATAGTATACAGTGTTGCATTACAAAAAGTTACTATACAGTTGCTCGTAAGATCCACATGATTCCTGACCAAGACCAACCTATCAGTTGCTCTAACCAAGTTTGCAGTTGACAGACTAGTGGTCTATTAAACTGATTAGAAAAATACATAGCGAAGAAAAACAACAAAATGGAACAACATGAGACACCATGGAATATCTGTAGCAGACTCTTGCGTTAATATCATCAATTTATACAAAGTGAAAAAAATCATCAATCTTCCTTTCTCTCTCTCTCTCTCTCCTTCTACAGTAAACAACATTAATAACCTGCAAAAAATAATATGTGAAAATAAAGATTGATTTATAAAAAAAAGAAAAAAAAGAAAGGAGTCATAGGGGAGTTTTCTGTATTGATGTTGAACAGAAATAACTTAAAACAAGAATCCTATCGACAGAGGTTTTAAAACGTGCCACTATTGTTGATGGATGGACGCATGCACGCACGGACAGACAGACGGACAAGTGAGTGATTGCAAAAGCTCACCATGTGAGCATGACTAAAGTTAACATGACTAAAAAACTTTGACTTACTAAAATATACATTTTGCACTTATTTTCAAAGTATTTACATACTGTATGGATTCCTGAGAAACTATACATGAGAAATGGGATCTTCTATGCTTGATCCCCGGGTGCTTGATGTAGACTTAGTCTTTGAATAGACACTGACATAGTATCATTCTTGTCATTTTTACACTTTGACTTTAATTAGCTCTAGAACTTACAATTCTAGGCTCAGTTTCAATTCTAAAAAAAAACTGGGAAAGGGGGTGGGGGGGGGGCGGTCCCTTCAGACGCCAATGAAATAAAACACTTTTTTATGGTTTCTTGTTTTTGAAATATCAAAATAACCCTGAAAACTGAATTTTTATTCACTTCCATTTTGTTATTGTCTCGTATACCATTATTCTGCCCATCTAATTATAAAAAATATGACTCATGTTCCATTTTGACTGATAAGGTACTGGATGAGCTTGGTCCATGTTTTTGCTTACAGCATTGCATTTTTCTAATGCAAGTCAATTATGTGAAGTATATCATTTCTCACTGATTTTGAAAATAATAAGTTTTTCAGCATCAGCGAATTATTGCCATTTATACCCCCCCTGGCTACTTTTATGAGGGGGTACTATGATAATCATCCATAATTTCTGTTATATACCTTCAATCACATTGTTGTTATGACAAGTTTGATCATGACTGGTCAAGTGGTTGCCATAACAACACAACATAAGTGCGAAAATTGTAAATATTTTGGATAAATCCACCAGATCTTTAAAAGGTACATGACAAAGGTAAAAAGGCTATAACAGGGTCAGTAATTGATTAAGTTCACTGGATGAACTTTTTTGGTTACAAATAATGTCAAATCTGCATTTTTTGTTTGTACTACATGTATGGTGTCATGATTTATGATCTCCTTTGTAAATTACCTGCAAAGTATACTAGATATAGTAAGAGATCGATCGTCTATATATACCAATACATCGTCCCATTATTTCCACATTGTTATAAATTATTAGTCACATGATCAAAATTATGTATCTGATTGGCTCTGCTGCCTACCCAAACAGATATGACAATGTGGGCCTAAACTTTTTTTCTTCAATTTGCACTTATAACAACGTGGCACTGGATATCTCCAAAAGGAGATGAGATCCATTGAAACTGACCTCAGAAAAATCCTCGTAAAAATTGAGAAAGATAGTATACTTATCTCAAAACCTGTAAAAAGTGAGTTATAACAATGTGGAAATAATGGGACGATGTATTGGTATATATAGGGGTGTAAGGTCTTGTATTTTGATATTTTTAGACTCGTCCATTTTTCCAAATTAGGGGTATAAGCATTAGTCATGGAATAGGTTGGATTGTATGTAATCACTACTGTATAATTGGTTCCTATGCAAACTACAATTTTCCCACCGGAATAGCCTGACTACGGTAAAGTCAGATACCATTGTCACAAATGGCAGACATTACCGTCACTTCAACTGTTTAATCACTTGGTCCTCATTTCATGGGATTTTATCGTCGCTAATTCTGTGCATGCATTAAGCTCTTGTGATAATATATCATATGAAATCCCATTTTTGATCAAATTGGGTCGTGAATCGCCACAATATAGTATCTTCGATATCGTCAATGACAACGAAATCTGAATTTGAGTCATTTAGAAAGACAACGGCATATGGTAATTAGTGTCCGTTGTCCCGTGTCTCATTTTGATCGGTTAAATTAAAGACTTTATTTCGTAGAAGAACATTATTAACTGAACAATGAGTATTGAGTAGAGGTGTAACTCGCCAGAAAAATCGAGCTCGAGTTCAACTTGCCAAATATTTCCAAAACTCGAGTAAAACTCGAGTTAATTCATTTTGTCCGGTACGTATTGTAAACCCGGGTATACAAAACTACTGTCACTTCTAGCGGCAAGTTTCTCTGGTTTAGTCACATCTAAAAGCTGTTTAACACGTTGGGGCCATAAGAAAGTGTGGTATTTATTGCAGTCATCTCATATTTCAATCAAAAACGATCTGGTATAGACGTCCCCGCATACGGTAAGTACTAGAGATCGCTAGAATCTAACCAAACAATATTTTAGAAAACCCAGAAGGGCCCCTCAAATTAATGAATGGTTTTCCCGAATTATCTTCATTATTTACATATTTATACTAAAGACTGCTGGTTATCGATCTAAAAAGTTAAGACTTTTGATCTTAATTTAATGATAGATCATCTTTTTTGTAAAAGTCGTGTAAACGAAGTGAGAATAAGGGGACCATTTTTATTCAATTTTAGTGACTACTCCATTATCGCCCGCTTGAGTTCCTTCGATAGTCAATCTGTTTCTGATTTTTCTGGTGTAAATCGTCATTCCACGATATTTGTTGGACTTTGTGAAGCTTTGAGAGTGTTTTTTAGGTGACGGGCTCTAAATATGGCGATCATTGGTATATTTATTCCCCTAATAAAGTAATGTTGCACGATCTCCGGGACCCGAATTCGTTTTACATGCTTGAAAGATAGGCAAAACTCGCAAGTTGACTCGAGTTATAGCTAGCTCGCGAGTTGAAATAGATTGCGAGTTTCTAGAGGACAACTCGAGGCAATGTATAGGCAGCTCTGACAAGCTGTACTCGAGTTACGGACTCGGGAGTTACACCTCTAGTATTGAGACACTTTGATTGTTGTTCCAAAGGAATTTAGTCTAGGTGCTCTATTAAACATACAGTTCATGAAAATCTAATTGAAGCGACGGTTATGTCCGCCATTTGTGACAATGGTATTTGATTTTATCGTTGTCAGGCTATTCCGGGGTGAATTTTAAAATGCATTTTTCTCTGAACCACTTTCATGCATGGATGAGTTCATATCTCGCTTATTTATTAACCAATTCTCTGAATTGTTTGACAAAAAATGGGAAGATGAATGCTATGCATTGGTGTGAATTATCGCTCATCAAAAGATATGTGTGACTTCTAAAGTTAGATTTAAATCAATTCAAGATTTTTCGAGCAAAAAGTCCTTTAAAACCCACTTTTTGAAAAAAAAAAAAAAAAAGTTTCACATCCCACCTATTTTTCAATCCTAACTACATCGTTGATGATATACATATATTTGGTTGGCTTCAGGACATGTATACATGATGCTGCACATAACTGATGGTTTTCAACTTCAGGTTACATTAAATAAAATGGAAATAAAAAGATATTACTCTAATAAGCTTATAAATAAGATGAATTTCTTTTAAGTGTTGATCATTATATTTTAGGCAAAACGTCAATAAGTTGATTTTATGATGTTACCAAATCATTTTACTGAAAGGACAGAATACATACTGTGACAGCCGCAGCAGGGGGTGGAGGGGGTGCTAATCTCATTGAAACATCGTCTTTGCGTTTCCTTTTATGAGACGGGCCACCCCCCAGATCTAGCCTCTTTTTCACTTTTTCATTTGACGAAGCAGATTTTGATTTGTGAATATCTTTTTCCTTTGTTTTATCATTTTCAGTACTGTCTTTGGCTTTTTCTTTGTGTATTCTGTAAAAATAAAAATAGTTCATTCAATTCTCGTAAACAAATAAGAATTTCAAAATTCTTTCAAAATGCATGATTATACCATAATTGTTAAATTAACAGGTGATTGCACCTTTCCCCATGAATCTAAAGGGTATCTGGAGTCTGTATATGACGCATGTGTACAACTCATATTATATACTGTAACTAAACAATTACTGTAAGTAAATACATATCCTAATGATTAGACATGTGGTATAGCACACAAATACTCACTTTGGTTTGTCACTCGCTGTTGAATCGAGTGCAGATATTGGCTGAAAAATACAGAGAACTTTTATGAAATTTGTAATTAACAATTTATCATCATTTAGACCTCTTCACATAAAGTAAGTTTATTGGTATATTAAGATGATTGACAAATTAGATTTCATGAAAAAGAAATTACAAAAATGTTCTATTTACATATTTAATAGTCAAAATCAAATATATCGCAAGCAATGGTCAAATAAGAAGAGTATTTCAAAAATACTACATTTAGTTACCTGTATTTGAGAGAGAGGGCGCTTGTCTTTTTCCTTACTACTCAGCTGTTTTTCATCACTTGAGACTTTCGATACATCGGGACTAAAATTGGAATCTGACTTCTCTACGATGATTGAACTTCTTTCTGTGCTGGTGGAGAAAGCCAGATTACCAGCACCAAATGGTAAAGGTGCCTCTCTGAAAAAAACGTGATAAACTTTATTTTTCATGATGTATAATTACAAACAATCAGGGATATGTAATGCCAAGAGGCGATTTGCACAAATACTGATTTACAAGACAAAATGTCACCAACTTGTAACTCATAGAAAATAGTATAAACAAAGTATTTTGTTTTGAACAATGTGTGCACAATTATGTGAGTTCAATGTTTGATAAAGTATAGATGACCAGTCACTCATTTAAAAAATGTTTACCTTGGACTTGATAAACCTCCAATAGCACTTACCCCATCACTTTTGAACAAATCATAGGAATAATTAAGTATAAAAATTATAAAGAAGTTTTAAAAGCCAGGAGGGCAATACAAATTTTTAATAGAGACAAAACTGGCAGTATACATGCATATTTTGAAAAAGAAAAACTGTATAGAGAGTAAACAATGTAACTAGACCTATGTATAATTGTATATATGTTTTATTCTTGAAATATAGTTTAAAAAAACAAAAAAAACTTACCCCATCTCAGGTTGAGGTGCCAGGAATATTGGAGTGATCCTACGTCTACCATCAGGTGTTCGTGTTTCTATTTGTTTATTTGTTGGCTGAAGAAAAATAAACAATGTCAGATTATTTCTGCATAAGGACTAACATGTTAACAATTTTATGAAAAAATCTCCACATTGACATGCAAACAATTCTGCACTGCCACTGACTTTTCAAAAATATCTTAAATATTTTGTATCATATCGTATTCTTTTGGCAAAACCTACATCCATAAAGTGATGTGACGGCATATCACAAATTCTCCTCTAGTAGAGATCCTATGACCATGAGGGAATAACCTCTTAAATTTTTTTTTGATTGGATAAGTATTTGGTCCAAAATTAAATGAATACAGGGCATCATCTGTTAAGAAATTTCTTTTGACTAATACCTTTATTGGAGTTTGTGTCGAATTCGAGTTTCCTCCTATTCCATTCAGAGTTTTGCTTGGCGTTTCATGTTGAAGTAACGATTTTTTGGCATTTTCTTTCTGTTGTTGAAGTCTCAAGATGGCGGCTGACTCAATGATTTGATTGGTTTCGTTAGTGCTGCTTGTTAGAGACTTGGCCGACTTCCCATAGAATTTTTTAAATACGCCATTCTTAAATGGAAGTAAATTGTTAAATTTATGATAGTCAGAGAAAAATGTATACAGTAAAACGTACAATAATCATAAAGAGAGCAATGTCAGACATAGGATTATAAAAGCAGTTTGAATAGACTTTCTCTAACAGAATGTTGATATAAATAACTATTAATATTACTGAAAGATTAACATAGAAAGTATTGAAAGATTTCGGTTCAGTTATCATTCTCCTGTTACTGTTCGAGAACCCCTATAATGGTTTTATAATTTTGACAAGATTTACACAACTGCATTTACTTTTATTCTTGGCCAGAGTTCAAAGACTTCATTAAAATTTCTTTTGACTGATGTCAGACGTCTTTGGTGATAGAATGAAAAAATAAGGGCCTAGATCTCTATAAAACTAAATCAAAATAACCATGGGAGCTGTTGGATACATGTATGTTACTAATTCATTTATTCCAACTTACTTTTTCCTCATCTGTGATTGGTTGTCCAATTTCCTCATGCGTAAATGTTGTGTATGCCACTGTGCCATCCCATGAGCAGCAGAGCATCCCTGTTCCACTGGGGGTCCTGGAAAAACAAATAGAATTTACCCATAATGCAATATACAATATTAGAGGTTACAGAGGTATACAAGAAGTGACATCCTATGATCTGCTCCGGTTACGTTCCCAGCTCCGGTTACGTTCCTAAGTAATATTTTTAAAACTTTTTTTTTAATTAAACAAATCAGAGTCGTGTGAATCAGAAATAACAGAATTATTCAATAGTATAAGGACTATTCTGTACTTTTTTCAAAAGTCTATACTTAAATGTTGTAAAAAGTTATAATCGAAAAACCATCTTTCGGAGTAAAGTCCGACTGCGCCGATTTCAATAACTTCGTACTTGATCAGAACTGGGTTCCAACAGAATTCCTACAAACTCATGAATGAAATAGCCATTGCATGGAATACTTACTTTTGTCAAAATCAAAGTAGAACTCTAGTTAAAAAATATATTGTGCTAAATTATTGCCATTTCTTAGTAAAATGTCGTTCTCCGGTACGTTGCCAAAATTATTCGATGGTACCCCGTGAATATCTCAAGAGAAAACAGCACCTGCTTGCTTCAATTCTGGTGAGAACTGGTTTGAATCTGATCTAAAAAGGTTGTTTCTTACCAGCTTATGTCCATCACTGAGTTCTTAAATAAATCATGTAACACCACTAGAGGGCGCTTCAATGCTGTCAACTGAAATTAAAGATTAAAGAATTCGGAATAATTATCATGTTAACATTTTGATCATTCCATGGTGGTATGCATAATTCATACAATCTTTAATTAGAGCAATTACTACTCAATAATACTAGGATATTTTGTCATTTAAAAGGAATAAAGAAGGTACTGAGACTGGATTCTACAGCTTTTTTTAACTCTTACGAATCTGGGCATTTCTGCATCTAAATCTTCATTCTTCAATAACTAGACTAATTTCTACATATGAAGGCAATGTACCTCAAATGAGTGACAATACCTAAATTGAGGCTATGAAACTATTAAACTAACCCATATTGAAAGCGACCTGTCTCTGCTACCTATGGCACAACAAGAATATTGCTGAGGACTGCTCGAACCTTTCTTAATCTTCTTAGCAAAAATCTTGGGATTAAACCGCTGTAATAAAATATATTGATAAAAATATAAAATTGATATAGAACAATCTTTATATGATCTCTAACAATTTACAGTTAAATGGTCCAATTTCCCCAAAACTCTTAAAAGAGTTGCATCGGATCTATAATCTATAATCGGATCTATAAATTGTATATTAAGCAGGTTGTCGGTGTTAAACTGACAAACTGAAGGTGGAAAATATAATTTTGACATTATTTTTTACAAACACAATTTTGAACTTGTATTCAATCATTGAATCTCTAAATATCTACATAAAGTTTTGAAATCATGAAGTGATGAAAAATACATGAAAATATTAATTGTTTTATGTCTAGAATTAAAATTTGATTTATAATGAACATACTGCGACAGTAACAGCTTTTCTATGTCCTACAAAATCCATATTTGTTGCCCAGCCATCTCTTTCTATGATCTGAGCAGTGGGCCCGGAGTTGTTCATTGCATGCGCTGACACTACGTAAAAGCCATCAGGGGACCAATCAAGCCTTAACACATGGGTGGTACCTCCTGCCTGAAATATCAAATTCATTTGCCGTTATCTCCCTAGCATTTAAACAAGTGAGATCTGCTACACCAAATTCTAAATTTTGAAAAGAGACTTGCATGGGATAATATCAATCATCAATGAAGGAAATTCCAGACATTTACTTACATGGATGACATTACTTCCTTGTTCTCTAAACTGGGTGTATTTGAACATTTACATTGAAAAGACTAGTCTCTGTTTGGAGAATGAAGTTCATCAGTCTACTGCACATTACACCTGCTTTGGACAATTTTGATATTTTTACATATTGTAGATTTAAATATCCTCTTTTGAATATCCAAAACTTAATTTGGGTGATATTTCTATATTTTTCATAAAAAAGTATAAGCGCAGTACACTGATGAACTTCTTTCTCCAAATTGAGATTTTTCTTTTATTATATCAGTCTACTGCACATTACACCTGCTTCAGGCAATTTCGATATTTTTACATCTTGTTGATTTAAATCTCCTCCTTTTGATATTCATTATTTACTTTGGGTGATATTTCTTTATTCTTCATGAAAATAATTATAAGCCCAGAAGAGTGTTCTCCAAACCAAGACTCGTACTTTGTAATACGGAAGGACTTTTGAAACTTCTGAATAGCATACCTCTACGAAAGGCTCTTTAACTACAGTTTCTGACTGCCAGTCCAACGTACGCCAAATACGCAAAGTTCTGTCATCCGACTGAAAGAAAACATCAAGTCAAATTATTTTAAGAATACATGTACATATATGAAGGTCAGGTTTTATATACAAAATAGAGTGACAATGAGTCAAATCAGCAAGTAATAGAGTTAACAAGTTTGTAGTTAGTACTCTAAATTGTTTAGAAATACTAGGTTACATTTTTGTAGTTCTATTCAATGAGATGAACTCCATAGAGATCGACTAATTGAATAAGTTTTTTTGTGTTCTCCTTTTCTGACGTCATATTTTGATTGGATATAGGCTAAATCAAAATTATTTCTAATTTCCAAATTACACTAAAACCTGTATATCCAAACATCTCTCTAATCCAAACATCTCTCAACCTGAACACTTTTTCTTGGTCCCAATTTTGTGATCTCCTATTGATTCACATATTAAGAAACACTTTGAAATGTGAACACCTGCTAATACGAACACTTTTGACTGGTACCTGTAGTGTTCAAATAAGACAGGGCTTACTTTATTTATAAAAAGGCAAGCGGTTGTAGAGTTAAATTATCTGTCCCCAGTCAGTAATCTCCCATTGGCTCACATATTAAGAAACCTTGAAATATGAAAACCTGCTGTTCTGAACACTTTTGACTGGTCCCTGTGGTGTTCAGATAAGACAGTGCTTACTTTATATATAGAAAGACAAACTCTCGGAAAAAGAGTTCAATTATTATCACCTGTGATGCAATATATTTTCCTACAGGGTCCCATGTCACTCCTTTCACCAGTTTTACTGTATTATATAGAAAGACAAGCTTTTGCATAGAGTTCAATTATTATTACCTGTGATGCAATGTATTTTCCTACAGGGTCCCATGTTACTCCTTTCACCAGTTTTACTGTATTATATACAAAGACAAGCTTTTGCATAGAGTTAAATTATTATCACCTGTGATGCAATGTATTTTCCAACAGGGTCCCATGTCACTCCTTTCACCAGTTTTACTGTATTATATATAAAGACAAGCTTTTGCATAGAGTTAGATTATTATTACCTGTGATGCAATGTATTTCCCAACAGGGTCCCATGTCACTCCTTTCACCAGTTTTACTGTATAATATAGAAAGACAAGCAGTTGCAGAGTTAAATTATTATTACCTGTGATGCAATGTATTTCCCAACAGGGTCCCATGTCACTCCTTTCACCAGTTTTACTGTATTATATAGAAAGACAAGCTTTTGCATAGAGTTCAATTATTATTACCTGTGATGCAATGTATTTTCCTACAGGGTCCCATGTCACTCCTTTCACCAGTTTTACTGTATTATATATAAAGACAAGCTTTTGCATAGAGTTAAATTATTATCACCTGTGATGCAATGTATTTCCCAACAGGGTCCCATGTCACTCCTTTCACCAGTTTTACTGTATTATATACAAAGACAAGCTTTTGCATAGAGTTCAATTATTTTTACCTGTGATGCAATATATTTTCCTACAGGGTCCCATGTCACTCCTTTCACCAGTTTTACTGTATTATATATAAAGACAAGCTTTTGCATATAGTTCAATTATTATTACCTGCGATGCAATGTATTTTCCTACAGGGTCCCATGTCACTCCTTTCACCAGTTTTACTGTATTATATACAAAGACAAGCTTTTGCATAGAGTTCAATTATTTTTACCTGTGATGCAATATATTTTCCTACAGGGTCCCATGTCACTCCTTTCACCAGTTTTACTGTATTATATATAAAGACAAGCTTTTGCATATAGTTCAATTATTATTACCTGCGATGCAATGTATTTTCCTACAGGGTCCCATGTCACTCCTTTCACCAGTTTTACTGTATTATATACAAAGACAAGCTTTTGCATAGAGTTCAATTATTTTTACCTGTGATGCAATATATTTTCCTACAGGGTCCCATGTTACTCCTTTCACCAGTCCAGTGTGACCCTTCAGAACTGCAACCTGCTCTATAGCTGCAAATAACATAGTCTTAATAAATATATAACATTTTCTTACAACAAACGTGCAACTTCACAACTTTCGTTGGTGTTCATTTTACAAGGAGAATAAATCGGTAATAAATGGCAAAATGGTTAATTGTAAGTAACAAAAGTAGGAATAGGCACAAAGTCAAATAACATGTTTTTAAATAATTGGAGTTTTGGTTGTTTCAGTTTGAACATGAACCATTTCAAAAAGGTTATACTGTACATGTTAGAAAGGCACGCAATTTAGAAATGTAGGGTTCCCCAACCCCAATGAAAGACTAAAAGGCAATTACATAATGGGCCATTTAATTTACATTAACATTTTGGTTCAGTCTCATAGCAAAGGTGGGTTCTTTTAATTTCCTTGTAAAACAAGATTACCTTAGGCGAAAAATTGATGATTTTATGCAAACCTTTCCCAATGTCTGCTCATTAAAATGCAATTCAGTCTTTCCGAAATAATGATGCATTTTGCAATACTACTTTAATTCAGACATACCTGGGAACTTTAAGGCATTCCATATGATAATTGAGTTATCAATACTGCATGAAGCTAACCAATTATCTGTTGGGGACCATGCTAAGCCAAGAACATCTGAAATAAATCACTGCCCATTTAAATATCAGACTTCTTTTTGTACACTAAGAGTTCACTTAGGAGAGGTATTCACTAACACAGGTTTTACTGCATGTCCAAGGATAATTCATAATTCATCAAAGACTTTTTAAATACCTCCTGAGTGACCACGTAAAGTTGCAGCGCAGCGCCACTGCTCAGCATTGACTGTGCTGCCCCCTGTCCCGAATGTAGTTGAAGGTCCAGCATATCTGGAATTGTAAAATAATATCAAAATATGAAATATATTGAATGCAGCTTTGTATAGATCTTTTATATCTAATGTATCATTGTATCAACATAACTGAAGGATTCTGCTTCGATAACACAACCCCAGCCCTTCTCTCAGAATTTTTAATAGTTGTTTATGTAAAAAAGCAAAACAGAATCTAAAAAGATATTAATAAACTTGCATCAGTACTTTGTGCATCTCCATTCCCCCCAACCCTCCCAAATAACACAGTTTTCAACACAAGTATACAGGAACTGATATTGGGAATTGGGGATGTACCATTGACTTAATGAACCCCTTAATCTCCAGTGGTTTAACTTAAATTCCAACACTGTCTTACCTACTGGTCTGCCAGATCATAATAAGTTTATCATCGCCAGCTGAAGCCAGGTATTTGCCATTGTTAGACCATCGTACACAATTCACACACGCTGGAATGAAAACATCCTTAGTCAGTCATTGTGAACATGGCATCATACATGTTCGATTTCCTTTCTCAACTAGAGTTTACAAATCAGTGATCTCCCCATATCTTTGTCAACAGGGACCTAAATCCTCATTTTGCCTGTTTTGGTAAAAGTATTTGAGTATTTCATCACTTTTACATTTTGGTAAGGTGGCAAATGATTAACCAAGTGGCTATAATGCTGTAAATTGATATTGAACTAATCGCTAATGCTGCAATGGTAATGTTCTGGGGAAATTAGTTCTTTGAACAATCAATTTAATAAATTATTTGCATATATCAATTAATTCATTGTAAAAATCATGAATATAAATGATTCATTAGATCACAGAAATGCAGTAAAATGAAGTCAAAAATGACTTATATTTACCTATGTGATTATCCATTGTGCAAAGCATCCTGGGTACATTCTCATTTGTTTCTGACTCTTCATGCTCCACTGGAGCCATATTCCAGATGACAACTTTCCCAGAATCCTCTCCTTGACCCCCTGTTGCAAATCTTGATCCATCAGGATGGATATCAATAGAAAAGATGGGTTTACCTACAAATAAATAACTTTGTAAAATTCTCATGTGAATTGCTCAATTCAAAAAAACTAAATCAAATGAAAAACAAACCTGTTTGTAATGACAAAGGAATTTCAAATATTTTGTGTATAGTTTTGTTTATCATTATGGTCATTGTTTTTTCAATAAGTGAAAGTGTGAAAAAGTTCTGTAAGCCCTCATTTTTATATTTTTATATACACTTACATTTTTACACGAAGTAGAATGCCAGAAAAGGATTCAACAAGCCAATCAAAATGAAATATAATATGCACCTTAATTATCAAATAGCTAGTATAAATGTAAGATTCACTGTTCAGGCAAAAATAGACATTTTTCTGATAGTAGGGTTCGTTCCCGGCTTGGACTATCAAAAAGGGGGTTGTTCCCATCTGAGGGTTCATTTTATAATGAAAGGGTGTTCGAGGCAAAGGAGGGGAGATTCGCACAAGCCCAATGAACCTTCTCTCCGGGCCCCTCTCATTTTGCCCATGCTACATTGGGTTATTTCGACCATGGCCGATATTTCAAATTTCCACGTTCGGTCATCTTGGAGATCTCGCCTATTGGATTCATATTCAAAATCTTCAATCAACAAACATGGCGAACTGCGTAGATTGAAACTATCAAAATTATAATTATATAAAATAAATGCTTTATGCATGATATGAATAGATGTCTCTGCATACAGTGTCTTTGGGCTTTGATGGGCCTGGTGGGTCACTTAGTACAGTAAGTTGATAGAACAAGTTGACATGGGCAGCTTGAAGTTCATTTCGTTTTCACTGCAGAAAAACAGCACATTTAAACACTGCTTAATTTTAAGTGATTCGACCACTAACTATGGAGCTCTTCATGGGGGAGGAGATGAAATCACAAGAAAAAATCAATGTACCGATTTTAATTATTTTTCAGTGTGCTTTGAAGTAAGGGTGATAATTGAGCATAAATTCGATCTGTTTTTTCTTGAGGACATTGTAAGTTAACATTTCGGTCTATGGCAAAATATTTGTGGTGTGCATTCTCTCTGAAGTGCACTGCACACACAGCACGTCAATGCTTGACTTTTCAGTGTCATTGCACTGGATTTTTCATGTAATCTTTCAGCTTTATTTCGAAACATATTTTCATATCATCAGAATTTATAGGATCTTTATGAGTTGCTTACCATCATGTGTCACCCAGGCAGGCTTTAGCAACTTCATTGTCGCTAGAAAACGAATATAAAAAACAAAAACAAACTGCAAAAACTTGCCGCTCCGGATTTGACATGGAGGTGAATGTGTAACGAAATGTGATTGGTTCGATAAAAATTAGGTCATGAATCGCCACAAACAATCGATGTAATCTTACAATTTTTTTAACATTTACAGTAGATTTTCCACATTAGCTGCTGGTTTTGGTCCAGTAAATAATGAAAATGGAAGCATGAAGTATGTCTGCAAATGGTAAGATTACTTTTCAGATACCACACCGTCTCTAAAATGGTAAAATAGATGATTAAAATGAATTCACTTTATTATCGCTCATTTTTTAATTTATTCATCGCGCCTGCGCATATTATTTTGTTATATTCTTTTCTCTTTTGGAGGATTGGCTCCCAGACAGGGACTTGACTCAATATTTTCCATCAATGAAAATGTCTGAATGTCTTTATTTTCTGAAATTATAACTGAGTATGAATTCGTAATCGACAGTCAAAAAGATTCAAACCAAGATCTCGATCACTTCTTGCATAGGTCCAAGATCATGTAAAATAAAAATTGAGTCAAAAAGTAAAGTCGGAGACATTAAGGTGACTGTTAACTTAATCGATTTTCAGAAAAAATTGAAAATTTCACAATCTTGAAATTTCTCTTCCTGAGAAGTCGTTTTTATTATTTCACATATGCTTGTGCACTGTAATCATTACAAAGACATCAAAGAACAACAAAAAACTTCAGCTTGAGAAAAAAAGTGCCGTTTAAAGAATTTGAGAAGATTTTTTTCTAGGAGTAGCCCGTGAAAAACCGCTGATTCAAAATATCTGAACATTTCAGAAAATATACTTCAAACCATGGGCTCTACCAAAAACGAAGGAGCAACGGAAATTTGAAAAATTACCCGATAAAAAAATTGGGATCAAAATAAGGAAAAAAGTACACTTCTCAAATTGTTTTTTTTCTATTTTTTTTAATTTGTATGAGAGATTTCAAAATTCTAAAGCTCCTTCCATTTTGGGCTACATTAAAGGGATGTTTCAAAGAAATTAGAAAAAAAATGTTCAGGGACCTTTGCCGTGCTACTCTTTTTGTCACATTTTCAGAGGACTCAAATTCCCATTCCAAAATGTTTACTGTTTCTATTTGCATTACCACAGTGAGCCTGGTTATATAAATGATAAGTTGAACTAAAAAATTGAGAGAAAATCCAATCAAAAGACAGTTAATTTTGATGGTCAGATTATACTCAAATGCCATGTGCTTCCTGGTTTCGGCCATCTTGGATTTTTTGATTAAGTTATAAGTTACCTTAATAAACCTCAACCATCAAAAGTTGTCACAATGAGCTAAATTCTAAGTTTCGTGTGTCAAACTCTCCCAAGCGGTAGAAAAATAATTCGCGTTCACTTTAGTAGCACAATAAATGAATCCAAAGCTTCATATCTGCAAATGATGGATAAATTCCTACCAAAGCGAACGAATGTTTTCATGAATCGCCATGTTTGTGATCCAAGGAGGATTGACTCCCAGAATGCAACATCAAAGCTGGCACGTGTCATGTTGGATCATGGGCCATGGTTGGATTCTGGGAGCCAATCCTCCTTGCGACGTAATCGGGCTCGAAAATCACCTCAACATTTGAAAAATCGCATTAATATGTGAATATCAACTTCAAATTTTTAAGTTCCTATTTGTCATTACGGACACAAATTCCACAATATTTTGACTTTCTAGGATAGAGATAATAGAGCACTGAATACACTGAGGTAAGAATTTATTACATGTGTGACAGCATGTATTTTTCATAGCTATGGTAATTCTTTATGTTCCCCACTCTAAAGAGATTCTGCCATATATGGAGATGTCATGAATGCAAAATTCGAATAGACTAGATGCGACTAGAAATAATCTTCATTTATGTCATTAAATAGCCAAACTTCAGTCAAAGTGATGTCACATTTGAAATCTACAAGTAAAAGTATGTCTAGAAATATGGTTTCGAAAATAGTTTATTAACTTTGAAAATTAAATTTTTGGGGAAAATGTTACTTCCAGTTCAGGGAGATTCCCCATAGACCCTATGTTATAAAATCACAAAAAGTGAATATCTTTTGTTGTATTGGACATGTAACAATTTCTTTTACTGAACATATATTAATTTGCATAACTATTAGATACATATGGGTGATATGAAAATTGAACAACTAAAACAGATGAATATTAAGTTAAATGGAACTTTCTTCTATACCGCCATGCTATCTGACCCGAATGAGTCACCTGGTAAAGAAACTGGTAACTACATACATGTACTCGCAACTAAATTATTTTAACAGCCATGATTTTAAAGTCAAAATGAAGTCAAGTTCAGAAATAAGACCTGGGAAAACTCAAATGCTGAAGTGAACAAAATGGCGGCTGCTTGAGTTTGAATTTTGTCATCATGTCATCTGCATATATTAAGCAGAATATCCAGTTGGAACCCTTGGAGCCAATCCTCATTGTCTCTTTTTGAAAAAAGATGACTGCATACTGCATAGCCCGTCGATTGCTTATTTTGGTAATATCAAAATTGCATACTTTGCACTTTTCAAACAATCTACAGGTAACTGCTGACGTTGGTGCCATGTCCATATTTAGCTTCAAAATAGGAAGTCACAAAAACATGCTGGATTTTTGAATTTTTTTAACGAAGATAACTATATTCTCTTTGACCTTCAGTCAGTTGTACTAGTTTCACATATCCCTCTGAAAATGTGATTGAAAACTAGTTAAAAGTTGTAATTTTAATTAGGTAAGTTTTGTAACCTCATATAACTACCATGAGACCTTAAATAAGACCTTAAAAGTTTAAAAATTGTTTTACTTTTTTCTTACCCAATCGACTATATCTCCGATAAAGGGAATATCGTCTGAGAATTTATTATCCCATCGAACGAAGTCCGGAGGGATATAGGGAACGCCTCCGTCCGTCCGTCCGTCCGTCCGATTTTGTTCATATTTTGTACACATATACCCTATGGGGGTAGAAGTTCTGCTCGAAAGCCGATTTTTTTTTGTTCATATTTGGTATGTGAATACTATAAACATTGTACACTGTCTAAAGACACTTTTGGTAACAAAACATATTTTAGTATAACTCGAAAAGTAGTGGAGCGATTTTGTTCATATTTGGTATGTGAATACTATGAGCATGGCACACTGTCCTATGACACTTTTGGTAGAAGGCGGCCATTTTGAAAATAATTTTGAAAAATGGCCGCCATTTTAACATATTTTACTATAACTCAAAAAGTAGTGAAGCGATTTTGTTCATATTTGGTATGTGAATACTTTAAGCATGGCACACTGTCAAATGACACTTCTGGTAGAAGGCGGCCATTTTGAAAATAATTTTGAAAAATGGCCGCCATTTTAACATATTTTACTATAACTCAAAAAGTAGTGGAGCGATTTTGTTCATATTTGGTATGTTTCATATTTTATATGTGAATACTAAAAGCATGGCACACTGTCTAATGACACTTTGGGTAGTTGGTGTCCATTTTGAAAAATGGCCATCATTTTTACGTTTTTTACTATACCTTGAAAAGTAGTGAAGCGATTTTGTACATATTTGATAATGTGAATACTCATGAGCTTTGCACACTTAGTCTAACTGTCTCATGACACTTCGGATAGTAGGCGGCCATTTTAGAAAATGGCTGTCATTTTTACATTTTTTACTGTAACTCGAAAAGTAGTGGAGCGATTTTGTTCATATTTGATATGTGAATACTATAAGCATGGCACACTGTCGAATGACACTTTTGGTAGAAGGCGGCCATTTTGAAAATAATTTTGAAAAATGGCCGCCATTTTAACATATTTTACTATAACTCAAAAAGTAGTGGAGCGATTTTGTTCATATTTGGTATGTTTCATATTTTATATGTGAATACTATAAGCATGGCACACTGTCTAATGACACTTTGGGTAGTTGGTGTCCATTTTGAAAAATGGCCATCATTTTTACGTTTTTTACTATACCTTGAAAAGTAGTGAAGCGATTTTGTACATATTTGATAATGTGAATACTCATGAGCCTTGCACACTTAGTCTAACTGTCTCATGACACTTCGGATAGTAGGCGGCCATTTTAGAAAATGACTGTAATTTTTACATTTTTTACTGTAACTCGAAAAGTAGTGGAGCGATTTTGTTCATATTTGATATGTGAATACTCTAAGCATGGCACATTGTCTTTACAAGTACATGTGTGCGATTTTTCAAAAATTTTATAGGTGGCTACTTAAAAGCATATTATTTCTTCTGATGACAACTTGGCTAGTGAGCAACCATTTTGAAAATGGTGGCCTTTCTGGTGTGTTGTTTTATGATATTTTCGTTTGTAAAAATGCCAACCGTTTCTGTTCGATGGGATTCGCTACGCTTTGGCGTTGCCGTTGTTCTGGTTTATTTTGGTTTAGTGAAATATTGTATATATTTTTTAGAATGATGATTAGTATTCCCTGGGATTATCAATATGTCAATCCTCCGATTCCTACATACCATTTACCATTGGCATTTGTACCTTATTATTTCTTTCAATATCAATTTGGTACAGTAGAACAATCGAAATTCAATTTGCTGTGAACAACTAGAAATGCATATGAATATCTTCATCAACAGATAACTTAGGGTTTCACTTACAGAATTGACGGTTACAGTTACGTTATGTATCATATAGAAATACTATTTACATCTACTTTCTTAGCATGGCCAATGATAGAATTATACTTGTGAATACATATGTATGTGTGGTTTGTCCTACTTATAACTCTTACTGTCCATCTATGGTCACCATTACTCCTGTCAGCCTGTTTCACATTGCCCTCTATTACATAACATTTCTGAAAATATCAATTTATAGAATAGAATAAAAATAAAATATTATCTTGACAGCTTGTAATGAAAGAACATTTCAAAGGTAAATGTTCTTGTCTCATGAGTTAAAACATAAAACATATTTTTCAGTACCATCTAATAGAGTTATAGGTGAACCAAATCAGTTGCTGATAGAAGTTCCACATGTAGCTCAAGAACAAAGCTGGGACTGTGGACTAGCCTGTATGCAAATGGTCTGCAGGTATGAGTTACATTTTTTCTTTATTCATTTTGACACTATACTTTTGAAGCAGCAGCATACATATTGGCTTTGTAGCCGTTTCTCCAATAATCCATTTCAACTGCTGTCGGGGAGGGCTTTTAAAAGTATATATCAGCAACATCAATTCTAACATTAATAAATTAAATCTAGAGAGATTACTTATAACAATATTGTTATCATCCAGTTTTTCTTTAATTTTTTTGAAATGCTACTTATATTTTAAAAGAAGAAGGAACAAGCTTGAATTCTGGGTTTATTGCAAAAATAAATGTAGATAAACAGACAATCAAATTGAACATTTCTATCAATGGCTTAGCAAAACCAATATGAGCTACATGTAAAAACTTTGTATTTTATTGATTTAAAGGACAGTTGCTTTTCATTTTAGATTCTTGGGTAAAGACGATTCAAAGATCACAGAAGACTGCAAGAAGTTGAATATCCCGACAAGGTAAGTGAATATTGATATAGAAATTAGAAATATTTCTCTCTAAGTCTAGTAGAACCTGTGTTAGTGAACATCAAATCTCTGAACTGTGAACTTATTCTATTGCAAACACCTCCCTGCAGTTAACATATTCTATTAATGTAGACTTCCTAAAGGTACATATTCTGTTTTGGCTGGGGTAAGTGAATAAGTTCTCTTAGTGTGTCTGTGGTAAGGGGCAAACTACTGTAGATACACTTAACAGTTTTAATTTGATGGATTGGCGGATTCAGAAAATCTGCCAAATTAAAAATCGTGTCAAATTTCAGTTTGGAATTTTTGTCCAATGTACAGAAAGTAAACTTCTGGGGCCCCTTTTCGTGTTTAAATGTCACCAATTCTACATTATTCCAAAAGAAATACAGAAAATATCTTAGTAAATACCTGTCCTAATGACATAAACAAAAATTAAACTTCAGTACTGAATCTGCCAAATCTAATAGCTGACAATATTTGAAATTGAGCAAATCTGTTAAATTAAGTAGCATCAAAATAAGTGTATCTACAGTACATCTTTGGCTAGGCTTTGGTTTAGTGCATCTGTGCTAAGGGGCAAACTAATTCTTTGGTTATGGTAAGCTTTCCAGAATGTGTCAGTGGTAAGGGGCAAACCAATACTTTGGTTAGGGTAAGGTTTCCATAGTTTATTTTTGCCATGGGGCAAAGCAATCTTTTGGTAAGGTTAAGCTTTCCATATTGGTCTAAGGTAAGCTTTCTCTTAGTGTGTCTGTGGTATGGTTTTCAAGTTTTCATCGCAATGTCTTAAATGGTGGAGGGAGATATGTTTGAAAACATGAAATAGAGTAAAAGAGTGAAATCAGCAAGGAATAAAGTTTATAAATTAAATAGAAAAGACTTAAAATACTTTACCACCAAAGCTGTCTTTAAATACATTGAAGCCTTTTTGGTTTATCATATATATTTTTAGACAACAGTGAGGTATTGACATTGTATGGTAATACATGTACTCTTACAATTCTTTGCAGTATTTGGACCATAGACTTGGCTCTCCTAGCTCAGTACTACGGCATACAACATAAATTCACCACAGTCACCCTAGGGGTTGATAAAAGCTACGCAACTGAGGCAAGTGTGGTCTGCAATTGTACATGTTTTGTCCAACCTGGGGGGGAATTTTTTGGCTTGTGTTCAAATAGAAATAATATTGGCTGAGGTCTTAACTTATGCACATATCTATTTTATGGGCCCAACGTTAAATTTGGTGTAAAATGTTTTCCTTGAGTTTAAACTTCTACTTATGTATCAATGATTTATTTATATTGAATCACCATTGGAGGTCACCTTACCATCATTTCTCTTTGAATCCCATAAATAGGCTGAATTAAGGCTTTTGAAAATGGCACTAGTAGACATCAGTAGTACCCATATTGTGACAAAACTATCCCTTGATTATGATTTTATGTCACCACCAAAAGTAATGATATATTGTCAATATCATGGACTCCATTTTTGTGACTGCAGTTGGTATCTGTAACAAATGGCAGGTTGTGACATTCCGCGTGTTAATGCCTTATATATTATAAGAGTTGTAATTGTTTTTATTTCTTTACAGTCTTTCTATCAGTCTAAACTAGACACAGATGAAAAAAGAGTTAATGCCTTGTTCACAGGGGCAGAAGACAAAGGACTTATTATAGAGAAAAGGTAATTCTGTGGGGAAAATATATGAACACATATTTGTTTTCGCAATCTTAGGTTGCTGTCCTATTATTATGGATCAAACCCTTGTATAAATACATATACAATATACATGTAATACAAAATTGATACAATATCTAATGACAGTTATTTAGTTTAATCCTTTCAAAATGCTTTGTAAAAATTTACGTAGTTTAATTGTATACCTTTTGTCTGTAAATAGTTCAGTTAATTTATACATTTACCAGTTTACCTGTTATGAAAAACCTCATAAATGAATTGTGGTTTGGACAACTATCGAGGAAAACCAAATATATCCTTGACTTTCTATTTCTAGATCCGTTGAGACAGATGATATCTTGAAACACATTGCCAGCGGCAACATTTTAATCATCCTTGTAGACTGGTGCCATCTATATTGCAACTGGTGCGACAGGCAGGTCAGTAAATTAATTGATTTTTGTTAGATAAGTGGAAGAATGTCACATTGTTCATGTTTCACATTGTTCAAGATATAGTATGTTGAGAAATGTCACATTGTTCATGTTTCACATTGTTCATGGTACAGTATGTGGAGAAATGTCACATTGTTCAAGATACATTGCGTGGAGAAATGTCACTTTGTTCATGTTTCACATTGTTCAAGATACATTGCATGGAGAAATGTCACATTGTTCATGTTTCACATTGTTCATGTTTCACATTGTTCATGGTACAGTATGTGGAGAAATGTCACATTGTTCAAGATACATTGCGTGGAGAAATGTCACTTTGTTCGTGTTTCACATTGTTCATGGTACAGTATGTGGAGAAATGTCACATTGTTCAAGATACATTGCGTGGAGAAATGTCACTTTGTTCATGTTTCACATTGTTCAAGATACAGTATGTTGAAAAATGTCACATTGTTCATGTTTCACATTGTTCAAATGTGCAATAGAGAAGAATCAAATCAGCAAAATATGAAATAAGAAAATGTTTAGAAACCTGTAGCATCAAAATTGTATTCAATTTTAAGGTATCTGTTTTTCCCATTCTTTTAATATTAAACTGATTGAACCTTATATTCAATGTAGTTAGCCTACCAGTTTCTGTTAAATGCAAAAATTTCAAGATATCAATGATGGAGTAATAAATTATTCTTTGGTGTTACTTGTAATTCGCAAAGGATTGTATACTGAGTTAAGTGCTCTGAGTACTGATAGAAGTTCATCTCTCATATCTGCTGAATTAAAAACTTGACAATTCTGAAGTTGGCATTTCTGCCAAAATTAAATATCACCAAATAGACAGTTTTTAGTATTTTCCTTTAAATTGATATATATTCTTATTTCAGTGTGTGTCTATGTGTGGTAACATTGGAAAGTGCTTCAAGTCGTATCACGGTGAGGGATTTTTCTTTTAAATTATCGTGATCGTACACTAAGTATTTATAATATCTTAGTATCACCTTATATCAGGCCAGATTTGCAGTCATCTCAAATGTACAAAATGATCTTTGTGTTACTGACTAACTTTTTGAGTTTGAGGAATTATACCAGCACTTGATAAATGCTGTGATGTACTTACGAGTGACAACAAGATATACAGGAATACAGATCAGTTTGGGAATAGCTTCCTAATATGTATTATTTACCTTTTGCAAATCTTTAAAAATGTTGTGTTTTTCATTTTTAGGTCACTATATAGTAGTTTGTGGATACAACAAAGATCAGAGAACAGTGCAATACAAAAATCCATCATACAACGAAGGTAAATACTAAAGTGAGATATAGGTATATCTGCATGATCAAAGATTTCAATTGTTTCAAAATGAGAGCATATATGCATCATTATAACTCATAGAAAATAATTATACCTTCCATTCATCAAGGTACATTAATGTGAAAGATGTAAAACATGTATGGAATGAGTTATGTGTACCATTAATATTTCTGGACATATAGAACTACCTTTATTATTTAACACTTGAAGAAACTTGGATGCATCTTTATTTTTGAATTCAGCTCAGACACTTCTCAAGTACAAGAATTCACACAACTTTATTCAATGTTTTGAGCATATTACTCCCCCACTTACTCCCCCACTCCACTCACTCAGTCTGTTATTTTAATTGTTTATAATGTCTTGTTACTCATTTTAAAAAACAGCAATGACATACAATTTGTGATAATAACGTCACATATAAGAATTCATTACAGGTCATGTAGACCTTTTTATCACACCATCGGTGGGATATAGTCGTCATACTGGTCGTGGTCGTGATCGTAGTCGTGGTCGTGATCGTGGTCGTGATCATCCCACTTTTTGTCATCGCCGTTTAAGGAAAACTGCTCATCAGATTTTCTCCAAATTTGCAGAGATGATAGAGCATATGAAGTACTAGAGCTGATTAACTTTTGGGTGGCCATCTTGTTTTCTGGCGGCCATTTTGAAGGTTTTTCGAAAAATCTTGTCATCGCCGTTTCAGGAAAACCGCTCATTGGATTTCCTTCAAATTTACACTAATAGTGATAGAGGATATCAAGTACTAGAGCTGATTAACTTTTGGGCGGATATCTTGTTTTCTTGTTCTTGAAATTTGTAAACATAATAGGAGAACAGTTTTCCTGGTTCATAGTGTCTGCCTATTTGATGGTGTGATCTCGTTCACGTCCTGTGCCTTGTTTGCTTAATTTATAGCAAAGATTGACACTGGTGACATTGCACCTTTTACTAAATAGTTCTCATACATAAAAGCATATCACTTTAAAAAATCATACAAGACCTAACAGATTTTACAATACTGTGTGCTTATTCAATAAGCGATTTATGTGTAAACTTCCCCATGAAACAATAAATTTTGCATATTTATCGAATTTCGTTTATAACCCACTCCACTCATTTTGTCCAATTTACAGCCATGAAATAACTCCCATGAGCTGAATCAATATTTGAGCTTGAGATCACATTTCGGGCTGTTGGGATTTGTTTTTCTATGAAATGGGTCTTCCATTTTTGCACGTTCATACAGCTTAGGGACAACTCATCCCCTAGACAACTCAGTTGTATGTTTACCGTTCATACTTAATGTATTTATATTTTGTTTTATAACTGAAATTATTTTTAAAAATTCTTATGTATTTCCAGAGTTGTGTTGCTGTAGTTTATCAGCCTTTGACACTGCAAGAAAAAGCTTTGGAACTGATGAAGACATTCTCTTTATCTATAAATCTGCATCAGGCAGTGACACATGGTAAGATTCATTTGCTTATTAAGTGTCTGGAAAGTAAGAACATGTAAACTGGTTTAGTGCTGTGTCAATCAATAGTCCACCTTATTCCTGATTTTAGATTTGGTCACACTTTAATTTATAAATTTGCTTTAAGTTTTAGGGGTAAAGATATAAAATTTTGGCGGATTTGCTGTTTTGAACATTTGTCGGCTACTTAATTTAGCAGACTTGCAATATTACAATGTACGGGTACTAATTTACAAGGTACTAAAATTACTTGGGATTTGCCAGCTACTTAATTTGGCGGTCTAACAATTTGGCGGATCCACTAAATTAAAATGGCCACCAAATTAAGATATTCTGTCCCATATATGGAGATGTGATTCAAAATTTCGATTTCGAACAGCTGGCATTTTGATTACTTTAACATTTGAATTGTGAATTTTGGCCTTGTTCCTAAACAAAAAATTCCTTAACTCACAAGAAATGATCGAGGTTAGAATCTTTTGGACTGTTAATTTTGAATTTATAGTTATAAATAAGCCTATAAAAGGAGGAGGGAAAGTATCGCAACAGATTTTGGACAGTCATATGTTGGATTTTTGCTATTTCCTGAGGATTTAAACCAGTGCAAATGTTAGACCAATGCATAATCTCCAGGAGAAGCACTCATAGAAATGATTAAATAATTTCGACTTAGAGACAGGGGAGATGCAAACAACCCACCCACATGTTTTTCCTGAAATGTTGTCCTCATTTTCAACTCCTTTCACCCCTGGTTTTTCAATTTTTGTTGCATCGATAGGTTGTGTTTTGACACACAGTTAACCCCTTTAGAGGAATAAGTTATTCCTCTCAGATTAAGTGGAAAACAATATTTCCCATGTTATTTTCCCATAGGGAAAACTCATTTCGATCCAATGCTTTCAGCATTTTGGTCACCCACAATAGACATCTTTAAAACCTCGAAGGAATTACTTATTCCTCTAAAGGGGTTAAATGTGCATCAAAACGCAACATATTTATGCAACAAAAAATGAAAAAGCAAGGAAGGGGTTGAAAATGAGGACAACATTTCAGAAAAAACATGTGGGTGGATTATTTGCTTCTTCCTTGTGTCAGAGTCAAAATTATTTTATCATCTCTATGAGTGCTTTTCCTGGAGGTATTGCATTAGCCTAACATATGCACCTGTTTAAATCTTCAGAAAATAGCCCAAATCCAACATATAACTGTCCAAAATCCGTTGCAATTCTTTCCCTCCTCTTTTAAATCAAATTCATCAACCAGAATTTGAGATATCACCTGGACAGATAGATTTATGGCTTCTCTATATCGCCCTCGAACTTTGTTTTGAGGGATAATGACTTCATAACCAATATGTAAACAAAATGTTGAATATGGACATTCAAGTAGGTGTGTTTATGTATTTACAGAGTTATGGTTATGAGTCGTCACTGATTACTCAGATATTCTCTCTACATACGAATGGTATAACGAATCTGGATGTTGAATTATTAACATCAAATAGTGCAACAATTCAAAAATCTGCTACAACTAAGAAAGTTTTGACTAGTTAGCATCAAAGAGCAAAAATTGTGGTGGATGAGACAAGACTATGGCAAATATGAAAAAAGATGAGGCTGACATTGCTTTAGCATCAACTGTAAAACATAAAAAATTATGTAGCATATGCTTTACAATAATTCAAAAGACAGCTCGTTCTCATAAAAAATCATCTAAATGTGAGACTTGTCGCAAAGGTTGTTCTAACAATTCAACACTGAGTAAAATTGAAAAAGTTCCTACTGAAAAAAAAACTTTTGTATGTAAGTTTTGTGAAAAAACCTTTTCTTCTAAGGCATCATTGGTTGGTCATGAAAAAACTCATGATCATGTTGAAGAAGATTTTGTTTGTCCAATCTGCGGCAAATGTTGTGATAGTGCTGGTGGATTGAACAGACATGAGGGAATTCACAAAGAAGAAAAAGTCCCAAGGAGTATCTCATGTCAATTTTGTGTCAAAAAATTCGATTCATTTATGGTATTTCAAAGTCATTTAAAAAGTCATCCAACAGTAACATTAAAGACAAAATGTAAGTTTTGCGATAAATATTTTCAAAACAATTCAGCGTTAATTATTCATGAAAAAACTCATACTGGTGAAAAACCTTCCATATGCAGATTCTGTTACAAGGCTTTCAGTGATGCTCCAACATTGCTAGAGCATGAGAAAAGTCATACTGAAAAATTAAAATGCCTTCATTGTGACATTTCCTTTGACACTCGTGAGCTTTTTATGAAACACAACACTTCAAAAATACACGCAACATTAGATCTAAGTGATTTGAAATCAATCAGGCGAAAACCAAAAATAAAATCATTTGGCCAACCAGATCATACTAGGCCTACTGCATGTACTAACAAATTGTTAATGCAAAGGTTTGAAGATAAAGATTCTATATCTAAATCATCATTTAGTGAATATCCTTTCTTGTGCCATCTTTGTGGTCAACGATTTATAAACATTTTACTGCTGCAGAATCATCATAAAACTCATAAATTTGTTAAAAAGTTTGAATGTCTCCAATGTAATATTTCATTTGAGAGTTTATCACTTTTGATGAAACACAATACATCAAAATTACATGCAACTATGGACCTACATAGTATAATTGGGTCTACGTCTCCTGTGGAGAATATGAATGTTGTTGAAAGGAAAGCTATGAATCAAAACAGAGATGATATTCAAGGACACACCAGTGTCGAATATAATAAGGATGTTGTGAACCAAGAAGAATCCATTGTAAAGATGGAGCAAACATATGCTACTGAAGTTGAACATGTGGAATGTGATAGAAATGAAGAGCTTGTCGATAGTGGTCATGTTAAAACAAGTAAACAAGAAGAATCTGGTGTGAAGATGGAGCAAACATATGCTACTGAAGTTGAACATGTGGAGTGTGATAAAAATGAAGAGAATGTCAATAATCGTCATATTAAAACAAGTGAACAATCTATTGATAGGCAAGTTAAGAGCAATGAGGGTGAACGATACACTGACAGTATCAAAGTTGAGAATGACAATTTTATCAATTCCTATTTACAGCAAGAAAATAGTGAGAGTGAACAAATGGTTGTTGTCAAACAAGAAAATTTGGACAATAATAGCTTGAATATTGATATAAAAACTGAACTGGATGATCCTGAATATTTAAATTTTGATGTGAAATGAAAGTTCATTCCTAGGTGACTGAATTCAGGAGTGTGAATTTTGATAGAAACATATATACTCCTCAAAAAAAGTTAAGGACCAGTGGTTTTCCTCATAGGTTTACATGTTAACCCCCATATTTGTTTGAACGACTATTTTTTAAGCGGGGAACAAAAGAAATACCAATAAAGTAAATAAATCTGTATCTTGATTCTATTCCCTATAGAGTCCGCAACGTTTCAATGTTATATCTCCATTACATTGGGTCAAAAGTTGATGTCAAAATTGAAGAATTTCATAAAATTTAACATAACAAATGGGGAATGGTGGCTTAGGGGCAACTCAGATTTTGGAATATCTATTCAGTTAAACATTTATTAAAAATACTTTCTCAGTAGAAAATTGAATGATTTTACATGCTAAATGTCTCGCTTATGTTGTTAAAATTAGCGATACGGAGCGTTAAAGTAATTTTGACCACCTCACTGAACCACCTGTGTTATTTCAATAAGAGGTTAAAGCCTGCACAATTAAATCATATTTTTGTCGAGTGGACAATTTAGCAAATTTAATTATCTCTTCCAATTTCAACTTTGAGAGCAATCGGATGGATGGATCGTTCCTCATATGACTTATGGCAACACAACCATTCCCCATTTGTTTAACATAGGATCTGCCATTTTTGTTAAAGGACGATTCTCGGTTTGGAGAACGAATTTCATCAATCTAAATGAGCATTATCCCTGCTTCGGACAAATTTGATTTTTTTTACATAATATAGATTTGAATGTCTTCTTTTGAATAGTCATAATTTAATTTGGGTAATATTTCTAGATTTTTCACAAAAACATATTAGCGCACTACACTGATGAACTTTTTTTCCCCAAATCGAGACTTGTATTTTATTGAATCGGTCAAATTGAGCATTATCCCTGCTTCAGACCAATTTGTAATTTCTACATATTGTAGATTTAAATGTCCTCTTTTGAATATTCATCGTTTAATTTGGGCAATATTTCTATATTTTTCATGAAAAAAATTATTAGCCCAGGAGACTGTTCTCCAAACCGAGAATTGTCCTTTCATGAAATTCATCAATTTTGACATCAAATTTTGACCCAATGTAATGGAGATATAACATTAAAATGTTGCGGACTTTATAGGGAATAGAATCAAGATACAGATTTATTTTCTTTATTGGGATTTCTTTTGTTCCATGCTTAGAAAATAGTCGTTCAAACAAATATGGGGGTTTACATGTAAACCTATGGGGAAAACCACTGGTCCTTAACTTTTTTTGAGGAGTATACTTTGAAGTCTGTTAATTGTAAATGAGACTTGTGTTTACATATAGAATTATAAACATATTTCATTTAAACCGATTGTGTATTGCTTCGGTAGAATCATTGCAATAAATTAGTAAAATTAGATTTTTTGTGTTATTCAATGTTCTGTATTATATTGAACTGAGTCCAAGTCAATAAATAATTGGAGGTGTTTTTATGAGACCCTGTACATGAATGTTTAATCTCATGCCCCCAAGGAATTGCAAGGGACTTTTTTCTTTTTTCTGATTCACCTTAAATCGATGAGGCAAGTAGATCCAATGCAAGGTGAACTAGTCTGGAGAAGACCATGATTCTGCATATTCACATACAAGTTCTATATAAATATTTTTTTGTTTATGCGTCAACTCCAGTAAAAAATGTTCATTGTTTTGTGCCAGTTTGTGAAATTTGCAAATGACACCTGATTTTTTGAAATTGCATTGCCATTGCAGAAACACAAATCTCTGTGGGGACAGTTATTCTTTGGTCCTTTTGTGTAACAGTATATTAAAAAGAGGACAGGATTTCTTAGATAGGTCTTTATTTTTTATTTATTTGGATTCTACGCTTTTTATCAGTGGCACAACAATTGTGTGCGTCCATTTGAACATTTACATATTGGCATTCATTACACAAAAACATATTTGAAACCCGTTTTATGTACTAAAAAATTGGTATAGTGACTTTAAATTTAGCATTTACTGATCTTATCAAAAGTACGACTCATATCATGTCCACCAAGGCTATAAGTCTTATCCTCAATTATCCATTTCAACTGCTTTAAGTGAGGGCTCTTAGAGAATATATCAGAACATTTTTTAGGTATCGTTTTGCTTAAAGAATCATAAAAAATAAATTGTCTGCTTGAAAATGTGGGCATATGATAAGTTTATGCTCCAAATTTTCTTTTGTGTCTGGGCACCATTCACACATGGAAGATATGGGGTATTATATTCTTCCATTTACTCTTCATCACGCAAGTTCAACTTCCCTGCACATGCTAGAAACTTTTGAAGTCAAAGTCATTTTGGAGGTAAGGCGCTAAACCATTTTCTGGTTTTAAATTTAGGGAATTGTAACGTTTAAAACTGTTTTTTTTCTTTGGTACCCCCTCTGATATGTAATCGTTTGACAACTTATGAATTCTTTCAAAGAAGAATCTTTAATATTTTCCTCTGGCTCTTCCATCCCACCAGAAAACCCTGACATGATCAGTACACTATGAATAAAATGAACATGATTCCAAGGGTTTCTAGCTCCACTTTGCAACTGCCTTTCCATTTGTGATAAGAGAGTGTGTTATGGTGTTTTACATACGAAAAGTATTTTATTTGCCTTTTAAGGATGACAAATTGATGACCAACCAAGGTCTGCTATAATAGCTTCATAGGCTGAGGTTCCCTTTAGGCTAAGATTTGCTCTCCCAGTATTGTAATACATAAAGTTCAACCATTGGTTTTTGTTTCGGATGCTTAGATTGTGCATTAGTGAGGTATACTTTTATAAATCTGTGCACCAAAGTCGAGACGTTTTACATTTAGGTGTTTATTGAGTGTGAGATTAGAAAATATTGTGAAATCCCACATTAGGTGGCCATTTTGAATTTTATGTTTCCTGAATTAGAAAAATGATACAATATTTGAAATCTACTCTAAGGCCTTCATTTGAGTACAATAAAGCTATACTTCAAAGACATCTCAAAATTAATGCAAATTAATTTTTCCCAACCCCCCTTTCACGACCCCTTGGAGTCAGGGTGAAACACACTGAATATATGTGAAATAGAAATATGTTGTGAATATACTTCCAAAATTTCAAATAATAATATTTATTACTTTGGTTTTAAAATGAAAAACATAAGATTTCTGCAAAAAGTTTCTGCCATTTTTAAAGCAGTGGCCATCTTGAACAAACTAGTTTTAAAAATGTCAACTAGTATTCAAGTTATCTTCCGGATGAATGGGCGGAGGGTTTCACTATATTCCTACTGAATCCGTTCATTGGGAAAATGATAGGATGAGTGATATTCAAATAGCCTAAGGTGTATTATGTATTTACAGTTATGGTGCTGCAACTTGATGTTGTTGATCTAGCAAGACAAAGCTTCAGAACTGATGAGGATCTTCAGTCTCCACAACAAATCTGAATGCTGGATTATCAATATCAAGAACTGCAATAATTAACAAAGGTCCAGCGACAATCACAAATACATTTTAGACTTGTAAGTATCAAAGGACAAATACTGTGGCAGATGTAAAACTACATGACAGGCAATGGCAAATAAAGCAATGGAAGAAACTGTTTCAGCATCAACTGTGGTACACAAATTTTGTCACAAATGCAAATGTTTAACACCGATTCAAATGTCAAACTATCATGGAAGCTTTCTGTTTGATGATGATCAATTTGAATGTAAAATCTGTAGTTTTCAACTTCCTACTGAAAAAAAAACTTTTACATGTAAGGTTTGTGAAGAAGCTTTTCCTAATAAAGCAAGATTGGATTTTCATGAAAAAACTCATGTACGTGCGGTAAATTTGAAATGTTCAATTTGTGGCAAACGTTGTATTAGTACTGGTGGATTGAAAAGGCATGAGCAAATTCACAGAAAAAAACAAATTCCAAAGAGTTTCACATGTGAGTTTTGTGATAAAAGTTTTAAGAGTGATTCAGCGTTAATAATTCATGAAAAAACTCATGTACGTGCGGAAGATTTGAAATGTTCAATTTGTGGCAAACGTTGTATTAGTACTGGTGGATTGAAAATGCATGAGAAAATTCACAGAAAAAAACAAATTCCAAAGAGTTTCACATGTGAGTTTTGTGGAAAAGTTTGCACTTCAGTTATTGCATTGCAATATCATTTAAAAAGTCATAGAGAATCATTAATAACTAAATGTAAATTCTGTGATAAATGTTTCACTAGTGATTCAGCGTTAATTATTCATGAAAAAACTCATACTGGTGAAAGGCCTTCCATATGCAAGTTCTGTTTCAAAGCTTTCAGTAATACTTCCACGTTGCTAGAGCATGAGACAAGTCATACTGCAATATTGAAATGCTTTCATTGTAATATTTCCTTTGACAGTCTTGAGCTTTTTATGAAACATAATACTTCAAAAGTACATGCAACATTAAATCTAAGTGATTTGACAACCATCAAGCCAAAAGCAAAGATAAAGAGAATTACCAACCAAGATCAAGCTAATGACAAATGTTTAATGCAAAAGTTTGAAGGAAACATAAATCAAAACAGAGATGAAATTCAAGAACACACTAGTGTCGAATATAATAATGATGTTGTGAAACAAGAAGAATCTATTGTTAAGATGGAGCAAACATATGAAGTTGAACATGTGGAATGTGATAGAAATGAAGAGCTTGTCGATAGTGGTCATATTAAAACAAATAAACAAGAAGAATCTGGTGTGAAGATGGAGCAAACATATGCCACTGAAGTTGAACATGTGGAATGTGATAAAAATGAAGAGCTTGTCAATAATGGGCATATTAAAACAAGTGAACAATCTATTGATAGGCAAGTTAAGAGCAATGAGAGTGAACAATACACTGAGGGTATCAAAGTTGAGAATGACAATTTTATCAATTCCTATTCACAGCAAGAAAATAGTAGGAGTGAACAAATGGTTGTTGTCAAACAAGAAAATTTGGACAATCATAGCTTGAATATTGATATCAAAACTGAACTAGATGATCCTGATTATTTTTAAATGTTGATGTGAAATAGCAAATGAAAGTGAATTGCTAAGTCAATTACAATGTTTATATAAATTGATTTTATGTGCAAGAAACCTATGACCTGTTGTAATTTGGGAAGCTTTGGAAAATGTCAGTGAATGAAGCTTCAAAATACAAGAGTTTAATACATTGAAAAGGACTATAGGTGATACAGAATAGTATTCAGGAGAGTGTTTTTTGATAGAAACAGTACGAATTTTGTGTCTACATGGTGTTCCAGTGTTTTAGTATGCTAGTGTTTTGTTAACTCTGCACCAAATGTATTCAAATTCTCACAAAATGTACAATGATGTATTGATACTACTCTTATGTTTCAAAACAATTATAAAATGCAGGCAGAGTTATGGTAACTATTGTAACAAGACATCACAATACGCAAGGCAACTTTTCCAAAAAACGTGATCACATTTTTTCTTTTTATATTTTTTGTTGCTTTTTTAAACATACAAATGTAGGGATATCAAATTAAGTACGAAACACGTGTCATTCTAGCAAGTCATTGCATTTCAACTCGCACATTTTAGTTGTTCAAAATACTAGAAGTCTCATAACTTTCTGCACAGAATAATGTAATGCCAGTGTCACCATAGTAACTGTAACACTACCTAAGTTTCATAACTTCTTAGAAACTGAACCGTTTTAAAATTACATTATGTAAAATTTTGGGGCAAATTGAACAAAATGCCAGTCCTGTTACTTTTGGAACACTTTGTACATATACAATTAAAACACATATTTTGTTTAAATTTAAAACTGATTTTGTACTGCCTCTGTAAATATTTGCAATAAAAAAATACTTAAAAATGAGATTTTGTGTGTTTAAAGTTCCAAATGCATATGTTGGGGTATATTTTGGGCTCCATTATACATTTAACTAGACAACAGCAACGCCAACGCGTAGCAAATCCCATCAAACAGCCATGGCTGGCATATTTACAAAGTATTATTATTATTTATTTATTTAAGTGCCACGCACCTTAATCGGCACCCAGCCTTATCAGGCTTATGAGGCACTATACAAATACATATACATGTAATTACAGTGTGCTTATTAATTTATACAATTTTTTTGTCGTTTTTCCTGACATTATAAATTTTGCTGTAAGTTTTACACAATTTTTATTTGAAAGAAGATGTTTCAGTAAATCTTGATTATCATGAACCATAGGATTATAGTTTTCCTTAAATCTTTGTAACAAGAGCATTCTAGAACAAAATGTTTCTCAGTTTCTATATGTCCAGATTTACATGCCTCACAGAGCCTTTGTTCAACAGCAAGGCCTTTATATCGACCAGTTTCTATGTTCAGGTGAAGAGTACCTGACCGAATATAGCAAAAATGGCAGCCATTTTTCAAAATAGCCACCTTCTACCAAAAGTGTCATTAGACAGTGTGTCATGATTATAGTATTTACATACCAAATATGAACAAAATTGCTCCACTACTTTTCGAGTTATAGTAAAATAGTTAAAATGGTGGCCATTTTCAAAATGGCCGCATTTTACCAAAAGTGTCATTAGACAGTGTTCCATGCTTATAGTATTCATATACCAAATATGAACAAAATAGCTTACTTTTCGAGTTATAGTAAAATACATTAAAATGGTGGCAATTGATTTTTCAAAATGGTCGCCTTCTACCAAAAGTTTCATTAGACAGTGTGCCATGCTTATAGTATTCACATACCAAATTTGAACAAATTCGTTCTACTACTTATCGAGTTACAGCAAAAATCGTAAAATAATGAGTAAAGGTCGCCATATTTCAAGATGGCTGCCATGTGCTTCTTTAATATCTACATTTCTAGCTTTATTAATGTCCTTTTCATAATTTTTTTTAAATTTAAAACATATTGCTATTACATATTGCACCTAAATTACTGTAAAATTGGCACTAAAATGGCCACCATTTGTAAATGAGCAGCCATTTTCAAAATCGGCTTTTAAGCAGAACTTCTACCCCCATAGAAAATATATGTACAAAATATGAACAAAATCGGGCCAACGGTATTTGAGTTATTGCAAGGACGAACGGGGGCGTTCCCTATATCCCTTCGAACTTCGTTCGATGGGATAATAATAAAGTTCAATAAAATACAGACAATCATATCAGTCTCAAAGTCAAGGAATAATAGGAAAGTTAAATTACAAATTTTGAGAGACCTCGAACTAGCCTTGCCCAAGTCGGTATTTTTTACTTATCTGATCTTGAATTATTACCGCCTTGTACAATCCAATACACCTGCGCTGATATTATGCAGAGTTATTCAACGGTTTCGAGATTTCCATAATACCTACGCTATCAGGGGTATCGCGAAACCTTATTGATTAACAGATATACGCGTGGACACGACGTGTGACTTCAGGCTGATTGACTAATCAAAACGTTATCAGGTTGACCTGCATAAGCAAAGCAATCTTCCCGATTTGAAATTCAATGATCTGATCGATCGTTTCTTTAGAGTTACAATATATTATGTAATAAAATGTACATAGTGAATGTAAGAGTCATTAATATAAATTAAATCATGCAATAGATTTAAAACTGATTTGGCGATGAAAATGCAAGACCGAGTCCAATGTAGCGGGTCATGTAGTCGATCAGTGATTGAATCTCAGCCTAGAGTCCATTTCACTGCTTCATTTCGTCAGTAGAACGGCAAAAATAAGAAATTGGGAGACCATTGTGCAATAATATATGGAAAAGTATATTCATAATGTACATGAATGACATTTGTATATCTTGGATTGCTTCTAGTTTGGCTTATAAAGTGTGTGGCCTCTTATATTTGGATGTTTCTCTGCCTTGTTATTTTCAATAAGATTAACATGGCTGAAATTCTTCAAATTACAAGACGGCACGGGCTTATTGCACAAAAACTAAAAAATCTGAAATATACAAATGTCATTCATGTACATTATGAATATACATTTCCATATATCATTGCACAATGGTCTCCCAATTTCTTATTTTTGCCGTTCTACTGACAAAATGAAGCATTGAAATGGACTCTACATGTTCATTTGAATTCAGCGATCGTTTCAACGTTTATTGTTGAAATCTTCTCACCTCCGGTTACCGATCGATGCTCCGGCATCCACTAAACTCTGATTGATATTTATCTGATAAAATATTTGTATTTTCATGATGAATTCATGCAAGATTTGTTCGTGAAAAGTCCCGGCGAAAAGTAAAAAGTGTACTTGTTTTTGACAGGCATAATAATGAGCTAACGCTGCAGGGCCGTCGTTGATTGGTCAAATTTTACCGACATAAACATTGAGTCGGTAAAGCACGTGGCTTTCTCTTTGGTACAAGGCGGTCATAATAGAAATCAAGATAGTATAAGAGACTGACTTGGGCAAGGCTAACCTCGAACATGCATGTTCAATATTATGACCTCCAGGGATTGCCATTGCTTTTTCAAGGGACCTAATTTCCATTGGGTGAATAAATACTTTGCAAGGGATGGAGAGGACCGGATTCTGCATGTTCATAAACAAGTTCTCTTTAAAACTATAGGTTCAATATCCAAATGAGGGAAGCTATTATGATACACTTTTCACAAGGTATTTGAAGTGAAGGTTCTTTTACCATTGCCTTAAAGAAATACTTTCTGTATATTTTGAGACACAATAGACAGAATAGAAAATTCATTCATGGATATATTTATTTGAACTTGTAGCATTGACATTATGTAGTTCATCCTTGTATTTTGTAGTCATTTTTGACAATAATTGATTACATGGTCCATAAAGTCCACTGGTACATTCTGCATTGTAGAAACCTCAGACATCTCCAAGGACACATGTCGAGCATACAGGCTCATCAGCATTTTCTGTTAATTGACATTTTCTCTCAATTTCACCTAAACACAATTTTTTTGTCATAGTTACATCTGTATACATCACACAATATACATACATCACACACAATAAATCACACAATATAAACACATCACACACAATAAATCACACAATATAAATACATCACACACAATAAATCACACATGAGCGGTATATTCTTACGTATTTATAAGAATATCACACTTATGGGCATATAGAGCTGCGCAATGAATGATGATATAATCAAACGCTTCATACGTTATACTTTATACAGGAATAATAAACATGCAATAATAAGTTGCAAAATCTCTGTTTATCTACGTTAAAATGTTTCTTTACCTTGTTGACCACACAATGCAGGAATATGGAAACCACTAAGCATGTTGGTTCCCAGGAATTTCAGACCAACTTCCTCTTGTACAAATATAGTACTGCAAGCAATATCATTTGATGCAACACTTTCCAACTCATAAGCCAATGGGGATTTTCCACCATCTCTTCCTTTACCGGAGTGCTCAAGACCTATACAAGTGATAAAATATATGTTAAGGTTGGGCCAAAATGTTGATCTGAACTAAGGTTACTCAGTCATTTAGCATGATTGTAAAGTCATATTTAATAAAATTAAATCTTTTCAATGTTCATTCATTCTCAATGTTTCCATGATCCATTCCAAATGGTCATCATTTTTGTATATTATTACAAAACAAGTCTAAAATACCAGCCTCATTGCAGCATTTTAAGCATGTTTTGTAAAATGGCCATTGGGAATAGACCAATAAAACTTGGTAGATTGAAAAAACACCCTGTAAAAATATGTATTATACTACACGTAGATGTTTATTTTAAAAACAAATATTAGTACAAAAGCATGGCTATGTGCAAAACATGTCGAAGTATCTTTAAATGCATGGTTATATGTAAAATAAATGTATATTTAATATTATAAACGGCATTGTTGTGTAAATAGTAATTTATATTTAATTTGCATGACAATGTCCAAATATTTCAAGGATTTATAAATCCATAAATTTTCTATGAATGAAATGTCCCTTAGTCCTGGATTGTGATAGTTGAACTTGATGATGGGGAGGGGGCTTTGGAAATTGTTTCTTTTCACATTGAATTATGGTTTGGGATAGTCGGGTTTTGATTTCCATATGACTGGTATACACTTTAAGATTTTCTTGCTGTGTTCTGTCCAATTTTGATCCTTTCCTTTTGCTTATATATTCATCTTAATTTACATTCGCAGATAAAAATGATTGTGTAATAGAGTATTTCCTTACCAAAGGTAAACCATAGCATCCCATTCAACCATATGTTAATCCCTTTAATATGTTGGGGGATTGTCACAAATATTTGACAATTTTCATAAATTGGAATGCTGTGCAATGGGCAGTGGCGTTGAAGTTGCAAAACTGGAGGGTAATGTATCTTTTCATAGACTAAGAGGATATAAGAATATTACAAAAACTCCTTGTCACCTTTTTCAACCAATGCAATATTTCTATTTGCATTCATCGTGTAAAGTAGATTAGAAATTTCAGATTATTATGTTTATTAGAATATTGTGACACTCACCGATGGTAATAATTTTTGTTCCCGCCATCTTTATCTCATTGGCTATCTGTATTGTAGGTTCACTGTTTGGATATGTTTTACCAGGTAGCCACGTTTCTCCATCAGTCATCAATATAATTGCTTTGACAGCATCAGTTCTCCCTTTGAGTAATTGTTGTTGAGCTTTTTGCAAAGCCAATGGTGTGTTTGTATACTCTCCTGTTTCAGTGGATATTTTATTCATAGCATCTATGACTGAAGACTTTGACAGGCGTTCAGTCAATTTAACATGAATGACCACTTTACGTGTGTATGTCATAACAGTGAATTGGAGACCACAATCATAGTTGATATAGCTGTCATCTAGAAGATCACTGAGGAATTCAGTTATCATTACCAGGGTATCTGTAGTTAAACTAGTTGATTTATCAAGAACTAGTGCGATGTCCACCTTGCAGCATTCTAAAAACAAAACAAATCATTTTTAAGACATTGTTGAGAAATAGTAGAAGTGGAATGATCAGCTTAGTTACAGAATTCTAAATTTATTAACTTTGATAAAATGTCAAAAGGCTTTTTTAGGTTGAAAATCACTTCTAAAAGATTGCAATGATCAGAATGTCACAATGAGATTAAATTCTATTATCATGTTTGCAAAGAGGTCAGACACTTTCAAATATTTTGCCATTCGTGTGAATTGATTAAAACTTACTTGAGCATCGTTTGCACATTTCTCTCTCAGTATGTGTGTGTTTCTTACACATTGCATGAAGCTCACCTAAATAATATAAATGATTAAAATAAGTGTCAATAATGATAAATAAATGCTTAAAACGATTTATTATACCATTTAATGAATTAAGCACAGATCTTCTAAAATATCAAATCTCAAAAACTGCAATTTAATTTCAATTATTTTGGTGCGACTAATTCATTTTCTTAACAACCAATATTTCAAGGCTTGGATTTTAGGTGCTTTTTTATTTTATAACGATTTATTACCATTTAACGAATTTAAGCACAGATCTTCTAAAAATATCAAATCTCAAAAAGTGCAATTTAATTATTTTTGGTGCGACTCATTCATTTTCTTAACAAGCAATTTTTCAAATTTTGATACTTACAGAAACCAATGTTTAATGAATATATTGAAGTCAATTGATATTTTTAGTTGCACATTATAATATGGATTAAAAGTGGTATTTGAAGATAAGATTACAGACAAATCGTTGAATAAGAATATAAAACTGTACTTGATTTTCCACAGTGATCATTGATATGGTGATGGAAAAGAACTCCGTCCATATCCATATCATCATGCGTTGCTTCTTCAATAACATTACATTCTGTTGGCTCGGTTGCTAAAGAGCCCCATTCTTTTAAAGTTTCCTGGTATGATGTTGCATTAGATTGTGGGAGGCCTGTGTGTAATAATAACATTGTTACACTTCACTTTGGTACAAATAGAATTTATATTGAAGATGATTAAATGTTCAATATTACACCAAATATATAGGAATATGAACCGCTGCTCTTCAAGAATGAAAATGTTCAAAAATGACTTGAGGTTTCTCCATTCAAAGGAATATGATTATATATTGGTTCAATGGATACAAATTAAAATAAAAATGTCATTTCAAACTAAGTTATTAGAATTTATAATACATATCAATGAGCATAATTATACCTAGCCTAATACTATTTGAACTACATACCATAAACAAATATGTGTGTTCCTTCAAGCTTGATTTTATCAGTTTCCCGAATTGTAGTTGGATCATCTGAGTGACCATTGGTTACTAGGAGGATCATTTTCCAAACCTCTTCTCTACCCATTTTCAGCTGATTCTGAGCTGTTTTAATTCCTAAGTTGGTGTATCTATATGGTTCCACAGATATATTTAGGTTATCAATCACTTCATTTAAATGAACCTTTGACGACTTGTCCTTTAATGCAACTTTGACTTTAGTATTCTCATCACTGTTGTAAGTTAATATAGAAAACTGAATACCGCAGGTGTAGTTAATGTTACTTTCTTCAATTATGTGCTTAACAAATTTCCTTCCATGTTCAAAGGATTTCTCAGTCATTCCTTTTGATGTGTCTATAACAACAGCTATGTCAACATTACAGCATGCTGAAAGGTATAAATGATATGCATTCTAATTATTCTATAATAGATACCACTATACCAAGATACCATTATAATTGGTACAGCCTTATAAAGCCACAATAGTCATTGCAATAAAAGTTAAAAAGGTTCGCTACAAAAAAGACACAAAAAGCAAAAATTATTTGAGATGTCTGTACAAATGAACAAATTGACATTTGGTAAATAATCCATATTTTTTATGTGCTGTAACCAAGCTACAAAATATACAAATAAGAAAACATGAATTTCTATCCCATACAATATGTTAAAGTTAATATTCTAACCATTGCAGAAACATGGTTCTACTTCTACTACACTACAATTTGTCTTAAAACTCTGATAAAGCTCCTGATGGTTGTCAAAGGTATGTTCCCTAAACCTGCATGCTCTTGATCTTTGTTTTCTACCAACTCCACATTCAGAAGTGCACTTTTTACATTTTAGGGAACACTTTCCCCAGTCTCCCCATGAACTCCAACCTAACAATAATAAAATAAAAGTTTACTTTCAGTACTTTAAACTGGAAGTGTCTGTAATTGAGGTCATAAATGACCAAAATTCATTTTTATTCATGATCTGTCACTTACAATTTCAATATTAATTGAAACATAGCTTTTGTATTCTTGAGTATTCAAGAGAATATGTGAATTTCAAAAAATAGAATGACTCAATTTATTTGCATTGTGCCTTTATTTTTTGGGTTTAACATAACGGAAAATCACCATTGTGTAAACCTCATAAAAACAGAATTATTTACTAACTCTTTTGCTAAAAATCCAAATCATGTAACTTGGTACTACAGTGTGGGTAGTAACACTTTCATAGGCATTTTTCACAACACATCTTTATAATTTATATGAACAGAATTATTTACCAACTGTTTTACTTGCTATCCAATTCATGTAGCTTGGTACTACAGTATGGGTAGTGACAATTTCATTGGCATTTTTCACAACACGTTTCACACATTCATCCAAATCTACAGAACTCATGATTCCAAATACAACGAAAAAATCTTTATTTCTAGGTTTGCACATTAGAGGCCCTCCGCTGTCTCCCTAATATAAAAAATGAGTATTAAAAATAGGATCGTTGGAAATCTTGCATTTTGTTATTAACACTTAAACCCTCAACTAAATAGAAGCAGCAGCTTTGCCACTGTCCTGCAAGAGGGAGTAAATATTTAATATGTGAGTATAGCCTATTGTCAATGGTATAGGTAGAAGGGTAATTTGATAGCGATACTAGAACAGCCAAATTTTATTTAAAATGAATAAATTCTCCGTTGTGTGTAAGTGTTAACGTGTAGAGTATTTCCCATTAAGTCATTCATGCAAAAAGACAATGAACTTTCTGAAATAATTATATGTCAAATTATTCTTAATATATAAAATGTTTGCCTATTTCACCTATTTTAAGATCCAGAAATAGTGTGCAAAATGAGGACATGTCACTCAATATGAATGTCACATGAAAGATCTGGGAAATAGTCAATCATAAATTCTCCATCTTTAAGTTGACACATAAGTTCTTCACTCTCTTCGAAAAAAGTCTTGAAATTGACACTTTAGGTATACTTAGCCCAATTGATACCAGTAGTCATATGGGAAAAATTGCTACCAGACAGTCATTAAATAGCCTTTATATAGTTAGTTTTAGTTTAGTTTATTTATTTATTTATAGTGGTCAGTCTTACAATTCATTTAATTACGATTTAATTTAATATCCCAGAAATACATACCTGGCATGGTGTTCCACCTGCACCACCTGTTGTGTCAACTGTGAATGATGTGCCCCTACTAGGTTTCATAAATACCCTCAACCAGTTAAGATCATCTGACGGCTTGCCACGACTTTCTAAAATACAAATGACAGTCGTTAATCATAGATACCATGTGATGAAGTGATTTGAGAATGTAAAAACTTTCTAAATTAACAAATATTATTATAGATAAAAAAAGTGAATCAAGATGCAAAAACAAATTGCAATACAATTTGAAATACAATGATAATCATACTTGGTGTGGCTCCCCATCCAGCTACCATACAGTCTTGATGGATGGCTTCCTCCAGGTGTCTTGCACAGGTGGCTCTACATTGTGCTGCTGCATCACCAGACTTATCAATGGCACAACTGTCATTACATGCATATAAACTCTTGGGTAAAACACAAGGCTGTATATTTGATTCAAAAATAAGTGGAGATGCAAGTTTCAATAGAGCGATATCATTCATTCTTGACCCATCTTCTTTAACCATATAGTCTTGGTGGACAATTACTTGTTTGATTTCAATTCCTGTTTCCAGATGAACAACCTTCGGAATTTTTAAAATCCCAGGAAGAACAAACCAATGTTTCAAGTCACACTTTTCATACCTGAAATACAACATTGAAAGTAGTTTATTTAAAAAAAAATGCAAATTATTGCAAGTAAATCAAATATTATTCTTAAATCAGAGTAAATTACACTCGTAGAAGATGATCAAAAATCTATGCTTCAGTGATTCTTGCCAAATTGATGGCTATTATGTAAAAGAATCAATGATGATGTAACAGATCAAAAGAACATTTTCTGATTTTTGAAGTTGAGCCATGATAAATGGTCAGGCGAATTTTTAAATAATTTGAATTCTTGTATCTTTACTCGGAACATTGTTTGCAATGTTAGCAATTTGTTTCTTTATTAGGGGTCTGTATTTTTACTTCCAGAATGGGTAAGATATAAATAAGAATTGTCGGTTACTCAAATGTCAAAACATCCTCCAGATGCTGTACATGTTGTTTACCATGGCTAATTCTAAATAAATAAATTAAGTATTCTCAGTATGAATAAAAATGCAAATATTCCAAAGACACTGCTACCCACCTAACTACACAGACGTATCGTCGGTGTATCATGGCGGAACTTCCTCCGGGACTAGGTTTCGGTAAGATTTTTTTATTTCCCGATTTACACCTACTTATAAGTCACGTTGTGGATAATAATTTGGCTCGAAGTTAAGGAAGATAGTCTAGTTTGAGAATGTGTCGATGGTTTTAGGTTTTATATGTTAACAAAGACACAATTCACGTATTTAGTCCCTCGCTTTTCTTACACTGACATCGGCATTAATTTTGCCAATATTACACTGATATTGGTCGTTCGTCAGTGTAAGAAAAGCGAGGGACTAAATACGTGAATTGTGTCTTGTTAACATATAAAACCTAAAACCATCGACACATTCTCAAACTAGACTATCTTCCTTAACTTCGAGCCAAATTATTATCCACAACGTGACTTATAAGTAGGTGTAAATCGGGAAATAAAAAAATCTTACCGAAACCTAGTCCCGGAGGAAGTTCCGCCATGATACACCGACGATATGTCTGTGTAATTAGGTGGGTAACAGTGAAAGATATTTTCTTTTTTTATCCCCTCACAAAAAGTTTGGTGAGATAATATAAAATAATAATGATTTTCACTGACAAAAAAGTATTAGTATTGATGCTGCAGCAATGACGTCCAATGCAAGCACAGTGTGCTGCTGTCATAATCCAGGTATCACTGAGAATTATTCCTCCACAAAAATGTCCAATGGGCTCTCCATCGTAACTTATGTCTTTATAAAGAGACACAATCCAGGAGAATTCTGTTTCATTTTGTACTGTTCCACCAAACTCAAGTAAAAACCCAACTCTTCCTCCAAATTGAAAATAGTTTCCAGAATCTGCATGAGAAAAAATTAAAGGTTATTGACTTTTGTCTACATAGTTTGCCTGTGATATCACACACATATTTATAAATTATTCTACTGACTTAAACAAGAAATAACACATTTCATAAAGATTTTGTACTGTGAGTCAATTCAAAAAGGTATTTTGGAATTTTATTTTTGGTGCACTTTTAGGTGTTCAAACTTACAAGAACATTGTTTGATTTCAGTGGCATCTCCTTCACAATTTTCACTTGACAGTTGATGTCCCATAGTATCCACACATATCCTAGACCGTGTTTTATAGTCTAAAGGAGTAGATCCCAAGGGACAATGAGTCCATGGCCCCCACCCTGTCCATGCCATTTTTTGGACTAATTCAAAATACACATAATTAGTTTTCTATGCTTTTTGTCAGGATTTAAGACTGATGTTTGCATGTTTAACATTGATAAGTTTGCTTTTTTGGATGGTTGTTTGCTGCTTTTACCTTGATGGGGTTAATGGTTGGAATGTTAATGCCTGTTTGATGTTGAAGTTTGCTTGTTGGGTTTTGATTATTGTTTTTTGCGTTTTGATGTTTTCTTGTTGGGTTTGGTTGTTTTCTGTTTTTGGGTTTAAATGCTTGATTGTTGGTTTAATGTTTGCTGGTTTTCATAATTACTTGTTTATTTTTGTCCCAGGATTGATGTGTACTTGTGTAAATCTGAATGTTGGACGTTGCAATTTGGTTCTTGGGGTGTTAATGTTTGCCTGTTAGGTGTTAATGTTTATGTGATGGGTCACAATATTTGCTTATTGGGTTTGGATGTCTTCTTTTAGGTGTAAATGCTTGATTTTATTGCACATATTGTTGTTGATTAAACAGAAATTCTTTTTTTTAAATTGTTTAAAAAGAAATGTTATAATTACTTTTACAGCAGATGGAAACATTGTGGATGTGATCCTGTTTACAAATATGCTTTTTCGAACATTTGTTCTTTACGTTGTCACAAGTTGAAATCGAGCCATCTGTGTTCCTTTTTGGCCCACCAACAGGGCACAGACCATTTATTTGACAACATTTCTTATTTCTGCACTCATATGCATTAGTGCAATCTGATGATGAATTACATTCCTCAACATTGACTCTGGACTGTTTGCACTTCACAGCTTTCAATGACAAAAATGATATTAGTATGATATTTGTATTATGCCTCAGTCACATTTGATCTACAGCAACAATACAGCAGCTGTAGCTTACCAAAATTGAGAGAAATATTCAGCATAAAATAAATAATAAAAAAGATAATCAGTACAGTGTAGATTTTCTCTATCCATTTTGTGAAGCTACGCCCATCGCACAACCGCCGTAGAGCAAATGAGATTGAGGTTCTACCTTAAAGGGTCTAATAAGCTTCCCATATAAAAACAATATGGCGGCTCCATGCGAGTCAACTGAATCAGTCCATTTTTAAGAAATAAGGGGAGTTTTGTAAAATCCAGTTCATTGATATTGTCTTGGAGATAAAGTAATCCATTTATAATGACTCTGAAAACATTATTGAGAAAGTGATTGTTCAAAGAATGCATGTACAACAGCCAATATAAATCCTTGTATTAGAAATCCTTTGTTTTAATGTATTTGGAGGATATTTCATATGCCAAGCTGTGAACATGGGGAAACTTAGATGTAATTTTTTCCTTATTATACACAAATAGAGGATGTCGAAACACCCATGAATGTGAAATTGATGTCAAAATTAAAATCTCTCTTTTATAAATGTGTGATGATCTATAAAATACTAACACTACATAACAGTCAGAGGTGTTGACACAATGACCTTGAGCCTGTAAACCCATGAAGTATTATTCCGGGATCTGGCCTTAATTACTAAACGGTGAGAAACGGTGAGAAACGCCAGAAACGAGCATTCAATTTACTAAACGATATGCGCCACCCCTTAATAGCTGTAATACATTGTATAAGCACATTAAGTACATGTACACTAATAATTCCACATGGGTAAAAATGATACCTTCAAAAACTATTTTTGGTCTTATGGCATCGTTTTGAACCACAGTAAAACCTGACCAATCAGAACCTCATTGGGACCGACTAGAAGGGCTTAGATTAGGTCATATTTTCAAGTTTTTGCATTTGCTAGATCCTGGATTTTGAAGAAATGTGAACACATTCTCAATAAAGATTTATAGTTCCTTTGACCACATAGCTTTATGGCATTCAGATAGTTTGATGAGTCATGCTGAAAAGTCTAATTATGACTGAAACCATTCAAATCAGCGTTTCAACTTTAAGATATTTGAGCAATTTTGTATGAAAAATGTGAAATTTTATGAAAAGTGTTAGATAATACAGGTTTATTTTTCAAATATGACTCTTCACTGTTCAAATTGGGAGGTGTTCATATTTCAAGGTTTTTTAACATGGGAGTCAATGGGAGGAAAATATGGGACCAAAAAAGTGTATATACAGATTTGGAGGTGTTTGGATTAGCAAGTTGTTTGGATTAGCAAATTGTTTGGATTAGCCAACTGTTTGGATTAGCCAATTGTTCGGATAAGCCAAATGTTCGGATTAGCAAATGTTTGGATAAGCCAAATGTTCGGATTAGCCAAATGTTCGGATTAGACAAATGTTCGGATTAGCCAAATGTTTGGATTAGCCAAATGTTCGGATTAGCTAAATGTTCGGATTAGTCAAATGTTCGGATTAGCCAAATGTACAGATAAGCCAAATGTTCGGATATCCAGGTTTTACTGTAACTCAATTTGTGGTGCTTCAATAATGAAATCAGTAACTTAAGATAATTGATTTCAATTTAAGAACTCACCCTCTATAACAGGGAAACTAACCAACATCAATATTATCTTTATCATTGTTGTAAGGTTAACCCAAAGCAATATATACTACCACAAATCTCATTGATGCCAACTGTAAGCATTCTGCAATGAATCAACTACATTATTAAAATCATCAAGAATACAGTAACCACAAAACATGTAATAAATAATAAATATATTTCATGTACTTACCATCCCGATTTAATCAGGTAATGATATATTTTGATGATACATGAATTGTTAACTGTTAATTTAACTATTAACCTTATGTATATTATCGTTTCATAGATTAATATCAAGCTGAACAAAGCAATCATAATTCATAATTAAACAAAATGTAATACCATGGATGCATTGCTTTAACACATACTGAACTAAATACAAATCATACATTAGTATCTACTTACATACAACAAAATGATCACTTTTTCAGTTTTTACAATTCTAAAATCTTTATACAATCTTTATCTTGTACAATTGTTGTTTTTTGCTTTAACAAAGTAATATTTCTAATAATTATTTTTATTAAATATTTATTGAAAGGGCCATATGCCAAAGTATTAGGTTTTATTCATGTGTGTGTGGTCATTCCAACATGGGACCATGAAGAACTCTTTAAATGGGCCAGATAGTACATTGTTTGAAACAATTTTTGTTAAAAGAGTATACCAAGATTTTAAAAATACAGATCAATGTTTCAAAATGAAAAGGGAAAGTTCAAATGATAGATATCTAACACATATGGCCAATGGAATCCAATATTAGTAATTGGTGATACAGATCCTAGCCCAGACAGCATTGATGGTGTGATGTCACAATATCGAGGATGATGGAATGGAGCCCCTTGTATCTTTCATGTCTTGTACATTGTACAATGGAATCCAGTGAGAAAAGATTATATCAAGATCAAAAAGGAAGCCATTGTTTGGAGTGTTAAGAAATTAGATATATACAGGAATTCATTCATTTCCGTGCAGACCATTACCTGCTTTAATGCTAATATTTAACCAAAGAGATGTCACCCATGACAGCAGCAAGAGTGGAGCATTGAACCTCTCTCATCTTGATATCATTACAGCATTGAATATCATAAGGCATGGACAATTCAAATGCTGATGTACATGTACTAAGACAGTTACTCCTTCCAACACTACCTTAGAACAAGACCGACACATCTAAAGCAGATAAATGCAGTCCAGTATATGAAAATACTGGCATTGAAAGATTCCCTTCTTTCCAAATAACTGAATAATAAACTTAATAGGAATGGCCCAATCTGGAGGACACTGACAGCCTCACTGAATTGATACCTTTATATCAAAAATTTTAGTATAAATGATTTCCATAGCTTTTTGTGGTGTGTATGTGTAGTGTTTAAATCATACTGGCTTTTGGCACCTAAAATTAAACTACTCCAGGCTAAGATGTCACTACGACAACATGGACAATAAAACCATGCTAGAAAACTTTTCCAAGGTGAAATCTGAACAATTTACAATGTTCAAAAAGACAACAATAGCATAAACTCCTTAAGAAACTAGACTGATGTCAATTTCACGTTTAGAAAGAAGGGCCATAAAGTACAACACAATCTCAATGATAGAAAGTTCCCAGAATCATTTCGAGAGAGCATCCACAAAACAAAATACAACAATCTAACAAAATACAACATCAATCTCAGATTGCTGTGGACAGCGAAGCTCAACTTGACCTTCTATAACAGGCAGATGACAGTCTACAAGAGGGAAATAATTTAATAAGTTAATGTTATTGTGACGGACTTGGGTCCTTATATCAGTATATATAGCAAATTCTATGTCTTTAATTTATTTTGGTCAAATATCAGATTATTGTAATACTGTCAACCAATCACATATCTTCATTAATCTCAGATTTTGTTCTCACAGACACCGATGGCCTTTAGTTATGGAATTTTTTCTGCATCTTTATTCGATTTTCACACTTTTGTATTTACTTACAACCATTCGATATTCCACTCTATTAAAATGATTCGAAACACGTAATAAATTTGTTTGTTTTTACACATTTATATTTGATTTATGTACTGCGGTAAATGCACTTGTATATGCGGTTTATGTTATTCAGTGTTTGGTAAAATATCACATATTTAAGTCCATGTACACACACGAACAAAGACAGTTGACACATATATTTAGAACACACATCAAATACAAATACACTTTAGAACCAAACAATGTTCATTTACCGAACAATCATAGAGTACAAAATAGCACGGACATATAGTGACTTACCCCACATAATTAATGACATGTTTCGCATAAAATTATGTAGGGTAAGTCACGTGACTTACCCCACATAAATGACACATGCATGTAGCATAAAACCATTCGGTAAATCAGGTGACCAGTGACGTAGAAATTTCAAAATGGATGAAACAAGCGAGGAAAAAGAATTTGAATACGATTCATATTCACAATTCAGAGAGGAAATTGAGAAGTTATTAGATCATTACAACAGGCATGAGGCTACATAAGCGATCCTTTGTTAATAGAAGATACGTTTCGCGATTGGAGAATCACACCAGAGCTCTTTGAATATATAGATGGCGCAAGTCACATGGTCGAAGTCACGTGACTTACCCCACATCAAAACAGTGAACAATGGTTTATATAAAATCATTCGGTAAGTCACGTGACTTACCCCACAAATGAATATGTTTAGCACAAATGAATATGTTTACCCAATACGAATGGTACTTGGCATCGCACATATTTAAAATACTTATCAAATTTATATTTGATCGGGTCGAATACACTTTTGAAGCATCTTACATATTTGTTGTGTAAGACAGTCAATTATATGTGGGATAGTAGGTACCATTTGTTGTAACTGGTTTTGTTTATGTTCGGTTTAACTTACTCAGTGGGGTAAAAACCGAAGATATTAATGTTACGAATATTGATGCAATAAATACACTATATTTAGTCAGTGGCACACGTTTGCTGTCATTGTACACCCAATCATGTATGTTCAATTTGTAATGCTCAATTGCAATGGGCACCACCGTCAGTCCTTTAGTTGTTAATAATATTGTGACAGTGCGTTAACCAATGGACAAGTCTGATGTTTCTGTTTTTGGGATAATTCCTGCCCCTTACTTTGTCTCTGGGGGAGTATATAAGTGCCCCAACCCTCAGAAACATCAGGTTTTTGCGCCCGCTGGTTTTCGCATTCGGTCTCCTCTAGCTTCAACAGTAGGGTAGGATTCAAGCAATAAGTCTGGATATATAAACACCTCGTGACATGGAAGCTTGGGTGAGTTGTTAGTTACAATCAACATTACTGACCAGGTTCGCCTATTTCATTTATTCTTATATACCTTTTTAAAGCTTGACACGTGACTTTAGATTTAAACTTCCAAATTATTATATATTTTCTGGATAAGGCGTTTCCTGATTGAGTATTTTGTTGTTGTATTGATTGATTGTTTAGTTGCTTGACTTATTTGATTGATTGTTCTTTAATTGTATTGACTCACTGTTATATTCTCACACTGCATCGGACGGTCATAAATAGCGTATTTGATTTATAGAAACATATATATTTATTTTGTCCTTTTATTCATTATATTAAATTCAAACTCCCTTAATTACTTTCCAAATTCATTTCCCGACAATTACCTTTCTCAGACGCACTTTAATATATCCAACCCCTTACGCTTGCCTACGGCGGGTCGTTATATTATAAACTCATTAAAATGGCTGACAACGGTTGGAAAACGGAAGAGGAATATGATAAATAAACAACCTCTTGCTAATGCTTTATAGATGATTATCATATAAGGTCAGCCATAAAAGACACAATGAGAAAAATGCATTCCAAATCAAAAAAACTTGCATAGGAGGCACAGAAGGCAGACCACCATATGGTTGGCACACTCAGGGTACAGGACAGCATTACAAACTAGGGGGATGCTGGACCTGCGGGGACCTGGGTCACTGAACTGACACATGTACAGCAGATCCCATCAACTGAATACACATGCTATGCTACACTGTATAAACAACTGATCAAGACAATATTTGGACTTCATGCACTAAAGACATCTATTGATCAACATGAATGTTTTTCTGTTTAAAGTCTGACTTGTATCTCAGTTCAGTTTTATAACGGCCATTCATTTTATGAAGGAGGATTGTTATGTATTTGTCATAGCTGTAATGCAGTCTCTGTACCACGTATCACACAATAATGACTGTTCTGCTTCACCTGAACAATTTCAATATGTAACAGTAAATTACCAGTTCAAAAATTGAAAATCTACCTACAAGTACAATTTTTAGTTTTAAAAAGCAATTATTTCTTACATGAAAAACATGTTAGCTTTCAATTAATTTGAGAAAAGAGGGTTTATGTCCAAGTTTATTGATTGAGGAAATAACATACATGTATCATTATGCATTGATAATATTTATTAAGAAACAAAACTAGATAATGGCAACTCCGCGGAGTAGCAAATCCCAACGAACAAAATATCAATTACCGAATTCCAATCAATTATACTTATTACTTAGAATTGCGAATTCCTGCAAAGCAGCCATTTTGAATTTCCTGAGGTACAAATCTGAAAAATAACACCATAATTGTTATCTACTCCAAAATTCCTTCAATTTGAGTATTATATAGCCATACTTTGAAGGGATTGAAAAATTATTGCGAAATCGTACATAAGACGGCCATTTTGAATTTTACGGGGCTCGAATCAGAAAAAAGATACAATATTTGCAATCTACTCTTAATTGCCTTTCATTTGAGTATACTAAAGCTATACTTCAGAAAGATCTAAAAATAAGCGAAAATTTCTGTTTTCCTGACCCCCCATACACGGCCCCTGGGGGTCAGGATGAAAAACACGGAACCTATGTGAAAAAGATAGATGCTGCGAATATACTACCAAAATTTCAAACAATAATATTAAATACTTTGGTTTAGAATGAAAAATTTATGATTTTTGCGAAAAAGTCCCGTCATTTTTAAAGCGGCAGCCATCTTGAAAAAATTTTTTGTTGCGTAAAACTATTCATCAATATACATCTTTCTACCAAATATGAAGAAAATCCATCAACTAATATTTGAGTTATCTTCCGGACGGACGGACGGACGGACAGAGGGCTTCACTATATCCCTACCGAACTTCGTTCGTTGGGATAACTACAGCTACTTGGCCCTCACCAGATTGATATTTTGGGTTCCTGGAAGAAGGATAGTGTATTATATTTAATACAATTGACTTTAAACCTGCATAACATCATACATTGTAACATATGATAAACAGGTTTATTTAGTTGATTATATCCCCATGTTAAGTCACTAAACCCTTGCTGAAATCCTCATTTTCTCAGAAGTTGATTGAGTCTCTACAAGTAGATTCATGTGGAAGAGTAAGTAGAATCCAATTTCAATAGTTAGAATAGGGGTTCTTTAACGGGACATTAAAGCTTAACTAAAAAGCCTTTATAGCTTTATATTGTGATGTCATATTTGACGCTGCTCCAGCCATGAGCCTACATGTCCATGATAGGCCAGTCAAACTAATGAAAAAATAAGCTTAAGCCAAAACAAATTATTATAGTTTTCAAATAAGGTTAGTTGTTTACATTTAATAACCTTGAAATTGATACTAAAAATCTACCAATATCGAGGTAGTGGAACAATGTTAAAAATTAAATCAAAGATACCCTTACACCATCCCCTTTAATTTGTGAGCGTAACTAAAAAATTATTTCTTAAACTTGAGGTCCTATTTTTACAAACTGTAGCTTGAACACTATTGGATATTGTTTTTGCTAAATAATAAAATTGTTTTTACAAAGAAAAAGTTCATTTGTCTAAATGTTTTTAACCCTTGTGAGTCTCAAATATGCGATTAGTTCATATGCAAATTAGCTCATTTGCTTATTTTTTATGACATCATATGATGTGTATTTTATGAAATCATTATTAAAGAATGACAGGCATTTGAAAAAAAGTTTTCCCTAGGGGGGTCTATTTTTCAAGAGGAGGGGTACCAAAAAATGTTACTTTGACTGAACTACGAGTCAAATCTAATTTTGTTTTGTATTAAGTTCACATTTGCAATGCCAATATTGTTCCCAAGTGTTGGTGAAAAGAGGACAGTCTAATCCTTTTGAGAGAGGACTTTAAACAACACTTGCCACATAAAAATCCTCGAAGTGAAATATTTTTGAGTTTGCTGTTGTTTATCCAGGTGTATTGCATTTACGAATTACAAGATATTCTAATAAGTCAATAACAAATCATTAACTTATACATTATAAGTTTATTCTTCATTCAACATTGACATTTTACTTTCCTAAATGTGGTTTTAATGAAGCATGTCCCACCACTATGATAACTCATGGCAATAAATCCAAATGTACCAGGTACCTCACAAAATGGCTGATACCAGCTGTCACCTCATTAACGAGAAACGCTCTGTTGAAGATATTAAAATCAACTGTTTCTGGATCGAAAACACGCATTATCATTTCCTAGAATGAAAACATTTAGAATCAATTAAAAGCATTTTGTTAATCTCATATAATAATCTCATTTTATGAAAAGAATGTGGCTATCGATTTGCAAAATATAAGCAATATGCATTAGGTTGTCATGATGAAATGGTTACTTTAGGCATGCAACTTTGTATTATAGGCTAGGCAAATGGAAGTTTAACATCCCAAAAATTGCAACAGTTTTTAAATTAGGCTTATATTGTATATTGATACCAGTTGAAAAACATATCAAAAATATAGAAAAATATATGCAGTGGACAAATATGAAATGTCACATTCTAGGTACCCCCCTCCAAATTTGAGTATGGGATTGTAAATATTTTTTAATTTCAAAATGAAATGCTCTTGTCAACCAAATGAGTAATATTATGATAGTTTACTGACATAAGAGCAACTAAAAATAGTTAACCAACTATTTGAGTGCAATAATTGGCATTTCTAGCCCCAAATATCTGAAAATAGGCCATCAAATAGCCCGAATTTAATATAACAATGTATTTATTTCTGTATCAATTCATTAGAATTGCATGAAAAAAATCAAGGGGGTTAATGTATACCTGAAAATTGTATTTGATCAGTATCAGGGTCATTAGTTGAATATTGAGGGTGATAATAATATTTGAAATTTCAATATTTTACCACACCAACTTTTTGGGTGACCTTACTTTTGTTTAATTACTTCCAAGATATGTCATATTTGAACTCAATAGCACAACTAAATAATTTGTAAAGGCTTATTTTGTCCTTAAAACAGTTATTTGATGTTTTCAGGGAAGGATTATGTAAAAAAGTAGAAAAAACTGCAAATGCCGGGTGAAATATAGGGGAAGCCCTACTTTTAGTTGATAACTGCTAAATTATCAAATGTTTTGCCCTTATTATATTCAATTTGATACATTTTTCTGTTAAAACAGAGAACGATTTGTTAGAAATTAAGTACAATCAGTGTTCTAAAAATATCCTTGAAAAGGCAACAAAATGTTAAATATCCCTGTCCCTGACATCAGGTTATTAATATGAGCCAAAAAAGGTAACCCAACCAAATTTTTGTTAATAACCCAGTCATTCAGCATGGGTTTGACATCATATTTTGCACAATTACCTAATTGTTCAATGTTCTTTCATTCTACTAAGTGTCATTGATCTATCCTTAATAGTCACGATTTTATAGCCATTTACAAAATGTGCTCAAAATATCGAAATGTGTCTAAATGACTGGACATCAATACCACCAGCTTTTTATCTGTGGACCTATTTTCTATACTAACAACCCTTGAAACATTAAAACAAGAGATAAGAATGAAGATGAGAGCCATAACACACGATTTTTATGCTCCTGATTTGAAAAACTACGCCCGATACGTTCAAGTTGACCTCCAGGCATGACGCCCATATTTCATGGCATGGTATAAAATGGCCATAAAATCGTGACCACTAGAGATAGACCACTGAGACTAGATTAATAATACATTGACCAAGGCTCAATTCTGCAAAAATGACACTAAATCCATGCAGGATGACTGGACTGGGTTATTAAGATTTGTTTGGGCTACCTTTTTAGCTCACCCTGTATTAAGGAAAATTGTTGCTTTTGACGAAGATGTTCTTAACCACACTGTGATATTGAATTGAAATGAAAAAGTTCAACTGTAGAATGTTGGATTTCAAGATGAAATTCAATAAAAATGAGGAAAAGGTTTCTACGCTAATAAATTATACTGAGTTATCTAGTGAACCGCAAAGTAAATCCCTGGTCTTTATACAGGGCAAGGTTCGATTACGTTAGGTTCATTATCAAAAATGCTGCCTTCATTTTGTAATCTTAACTTACATATATGTGTCTTACTTATAGAGAGCAAAAAATAATGCTGATTAAATGAGCTTAATACTTTTATGTTGTAACAACAATCACTTTCAACCTTGCCTATCACCAGCCTTCATTTTTTAGTCATCATTATTTTCATGATCAGTAATGGAGGTACTTGCACAAATGCCTTTGCATACCTTACATGCCATAGAACAGTTATTCCATTTTCTGCAAGTACAGCTCATAGAAGTTCAATCTGTCTTACACACACAATGGATGATCTCTAAGAGAGGGGAGCTGCAGGTAGGCAATAGACTAGATACGAGTAGAAATATTCATTAAATATTCAAAATTCAAAATGATGTCATATTTGAAATATTCCCCATAGACCCCATGTTACAAAAGCACAAAAATTGAATTATCTTATCTTGTATTGGACAGATAACATTTTCTTTTACTGGACATATTTTAATTTGCATAACTATTAGATACATAAGGGTTATATGAAAATTGAACGACGCAAATAGATGTAATTTAAGTTAGGGAATTTTCTACTATACCAGCCATGCTATCTGACCCAAATGAGCCATCTGGTGGTGAATCTGGTAACTACCTACTCGCATCTGCGTTATTGGTTCAAAAGCTTCGCTGCTTATTTCCCAGCCCAATTATAATGGAGGCAGTTTATTTCCCTTCCACTCCTGGATCTGAAGGTACGCTCTATAACTGTGGTATACCGCAGCATCAGACGTTGGAGGAAGAACACGGGGCTGCAATAATTCAGATCTTGCTGCTCTCTTTTAATAGAATTTTTGAAGCCTATTTAAAGTACGTTGTAACAAAATGTCAGAACATCGAAGGTATCATGATTTTTCTTTTTTTCCATATTTCACACGTTGTAGGCAGAATTCCAACATTGTTATTACAAACATGTATCAGTATCATATGTTTAAAAAATGTACATATTTGCGAACAAATAGTTCAGAAGACAACAGAATCGTCGATTTAATTCCTCACTTAAGTTACATAAATGGTATTTCGATAAACAGTTAAGATCTGCACTTTTAACCCAAACCGTTTATGTAACTTAAGTGAGGAATTAAATCAAGAATTGTCTTCTAAGCTATTTTTGCGCAAACATGTACATTTTCTAAAACATGTGATACTGATACACGATTGTGAGAAAAAACATCGTGGGGATTCTGCGTACAACGCGTGAAAGAAAAATCACGCATTCGACGTTTAGACATTTTGTCATACCTAAACGGGCGTATTCGAGCGGATCACCAGTGCTTTTGGTAATTTAAAACGACCGCTTGTTTCTTGTCAATCCCATATATAACCAGAATGAGGTGTCACATCCCAGAAAAGCATGGATAAAGAAACTATTGTCACAGACCACTTTTCCCAAAGACAATCTTATTTCATTTATATCCAACATTTTGTTTCTTGGGTTGCTGCTTTTGGTTCAGGTTTGCAGAAAATGTTGAAGTTTGTGTTTTGTGCATGATAAATGAGAAGCACAAGGAGAACTGTATGAGTACTGTATTTGAGGTTGGAACACTTTGGATTGCAGTCTTCACAATCACAATATCTGCATCCGATTCTGAATGTGTAGCACATGTCGCTCAATGTTTTCCAACCTGACAGACAGAATTACCATCATTCCTTCGCACTGAAATTATGTTAATGAAAGACTCCCCAGAAATCTGAGATTTAAATGTGCTCTATCAGTTTAAATTACCTTTAATAACCATAAAATCGTTTCTACAACATTATACATCCAGTTCCATAGAAATGTATTCTTAAGTAATGATTTATTTATCTGATGAATTTAAATATATGCAAATTTTGTAATTGCGGATTGTAATTAATAATTTAAACAATATTAAATTCCACAGAAACTACAATATTACCCTAATATCAGAGTGGTGATATGTAATTATTCATCAATTAAAAGTGAGGTCACCTTAACATTTCACCTGGTGCAACTAATAATTCCTATTTTCATACTAATAAGGTATAAACCTTCACAAAACCTGTATTTTAGATGATGACAAGCCTATATAAATGATTTAGATGTCAACTCTAATACGAATGTCATGCATTGTGGGAGTTTGTCATCAAAACTATTGTCTCCCCTATAGTGGGTGCGGCAAAACTATGAAAATGAAATTTTTTTTTTCTTCGTAAGTCTACACGTTAGAATTCTGATACTCACCAAATATTAAGTTCACATGAATATGTAACACCATGATTTTTTTCATGCTTTTCTGACAATCTGATCCTAAAATATCTAAATAGATATTCAAAACTATAGTCTCCCCTAGTGGGCGGGGCAAAACTATGAAAAAGAAATAATTTTTTTCTTCCTAAGTATACAAGTTAGAAGTCTGATACTCACCAAATATGAAGTTCATATGAATATGTAACACCATGATTTTTTTCATGGTTTTCTGACAAACTGATTCTAAAATATTTAAATAGATATGTGATAACATGCCTGTTTTGTGGCCTATTTTGTTATACTTTGGGGTCAAATGACCAATTACTGGTCTCAAAAATGATCAAAACGATATTTTAATTATTTGTGAATATGTGATCTATCGTAATAGAGCTTGAATACTTGACTAAAGTATTCCATTTGGGAACAAAAAATTGTTTCCTACCAATACTCAATTTTGGGGTAGGGTTGTAGGGGGTACCTAGGAAGTGAAATTTCATATTTGTCCACTGCATACATTTTTCTATATTTTTGATATGTTTTTCAACTGATATCAATACATAATATAAGACTAATTTAAAAACTGTTGCAATTTTTGGGATGTTTGGGCCTTTTATGAGCCCATTTGCTTGGCCTATATACCTTCTCTTGGCCAACAAAATGGAACACTTCTTTGTTCTGCCCTTTCTTTTTCCCGAGAATAGATTTTTTTGTATGTTCTCGCCAAACATTTTTAAATGATTCAAAATCAGTATCTAAAACAGAGAAAATGGTAAGATCATGCTTTACACATTATGGATACATCTATATAAATGCATATTTCTTAAAGTATTTCTATCTATAAAATGAAACCTCATCCATGTAGATAAGTGTCTCAGAAATATTTCCATATTCATCAAGACAAAACAAGATAACCACCTTCTGGGTAGACAATGGTGCGCCAAATAGCTACAAGAGGTTCGCCCTTGAGGTCAGCTACCGGGAATGGCTCTTCTGGTACTTCTGTGACGTTTAGGGTCAACCAAGCAAAGTCGTAATAGTCCATGATAGGATCAACTGTACATTCGAAGGCAACATCTAACATGCTCTTGGCAATTTCAAAGTACATTGGACATGTGGCCCCTGCTATTATGATGATTCGGTTTTCTCCTATCACCTAAATAGTCAAACATTATTATAGAACAGTAGTTTGTAAGAGAAAACACTCATATTATATAATTTACTGGGTGGCCATTGGTAAACAACATCAGGCAAGGAGTAATTGCTTTAAAATGTTATACAAAACTTACCGTACAAAAACAATATAGCAGCTCCAAATGAGCACTGCCCAGGATTAGGCGAATAGCCATTATATAGCATATCAAACTAAAATCATGAAAGCGTTTTTCTTGTAAAGGTGTGGCTTGATAAAGAGTGTAAAAACTCTTCTGAAAAAACAATTCTGAATAGAAAGAATTTTTAGATGCCATATGCACCGTCTTTGTACCTTGAAAAAGAATCTAACATACTGATTTTAGTTCAACATTCTCAAAGAAGTTATAAAAGAATATCACTTGATAAGGTAACCCATTAAAGATATCCAGTGCAACATCAAACGTGTCACTATGCCCGTTTTTTTATTTTAAAGACAACAAAAAAATCTTATTTTGGATCAGCTGTGAATAGTGTTTTTTTTTCAAATTAAAGAGAGGTCCCAGTCAAACATACCAATCTTGCTCTGCCTAACCTAGAATCAATTAAGCTTAGATCTAGGCTAGCCTAGCTCTGATCTCTGAAAAGACTAGATAATTACTACTCCTAGCCTGGCTCCATATCCAACTCATACTTTCTTACTCTATGGTAGCAGGGAAGGGATCGAACCTCAAACCATGTTATGTCATTCCACTATGAAACATCTTAATCAAGAGCTTAATGAATGCTTTTTTAGGAACCTCATCATCATATCTACCTGGCTACTGAATTTATCAAAGCAGCTGGGAGCCTAAACACAATTTAATAAGAAATTGCAGAGATTCATAGCATCATCACAAATTAGCCTGGCTGGATAAAGGTTAACATTTTGAAATAGTATTTAACCTTTTCTCAAATATAGTTTTCTGAGACTCATGCAGGCAGGATATTGTTGTCCCTAGCTCTATGACTACCCAAGAAACAAGAAAATTGCTCTTATATGCTCTCATGCATTAGAGTGCATTATTTGATAAGAACAACCAAATGAAACACGCAACAGAATCCAAGAGAATTAGAAACTAAATGTTTGAATGAAGAGTATATAGTTGAACCAATCAAATGTAAATCAGCACAAACAGCATGCATAATTGATGTCATGTTAATTAAAAAAATATCTTCTTCCCAAGCAGTAATAAAAATTGTCAAAACAATTGGAGATTTCTGTCAGACCATTTCTGTCAGACTTATTATATACTGCTGCGAGGCAATGAAGGCAAACCAAATTGACTATATCTTTGACTCATATGTCATAGGATCCATTAAGGATTCAGAGAGAGAATACAGAAGCAAGAAACCACTGACAGAGTTAAGAGCTAGGACCAACACTATCCTCAGCCAAAAAATATGGAATACTTTTGGACATCAAAAGGAAACAAGGAAAAGCTACAATGCTTTCTAAGGGACCGAAATTGGCCAAAAACTCTAAGATGTGAAAGCTTCAATGAAAGTCCAAACACAACAAATCCCCAATATTGAAAGCCCTAGAAGAGGCTGACCTTCGAATCTTACCATATAGTAACAAAGCTGTATTAGAAGGATATTCAACAATAATAGTGTTATCAAATGACACTGATGCATGTGCAGTATTATTTCATATCCTTATTCCTTTGTTTGAAAATGAATAGATGGCGTCACTTAAATTGCCCATAGCAAATTTGTTTAAACTAATTAAATATACTGAGTGTCTGGAACAAAATGATACCTACAAACCTTTTTTCCCAGCCTGGCACCAAAATCTGAGCTGTAAGGGATATTAAAACATGAGAACCACAAGTTTTGTGCTAGCTTGTTAGCAAGAGGCCCCTAAACGGTAACAATATTGGTCAAAATGTAGTGAGAGTATGCACTTCAATTTAAAAAAATAAGGGATTAGTGTTCATAATTTTCTACTTTTCAATATCATTAAACAAGGAGAGAATGAATAGAAAATATTAATGAATAAAACACACTTTGCCATATAGCTAATGGTAAATTAAAACCATTTAGATTGTTTTCTGCAAACAATACATCTTCATTGCTCAATTAAGCATAACAAAGCTAATGTGAAGAAAATATTGTTATAAAAGGTACATGTATTGAACATACAATTTATAAGTCAATTCTAGTATATTTGTCATGTGATTAGTGTTGATCTAGTCGGCAACATAGCTACAATCCTATAGTATAAGTTAGAGCTATAGTTTGTTTAAGAGGAGAATAATTTATTTTAAATATATGTTGCATAGTTTTATCATTTCACATCATTCAGAGTATGTGGCATTCCAAATACCAGGGCAAAATGCTTTGATTATATTAGTTTATATCATACTACAGAATGCTTTTTCTTCTACAGAAATATTTATGTTTGACAATTATCAGGTAAAATGTGTAGTTGCACGACATATTCTGTCACGCAAAAAAAAGCTTGCGTGACTTCAATTTTTTCAGCAAATGCGTGACAAATACGCAAATTGCGGGACAGTTGGACAGCCTGCTAATGTAACTTACATGTATGTCTTACAAGATTTTGCTCATGGTAAGATGAAATGAAAAACAATTTAACTGTACAATGACAATGATAAAGCATAAATGGAAACTTGGTTTTTCATTTGTGTGCATCATTTATATAGGAATTTTTCAAACCATGTTTCAATATATCACCACTTTGGGTGTTTTGGGTGAGGGGGAATTATTCACTGTTTCTGTTCATGTTTGATTGTGATTTGAGACATCTTTGTATTATGACAGGTGTACTGTTAAATATTTCTTTTCTCCCTGTGGTCTATAACCATTTTTGGTGTTTTCCAGTCTGCTCCATTGGTAGCTTAATCCATGACAATATCAATGTACTGTTTCTGACTGCACCTAGCATTATTCTAAAATGAATCTTTATGTAAAAAATGTTGCAGAGGTAAAAAACTAATGTTGCATACCTTAAGTGGATAATAAACACGGACATGCTTGCTTCTTTCAAGTCCTTTTACATATTGCCTCAGCTGCTTGGTTCTGTAATTGGCTGGATATTTACAGTCCATATGGAAATTGTAAAGACTGAACCTTTGCTTTCCCTTGGGGTCGTAATCACATTCATGGTTGGCTGAATATAATTTTCCACGTTCACGTGATCCTGCTTCAGCTGAGATAAAACACAATAAAAAATAAAGACAAGGGACTCATGGTTACAGCACTTAGCAAAGCTTGTTAAGTGCTCTAAACCACTCGGCCAACATACTTGACTACCCCAAAAATGGTTGTGTCATCAGCTAATCTGACTAAAAGAGAACAAAGTATTAAAGTACATAGTACTTCAAAGAGAGTTCATCCTATCAAAAGCCAGTGACAAATGTTTCAAATGTACATTATGCCATACCATGTAACTCACCATTTAACATGACAAATTGCATTGTTACCATAAACTGCAATGTAATGCCAAATCACATTCAGTAAAGAATGTAGTTTATCATTACAATTTTTGTCAACATTCATGCTTCTTGTGAAGGTGAAGAGGAATATTTATTGTTTTTAATACATATTATATGAAACGTTGAAAGAAATTACATTGCAGTTAATAAATTCATGCCATTTGTGAAAAATAAATATTTATTATAATTTAAAACAGTGTATATGAATTAAATGTTGTAGTTTAAAGGGGCAACAAGGCCTGTAGAGAGAAAATTAAGCCAAATGTTGCCCTGATAGCTCAGAAAAAGTAAAATATTTCTTTGGCATACCTATTTTCTTAAAATGTATGGATAAACTATCAATTTCAGCATAAAGAAGTGTAAATTCAGTTCAATGCTTCTATAGAGGGAGTCCCACTTATAGATTTTTAAGATCTTCCACTTTTCAAGAGGAATATCGGCTGAAATAATGTTCATCCAGGGGGTTTCTTTGGAAATAATAAAAATTTATGTTAGTCTTGAATAAATAACCAAACTTAAATTTATTTTGACACTTGTCCATGATCGTTGAATGGCCCATCTGCACTCATTGTTGCACCTTTAATCAATACTCCTGTTTTGAATATTTCTTATTAGTAAATTGAGAAACATTGCACAGATATAATAAATCAAATATTCCATTCTATTTTCGGTGAATACATGTTCATCTTTCCCACAGGTATATTTCCCTTGCCCTTTGGGCTGAATGTTCATCTTTCCCTCAGGTATACCATAATAGAATGGAATATTTGGTATTTATTATTTCCATGCCATGATACTCATTGGTCAATTAGATACCATGTGACTAAAAATATATAAAGGTATTCCATGTCTCCCTGCTTAGAAAACGTGTGAAAAGTGTATTCACCGGCAGTGACGTAATTTTTAGTGAATACCACTATATATTCAATTTAAATGATGTCACATCATTTAATTCCTGGGAATTTAGTAAAAAGTATTTTCATCCGATGTGACAGATGTTGAAGTTGTATCAGGAAGTCCTCCCAAGAAAAGGTTCACAACTGTACAACAAACATGGGATAAAGAATTAACAAATGAATTTAAATAAGTCAACAAATCAAAGCACGAATACTATGGACTTTAACATGGAATCTAATTTTTATCAATGATGCAACTGAGATCGTGAATATAACAGAATATTGGCAAACATTTGGAAATATGTTGAAACTAAACGTCATATCATAACAATATTGTGTACTTCTAACTTTAATATTGTGTACTACTTTAATGGGGAAATAATAAAATAAATATTGAATTCTGTGATCATTTAATATCTGTGTATAATTTTGAGGAATGTATTCACCTCGCCCTTCGGACTGCGATGATTTTCAAATTTTGAGGCCCACTTTCTTCAAAATTTGGCCTAAAATTAAAAATAAGGCCTTGGAAGGCCCATTTATGACCAAAAAGGCCCACTTTTTGGGTCTTTAAGGCCTTTTTTGGCTCAATTTTTTTTTGAATCTATTTGTCAAATCTTCATCAGAACACATCAGACAAACATATAATGCAATAAAACATTGTATATACTCCAAAACAACTCCCTCTTGGCTTTTTTCTAAACTAGCAGGTGTTTACCCTTAAGAAACAAGAACACAAATGTGTACAAAATGTCCCCACCAAGTGGTGATCCCGTGAAATGGTTATCCTGAAAATGAGTAGACAAGACTTTACCAACACAATTTGAGGACGGAAAATCCAAAGTGGCCACCTTAAAATTTACCCAGAATGCCAAAAATTTAGTCAGTTCTAGATTTTCATACTAAGAACCACCCCTGAAAATTTGAAATTGATCCGTCACACAGTTAACCAGAAAACATGTAAAACAAGACTTTACAGACAAGATTTCAGGATGGAAAATCCAAAATGGCTGCCTTGACATTTACCAAGAATGTCAAAAACTAATCTGTTTGTAGATTTTCATACTAAGAATCATCCCTGAAAATATGAAATTGATCTACCAAACGGTTCACCTGAAAACGGGTAGACAAGACTTTACAGACAAGATTTTAGGACAGAAAATCCAAAATGGCTGCCTTAACATTTACGCAGAATGCAAAAAAAGTAATCAGTTCTAGATTTTCATACTAAGAATCATTCCTGAAAATTTGAAATTGATCTACGAAACAGTTCACCTGAAAACGAGTAGACAAGACTTTACAGACAAGATTTTAGGACGGAAAATCCAAAATGGCTGCCTTGACATTTACCCAGAATGCCAAAAAACTACTGAGATCTAGATTTTTATACTAAGAATCATCCCTGAAAATTTGAAATTGATCCACCAAACGGTTCACCTGAAAACGCGCAGACAAGACTTCACAGACAAGATTTTAGGACCGAAAAATCCGAAATGGCCGACAATAAAAAAGTCCTTATGAGTTTTTGCTGATTTCTTTTTACAAAATTATCACATATAACTACTGTTAACAATAAAGTAGGCTTTTACAGCAAAGAACATCTGAAATTATTTATAAAGCTACTAAATAGTTAAAGTATGAAAACTCAAAAACACCATTCAATATGATACAAAGTATTATCGCGCGCTAACTTTTCTTAAGACATTCAAAATGGCTGACATGACTGAGCTAGCAGGTCCAAAACCTAATCAGATCTAGAATGAAGTGAGCTGAACAAGATGTTTTAAAAGCAACTGTGAAGCAGTTTTTCTTAAAGTTTGCAGACAAGGATTTTAGCATTCGACTTCAAAATGGCCGACAGGAAGTAGGTATCGAGTTAATTTTTTTTCATCCACATCTGTATGCACTCATAAGTTATCCCTGAAAATTTGAAGGTGATATCTGTAGCGGTTTTGGAGAAAACTGCCGGACGTACGGACAGACGGACAGACAGACGGACAGACAGACGGACAGACAGACGGACAGACAGACGGACAGACAGACGGACAGACAGACGGACGCGCCTAGGCCGACAATATGGCCCCACACTATGTGGTGGGGACATAAAAAGCCATGGTAACCATGGTATTCCATGGTGCGTCCATGGTAATCCATGGTTTTCCATGGAAATTCATGGTTTTTCATGTTATTTTCCATGGAAATTCATGGACGCCCATGGTAATCTTCCATGGATATTTACCATGATTTTCCGTGGAAATTGTTGGTTTGGTAATTGGTTTTTAATGGATGTCTCATGGAGATGTAAAATCAACAATTTTGGTAGGATTTGTATTTACCAAAATCTCCAAAATGAATGTTTTGATGATATATCCCAGTTAGACTGAGACTTATCATTGAGAAAAAAGGGTGGACATTTCATTTTGAAGGTATAGCAAGAACATTCATCGAATGTTAGACTCAGCTTACAAATGAGAAAATATGGATTACCATGGGCGCACCATGGAATACCATGGTTACCATGGCTTTTTTCTTAAGGGTAAGGCTCAAAACCATTTAACATTAACTACCATTTACCATTGCAAGACCTCAAGCACAAGTAATCTTAACGAATTATTCTTATAGTTAAGTACATTATACATCAATCATCACTTGATGTGTCTTACAAAAATCATCTGGTTGAAATCTCATTATTTATATTTATATTATTATGGTACATTTATTGCGCTTTATGATTTTTAGAACATAGACTTCGGAAGGAAACACTGAGACAAAATATACTGACATACTGTATGCTTTTAAAATTATTTGAAAATTAGATAAAAACTAGATGGGTAGTCACTTTACTAGTCATTCTAAATAAAGTCATTTAAAATCTAATGTTCATGTGAAACCCAGCCCACCTTGGGCTTATTAACCACTTCAAATAATATTTAAGTATAATTTATAAATCTGAAACCCAGCCCACCTTGGACTGCTATTTAATAATCATTTGAAAATATAAATACAAGTAGCAAGTTCATTAAACATTACAAATTAGCTGTTGTCTTCTTACATACGCCTCCCTTCTGTACTTTACAATGTGACAAGTCTTATTTTTAATTTAAAGCCATCAGGCTGTACATAATAATTAAAATGACCAAAATTTTTCTCTCAAAGGTCCTTATATACCTCACAATAAAATAGGGAATGAGCCTCTGATTCAACCTTATTATTGTAACATAAAGTACAAATTCTATTTTCAACCTGTTCCCCTCTAAATCGCCCTGTCTCTATGCGCAGGGGGTAAAAGTTCTTATCTCAATTGAGCCAAGATGCATGATGACTTGATTTTTTGTTTTACCCACCAACACTGAGACAACCACCAGACCCCACTTAGTCAGGACAACAATATCTAAATAAAAAAAGTGCTTTTAAAAATATTCAAATGATAGAGACAAAATTTCTCTCAGTTTCTTAATTCAAAGAATAAACTAATTTGTTACCTGTATGAAATAATAATTGCAATATTACAGCGATTCCCAATACAAACATTGCGTATCTAATCATGTTTTGCTAGCGCAATCTTCTCTAGGTAATTGTGAAAAGTTGTGTTATGTGTAATATATATCTTTATGTAAGCATAAAAATCAATTGGCATAACATATTTCACAGATTACTACTGTGACTACATTCTAACATATGAAGGGTGACCAAAAAGTTTTCATAATATCTCTCTGAACTTTTTGTCCTTCAACATAATATTGAAGCTTTCACAGAATGTAGACATAGACCAAATAATCTAACAATAAATACTTAAATGCAACAGAATATTTAAAAAG